ATGTGTATACAAGGCGGATATTTTAGCTAACGGGATCAGCGTTACAACAAGATAAGTGAACCCTTGTCCGCTCTCGACCGATCTAGTAGTTCAGTTTAGATTAAAACTGCTGCAGGTTTGTAAGCGTTACTTCAGAATAACCTTTACACAGTATTTCAGAAACAAGTCATCACCAAAGGAATCGAGCTCCAAATTGCAATTCAACTCCATTGCTTGTACTTTGAGCTAGTTGGTAGTTTCGGGTACCAGACCTGCTCAGAGGCTTCGGCCAAACTTAGGAGCGAATTTCTAATTAAAGAAACATTTACTAGTCAATTTAAACGTCCTGCATGAACGAACTAGCGCGCAGTACATGTGTAAAATATCGACTTCGCCAACTATGCTTTCCGGTGACTCTTCAGACGGCACATCAGCAAACGATGATGGTTTTTCTTTTTAAGTTCGGATACACAACATTGCCAAGACATCTACATATGGCAAAAGATAAATAGAATAACAAAAGACATACTCCCTTAGTCGACTCAGAGTGGATCCGACTGCATTTATATATTGCTATAGTAGCAAATTACTGTGCCGTCACAATGAGTCAAACAGAAAATGTCTTTTGTTTACAAAGAAGCAATGTCTCCATGCGACAGCTTCGGAAACACTGGTTGGGGCCGCTATTCGTTACTTTCGCTCGTTCTAGTCCGCAATTCATGTGAAATTGTTAGAATAAATCTAACTAAAATGTAAAGAGACGTACATTAGTGAAACACAGACATCATTCACATTTGTGTATCCGACTGATTAAAGCAGAATATAATTTTTGGCCTAACGGCACTTGTGCCGCTTGATTTCAGCTGGCTACTGTGGCTTGCCGTCGTAACTTATAGGTCTCAATAACGGTTAGCCAGGATAGAGCCATTTACACACAAGGAATTACGTTACATCATTCGGGCGTAACTTCTCTATAGAGATAGATGGGGAATTCATTCATGCATAAGTTACACCATCTGTAGAGGTGGGGAATTCATACACCATTTGAGTATAACTCAGATTAGGAGATGAAGCATGCGTGTGGCCTCGACGCTGCCTTCCGGTGATTCTATTGTCACTGCAAGATACGGATGCGAATCCTTGAGACTGTTCTTCATTATGAAGTTGCCGGACAGCGCTATATTGTCCATGTTGTATATGTGCAGATATCACAGTTATGGCTTGGATTTAATAGCTTGACTCATAGCATTATTGAATTGAAATCCTACGAACGAGCTACTCCTCTGTTCCGGAGGTCATCGCCAAGCCCTGTGAGATTCCATGCGGCGCCTAATAACAGCGTATGACAATTGACGAAACTGTCTAATTATAGCAATCACATTTTACATAGACGGTCGGTACTCACCTTTGTCTCCAGTGCTTATATATTCGTATTTGTTTTCAAAATACAGATAAAAGTTACATTTTATTCTACGAGGGCGTTTTCACATACGGGTAAGCGTCTGAGGAGTCATATAATTTTACCTTGGTTCATTTAAAGAATAATTTAGTTTCAAAACTGACAATTTGGATTGATTTGCCACATTATGTCCGTCCACTGGTCCGCATACGCAGAAATCGCGTTGATTAGTTAGCCAGGCAAACAATTTAGGATGTTTTGTTTCGCATCCACCAGCTTGACGGTATCCATGGCGTAGTTGTTACTACGCCAGCAGAGATAACGAACGAGCCCAACAACACCTAAACGCATATAAAAACTGGGTGTTTCCGTTACTGTTGAGCTGCAACTTCATTCAATAGTACACCGTCATGCATGGGAGTCTCGATCGCAAGCAGCTGCCTCGCTGTCAACCCGATCTAAATATGAATCGAATAGCTATAGCATCAACGAGTAACAGGCAAATGCTGTCCCGATGCAGTCGTTTTATTATTGGTAACTTTTGCGATCTGAGCTATTTTTCATGATGATTCAAAACTATAGATCTGCTGCCACCGTTGCTGACGCTGCTATGATGATCCATGTCGGAAAGTTTAGGAAAGGTAGCTTACTTATTTTGTGGACGAACAGACGGCCAGACAGCAATCTTGGTAGCAGTAAACGTCGTAACAACATTTGCAGTCATTCATTGAAGCCGGCTTTTTTTTTTTTATAGTCTGACACGCATGATCGTTTTGCTTAAAATCGCAGGGGATTCACAGTCAGCCTAGTCAGGGTTTTTTTTTCGTAGTTTCATATCAGACATTACTGTTACAATCATGACTGTAATGGTGGTGATAACAAATAGTGCACGCCAAATCTGCGATACTAAGTAGACTAATTTACCTCAAATAGCACTACAGAGATACACTCGTCCACGTACACACATAAAAATAGGCACTACCTTCGACCGACTACAATTGTGCATATTGCCGCTGGTTGGGAAGGATGCGGTTGATAGTATGCTGTGCGTTTCTATTGTACGTACGTGCATGTATCTGTATCTAGATAAGCTGTGTCGGCGCCGCAAATCCTCAGAGTAACTTGTATTTTTTTTTCCATGGTGATTTGTGTGTAATGGCACCACTTACGTTCTTATCAATGCTAATAACAGCTGCAATGTAATAACCGCAACAAATTTGGGCAAAAGTACTCCTAAACGATGCCATTCTCTCTCTTCCTTCGGGCAAGCGCATCGAATAAGAGATGAGGCGAAGTTAGTGCACTGTCATAAACATACTGTAGCGGTAGTAACAGTGAAGAAGCGATAGTTCCGTGTGTGTGTGTGTGTGTGTATGTATACACCGAAGAACTGCTTATAACAGCTATAGTATGGTACACTTCTCTCGTTGCTCCTGGTGCCGTAACTGACTCGTATGCGTCTGGGTTCACAAGGGTGGATGAAATAGAAAAAGCTTTCACGTGAACGCATGCGCCTTGATCGCTCCCAATTTGACGATGACTTAGACCCGGGACGACGTTACATCATTACAAATTGCCGATTACATGCCCAGCAACGACAACGACAACAACAACAACCAATAATAAAAACAACAGCCCGACAACGACATAGCATTACAGCTCATCATAATTTTACGTCGAATATCGACGCTTGAATTGCCACTTGCTTAGCAAAAACCGTGTTTATATATATATATATATATATATATATTGGCTGTCTTGGATAACTTAGAACGAAATTGACAGCACTTGTTTATCAGTGGCATCCAAATGAAGAGAAATATTTGAATGAATCTTTGGCACGTACTAAAAGGACAGCCCTGACAGACGTGTTTATTTAATTTGCTGTAAGTAATTTGCCGCCAGAATCAAGGCTTCGGTTCAGCTCTTAAACTAGTCATTTTCAAAACTTCGTTTTAAATTCTAAAAAAACAACTTTTATAATAGCCAAAAATTATGCGGTGTCAGTGCGTTAAAATTATTCGAAGTCTGTCTTGCGCACGTCCCGTACAACGGATTCCATTCTCGGCTAGCAAGCCGTCCAAAAGTTTTTCTCTTTCTGAGAGAAAAACTTTTGGACTTTTGGACTCACCCCACTATGCTTTATCCGCCTCCAAGTAGTTTGGCTTTTTTTTGAACGAACAACGATATAACATTAGCTTCGATAACTAATCTCCTACAGGACATGATCATGCATAAGACATTTAATTCGATAGCTAAATTTAAAACGCCTTTTATTTAGTGAACATAGCAGCGGCTCTTTGTTCCAGAGACTTTTGGATAGTAGTAAGGATCTTCCCATTGCAGAAAATCGAAGACGGTAAAGCTTTTTGAAAGTACAAAAAGCGTAGCTTAAAGCTTAATGTATCATTATTAATAATTAGCTTAAATTATCACTCGAACACAAGAACGAGATTCGATAACTATGATAAAGCGTGGCGAAATGTATGGGTTTCCATTTAACTAATGTAGCCTTTAGTGAACTATGTGGGCAAAGAACAGCTTCTCTACTCCTCAATACCTACTTACATATATACCGCATGTTTCTATTCGTATGGCGTTCACCGAAGATCACCGGTTGGCTTATTCAACAGCAAATCTAAGAGAAAAAATATGAAGCCACAATTGCCCAGGGCTTTTACTGGCATGGCAATCATTCACCACATACTGTGATGAGGATGATCTATGCATTACTGTAATAGAACCCAATACAAAGCAATCAGAAACCAAAGCAGTATGCCCGAACGGGTCAGCGAACGGGTACGATGAAAACAAGTGAATTAGAGAGCATTGTTGGAAATTTTCATTCGAGCTCGGTAGAAGACCGGCCGTCCGCTCGCGCAGGCAATACCTTTATTGCGACGAGCTGCAATGCTGTTCAGTGCAACGTTCATTTGCGCCGTCAGTTGTGTATAGATCTTTTTTGAAAAAAGTTATATATATATTATATATAATACATACATATATATATATGCACGATGTCAAATGGTAACGTTTGTGTCTATAAAAGGCGCTATCGCTATGCGCCTTGCTCAGCTCCGTCCGTCTCATATTCCTGCTATCCGTGCCCACAGGAAACTTTTAGTAGTTTCAGGGAATTAATCGGCACGCAAGAATTAGTGCTATTTATAGATAAGAAGAAGATATGTGATACACCTATATGTTAAATGGCATAGCCCTTTCCCTTTTCGCTTGTCGTTTCGACGGCTTCGCTCGATTAATCTATCCATTTGACTGGATGGTAGCGCGCACGCTGTTTTTTAGCAGCTTCCATAAGAAATGCGCCACAGCAGCTGCTGCTACGACATAAGGACTATGTGCGTCATGGACGGGTTAAATCATTAACGTATTAGATACTTTTGCAAATTGTTCGTAGCAATCCGCGAACCTAAAGAGTAAAGAGTAAGTAAGGAACCCTATAGGTGGATCTGTCCAACTGTGTGTATGCTGTAGATTTGGTGCTTTCGCTTTTGAAGGAAGCCACGGACTGAACCGACAGGTTTCAGACCACAACACCGACGGTCGCCCGCTAGCTTGCCAAGTCATCCATTTACCGAAGTCTCTGGTGAGTGAAAACCGATGACCCTTGCCGATGGTCTCGTCTTTTGCTCTGTGCTATACGCTACAGCCATTTCTCAACGCGCAATCTATATTAAGTGAAGAAAGCTTACGCGCAGTTAGTAGTGACCGAGGCATTTTGCGTGTGGACTTGATGGCTTGCAGTAGGCAGCTTTACCGTGAAAAGTTAAACTTCAATAGACACGTGAAGCTCTCATTTGCTCAATGCGCTTATTGACTTTTCAAACCGATCCTCTTCGGGATATCGCTAGCAACGTGTAGTTCTGCTGTTGTTGCTGTTCCCTCTAGAAAAGATTGTTTTCCTGAACTACTTCATTTAAGACATAAACGAATGTTTAGCTTCGTTCTTTCTTTGGTGCTCACATGTTGTCTCAGTTGCAAATAGGTTCATCTGTAGTGATGGTGTAGTTCAGGGTTAATGTTGCGGTCTTTGAGTTCGATAAGGCACACAGTTGCCTAACACGAAGATCCTTTTTTATCGCTATCTAAATAATTACCTGCAAAGCGTTGCAATTGACTCAAAACACTACCTGCTACAGAGGCGTGCCACTATTTCGGAAGTTGGTCGTTCGAATTCAATATGTATATTCGTATTTGCCTTTTGCTCGCCGGAGTGCTTAGCCTAGTCCTTGGCCCGTGCGGCGTAAGTGGTCAAGGGGGTTCGCGACCTTTCAATCAGGCATTGCAAAGTCTTGGCTCGGGCATTTCAAATGCTTTGCAAACTCCCGGACAAGCACTGGCATCGTACTTTCCACAGGGTCTAGGCGGTTTATTTCCTTTCAGGTAAGTGCTTTGCAGTAAAACGCAATTCGTGTAAACAAACGCTAGTGAGATATCTATAATATATTATCAGGCAAAGAAAATTTTAAGAGGTGGTTTGAATCAAGCTTTGAATGCTGGGTTAGCTTGGCAAGGAATTTTAGATTTAGCTTATGGTTTTAAGCCCAGCGCGCTGCCTAACGCACTCCTGCAGCATTCATCATGCATGCAAGACGTTAGCGATACACTTAAATAATAATCAATGCAGTACAGAGAGCTCCTGCCAACTGAGCGGTTATTCTTTCTCTATTCCAGTATTGCCAACTTGCCTTCGCTACCACCAATTCGATTTCCTGAACGATTACCTCAAATGATGATCAATGGACTCCGTAATGCGACACAAATTATTCGTACTTCTTTGCTGAGTCCGGCTGGGAGCACAGTAGCTGTTTTTGCCGCCCCTTTGGTTCCACTTATGGCAATGGGGGGTCCAGCCAGTCTCGCTGGAATGCATCACTCTATGCATATGGGCTTTAACGGCCGTCGAAACTACCGCAAGTACGTTACCAAGTACATGACACTGAATTAGACAACATAGATTTTTTAAACTGATCCTAAATTAACTTCGACTCTCGTCAGCTACTAAGTGAAGCCAGCGATTTGAAGTGCGCTTATTTCTTATTGTAGTAGTTATGGCCAATTGATAGGTTTTTAACGATGTACCACTATGTAAGCTTTCGAGCGCGTTTAAGGCTGGAATTGAAAACAGACGGATTAATAGAATCAAATGAGGTTCACAATATTATTATATTAACGAGCTGCTTATTTTCCTTCACTTCAGCGCTGCGTATGAGACACAAAGCAGGCGAAGACGCAGCACTGAACACTTGCAGTACCTAGCCCGGATATACTACCACAGAATGAGGATTTAAGCTTTCGGTCAGCCAATAGTTGTTTTTCTTCTATATATCACTAAACGTGAACGAGTATGAAAGATCCAATGCTCCTTGATCTAACACAGCTGTAACAGAATCCATGGCAAAGAACTTGTTTTCCCTAACGTTCTATAAACATCAAACGCTGTTAGCAGATATTATATCTAACTAAAATTAGATGGAATGACAACGTATCATGCGTTTTTGTGAATAATAAAGATAGGCCGTGTTGTTGTTGTTGTTCTGCGCCTAGTACGTACAATCGTGGTTGTCTAAAGCTTTATATTGTTAAAACAGTGATGGTTTTCTGTATTACGTCGTTTGTAAATGCTTAAAACTTCTGATCATTAATTAGCTCGCCTACATGAGGAACCTGACGCGAGTAACTATCAAGTATTATATTGTACTGCTTAATATTTATGCGGTGCGTGTAGAAACAATTGCAATTTTGTACAACTGCGCGACGTGTGGTGCGGAGAATAAAAAAACGGTGGCAGAGGTGCGAAAGCAATGAACGAAGCGCTGAAAACAGTCAGGGTTATGCATGAGCGTGTCGCTGGCCGAAACGATACATATGTATATACGTTCCTATTACATATTTATTGCTCTGACAACTGTTTTTTCAAAATATTAGTTATATAGGAAGAAACACTACTTACATTGTTGATGAATGCTGGAATAATATTCACACAACAAATATAACGTCTGTGAAAAGATAAACCGCGCGGTCAACAAAAGAAACTTCGTATATTAATGATTGCACGGACAGAACGAGCGCGGCTGTAAAAGTTAGGTTTTTGTTTAGCTTGGCGACAGAAGGCAGTTAAAAAAAATTAACGTTTTGATAGGTTACTGATTAAAGCCAAATAGGAAAAGCGAATTGAATTGACTAGATAAGACGAACGCTGTACTGAAGTACAAAACTAATTCTGTAGCGAGTATGAGATAAGTACTACTACATAATGTTTGGAAGTAAACAACGACCCGGTATTAGCTGGGACAGTTTTCCCTTTATGGCTGATCGTCAGTTGTATACAGAGTAAACATAACGTGCTGTCCGTGTATAGATAGGCAGCAATTTGTACATGAATAACCCTTTTGACGACACCGAATTTTTACTAGCATTTCCTTTTTACCATTTAATGCAACGTTCATCTGAGACTAATCTAGGTTTGATGTATTTGAGTGGAACCGACTGTGGTCTTATCTTTGTAGCTTCTGGAGTGCGTATTTACACACGATTCAACTTAAGATTCAGGGATGCCTAGAAAAAAAATACACCAGATGTCACAATTCGGTTTTTAAAAACTTATTATTAAAAATGTCTCATTAAGAAAGCTATTCATGAAAAAGCTATATTATTTTGTTTTAGATTAGAATACACTTTTATATGTTTACGTAGTTTCGGGAAACTTAACTGAAATTCAATAATTTCAATCTTCAGTAGAAACCTTACTCAAGTTTATTATCTGCAAGGTCTAATGATAACGATCTGGAAATCAATAACAATGGGTATGCGAAAGAATCAACAGAACGCCGTATTATTAGGTGAACGCATTTTACTCGAAATGTTTATTTTTCCTGTTTACCTGAATTATATTAACAAATTGTTCAATCAATTGACAATCAAATATATTGCCACGATAATTACTGTAATTTATCAATTGATATTATATACATATATACGTATGTATATTTATATTGTTTATCTAATCGTAATCCATCGAGGCGGAAAAAATTGTTTTTTCGTCACCATCCCAATAACTTCAAGCCATCCTCGAATATTTTAAGCCAACTTGTTTATATCTTTAAATGCTCCGGATCATCTGTTCCATCCTAAATAGGACATCTCTTAGTGTTTCACTCATTAGAAGATATGGCTGCTTAAATCTAGAGGCAACGCATTACCGTTCAGTATAGGCACAAACTGATACGTTAAATCCATAGGAAAAATGATACTTCCTTGTTTGTTTCGGTGATTCCCACAGTACTATGTATTCGTATTTATCTACAGCACATGATACCTACTCCTTTGAATAAAAAAATAAGCATCTACTTAAGGTAATAATGTTATTTAACCATGCCCGTACTGCAATAAATGTTTATCTCAACAGAGAGGCAATTGGGAACAATTATATTTGACTCAAAAAGAAAAAGTGTGTTGGATCTGTGGCGTTTCATTCGCATCGGCCACGAAAGACATTTAGTATTTAAGTTTACTGATAAGTACTATGATTTACTAATGCTATCGAATTTTAGTTCTGCTGTGTTCCAGTGTCGCAGCTTCACTGGACTTATCTGAACTACCTAAATAAAGGTTTTCTTTATTGTACGTCCGGTCTTGCCGTTCAGCATCGCTTCAGACGCCATCTCGATCACCTATAACAGAAAACCTGTCTGTCTGTGGGTCAACAACAATAACACAATTTACATGCACGGAAGTCTGAAACTAGTGAAATCTGCCCACGAAATAGAAAACAAAACCTGTACAATAGTCTGCTGTTAGGCCAGCAGTAAGAGTTATCGCCTATTTCTGACACCATGCTGCTTGGTTCTAGGCAGTAATTTCACAGAGATGTCCACAGCCCGTAGGACACTCAGGGTGCTTCGAGAACCACTCCTTGAGATGGCGCATGTGTCCTCCATGCGAACAACCCTGACACCAAACGTAGAGACCTTTAATTACCTCGTAGCTGTGCAAAACGGAGAAAATGACACGTCGATCAGGAAAAATTGCTTGGAAAACCATATAATGATAAATACACATATGTGTATTAATCCCGTATATAATAAATATGCTAAAATTTACCATATAATAAATAGTATTTTGCGAAATTTATAACGCCAGTATTATGGGCTTGAGAGGGAAGCATTTAGGTATATACTATATAATGCTTGACTGGCAGCTAATTTGTTTAACACTAAGCCACCGATAATATAATTGGCTATTACATCTCAGTCTGACTCATATCTCCTTTCCGAATAAGCTAAGCCCTACCGTATGTTTTGCGTTAGGTTGTTGAAGTTTCGTAAAAGTAGAAACGAAATGAAATTTTCTTCATCAATATTATAATATTTAAAATACTTTACTCACGACGCAATTACCGTGACTTACGAATTTACGAAACAGTTTCGTAAATTCATTACAAATGCAAATTCTGTTTAGTTTTACTTCCTACTAAGTGATCTCATTAGTGGAAGCTATCGTAAAGGACTAACCATATTGAGCATTTAGACACAAATCGATCGCAGTTCTTACAGAATCCGGCAAGGGGATACCCAGTTAGGGGGCGGTCACACAAATCGCATGCGGCATGTACCTGCATTAACGAACCAGAGAAGTTCAAGAAATGAAGTAGTATCATAATCATCAAAATGTCAGCGTGTATTGGATTCTACTTGGAACACAACAAGGATCACTCAGTAAATAAACCCCCAGCCGTTCTATAGATATTATCGTTATTCTTAAATAATAACTATCCGAAAATAGTGTGATGATGATCTCTGCTGAAAACTAATAAGGTATTCCAAGATTTGCTCTAGTTTAGCGTTACCTTGCCACCAAAAACTCATTACGTCAACCTAGAGAACTTAAGTACTGTTTCAAGTAGCATACACGTAATTCTATTCGAGTATGCGGAAATAAATTGTATTTATATTTTCAGACGACATGACACCAACGACTTTAAATCGTAAACGGTCTACAGATCTAATGTTGAGAAATCTTTTAATGTTCCAACCCGCTGCATAAATCCGTGCGATTCTGCGTTTAGAAATTGGCTTATAAAGTGTACTGGATAAAAGAAAAAAACCTACTGGGCAACGTAGTATCGTGTTGAATAATGTTGCGATAAATAATGAAAATGCGAAAATAATAGGGCTAATTATATACCAAAAAGGAAATAGAACAGTACGATAAACATACCGTTGTTGACTGCTGGTTAAGGACACGAATGGCTTCGATATCTGACGAAAGAATGATCACTTGATTGTGTACATTCCACAGTTCGAACCTACTAAGCAGTTCTGTAAAAATATACAAGCAAAAACGCTTAAAACCCTACTTAGCACTTTTATTTCTATCTTAAACACCGGTTACTGACAGAAGCATCCGTAAATGTATAGGCTCCGATGCATCAAGCGTAAACTCAGCTATTCATTGAAGTGTTGGCATATCTTGTAGTTTGATGACGACGTATTATAAAACAACTGAGCTAAATTAGTTTACTTGTTCTGTATTTATAAAATTCAAATGGACACACAACATGAGTCAAGAGCCGTTCGTTATTCGACACAAGATCACCTAACGAGCTAACAAGCATCACTATACCTAAATAGCTGTTAATCCACATAATCCGGTCCTCGACAGGTAGACGAGACCGAATTCGTTTACCAAGCACGAGCGCCATAGAAACAGCGCTTTGAACGTCACCCTGATCAACACACTGGCGAAGCATTGCCTCGATAATAACCGGCTCCGGTTCGAGTCTTGCGGGCGGTGATGGAATCGAAATCACTGTAAGGAACTGACACCATCCAAAATACGTAAATACAACTAATTAATTTATTTATTAAAATTTACTTAACAATCTGAAACAGTAATATTCGTTAGAATCAGCGATATTGTACGTTTTCGTAGTACCTAAATAGAATCGAAATGAGATATTACAAAATATGTAAGACGAAGTGAAAGTGTCTTACGCACTTTGCTCCTCGGTTGTGGATAAAAGCTAGAATGTTGTATCATTTCTTGAGCTTCTTGAACGTCATCTTCGGAGTATTCATCACTTTCACTTAGATCATCATCGTCTTTTTCTTGTTCATCGTCCGATTCAGAGCCACTTGACGATTCCGACTGGCCACCCTGCGTCGCGCGCTCTTTCGGTAGCGCGTCTATGCCATCGCCTTGGCCACCGGATGAATTTGTGTCATCATCGTCTTTAAATGATGGATGCCGTGATCTGTGTGAGTTCGTTACCGAATTGTGTCGACTCGTTTCGTCCTGCGAGGACGCTAGAGCTAAAACCAAATAGAAGCAAAACGATACTTGTAGCTTTGCTAGTAGATCCTCTACTTTATGAGTAATAGGTCATTCAAAGTGTTCACACGTAATTTGTAGTTCATCTTAAACGCGCTACCTTAAGATAGACGTGATTACATATGTGTTTTCTGTTTGAGAAAAAGCTTCGATGATACCTTTTTCATCGTTAAAGGATCGTTGCATAATGGGATCTTTTCCAGTGGCGTCTTCTTCTCCTATGATTGTTGGGAATAGCGTTCTTAGTATCCTCCACGTTTGTGCAACCTGAAGTAGGCCGACCTCTGTTGCGCACTAAGTAGAATAAACGCCAGGGTAGAACAACTGAGTTGAAGTGAATGCAGTCTCCTAAAACTAAAGAAATCAGCGACATAAAACACTTCCATGCAAGCCGAATTTATTATTTCACGAAACTCACCTTTGCATTGTGCTCACACAGCTCATTAAAAGTGGCTCCACACAAACGGTAGGTTAGCGCGAGTCGCGTAAAACTCCTGTGGTATAGATTCTGCAAAGAAATTTTTCAGTGGTGATCTATCTTAACGTGAGCACCACAGCATACAACAGATATTTTTTTTAATTACAAACATAGTAATCCTTGATTTTTTTGATTGAACGATTAGACATTCAAACGCAGCTTCAGTCATAGAGGTTACTATTCAAAGAAAGATCCAAAAATACCAACCTAATAAACACACTGTTATAAAACGTAAGTCTGGATGTGAATGATTTCAGTGTTAGAATGGATTCCACTAACGCTTATTGTTGCAGGTATAACGGTGAGATCAGATCGGCATGAGGTGTGAGTATCTTCAGCAGGTGCCGGAGTTGGTGTACCGCCCTTTCTTCCGAGTCCACTTGATACAGGAATTGCGCTAGCCTGAAATGATTTAGCCATTTTTCGCCCAGCATTTGCTTTCAATTTATCCCACATTGCCAGCGCTAAGCTATCTTCCGAATTAAAGCGATGGGCTACCTGCAATGTTCACACAATTTTTTTTATTTTACCAGAAAGCATTTTATATATATATATATATATATAGACGTTTTGCTGAAGAAAGTTTTACATATCTTAGCTGTCCTCCACATTAAAACACGAGACACTAGTTCCACAATTCAGAAAACAACGTGTTTCATATCACTTATAATATAGGTGTCACGTCCTATTGCTACCAAGTGACGTATACGGTTATGTATGGATACAGGCACACATTTTTTACTTACAGGATTGGCCTTAGCGGCAGGCTGTATGGCGTAGTCAAACGTTCTCAATATAAGCATGCTGTCCTTGCCCGTACTTAGAAGGGTGTCGCCTTGACTTCGGAAAGCACATCCGGTAACAACGTCCTTGTGTTCGGCAAACGCAAACAAGGGAACGTACATACGACGAATATCCCAGATATTGATCTTTTGTTCCAAGACCTGTGAGGCACAAAGATTAGATCCAATGTGATACTCCAACTGAGTTAGCCAACTGAACCGGTTAGAATTAGCCTTGAAGGCTAAGGGGTTAGCGAGTCTGGGTCAGTACCAGTAAGAAGTTGGCTTAAAAAGGTTATAAAGGAAGGTAAAGGAGGATAATGAAAACAGTTCTTTTAAATTAAATATTTGAATGGAAAGATAATGGAAAGATAGTAGCACATTTTTGATAACTCAACACCCAATTATCAAAAATGTGCTATTAATATTTAAAACAAACCTGAGATGTTGACGCAATCTGGTAGTGATGGTTAGGCCTCCAACGGATGTTAGCAACTGAAGCAATAGTGTCTGGAAGGTGTAAGAAATACTTCATATGCAATTGCAGTTCATTGAAGAGCGCCACGAACCTATATAACACTCATTTAACCATATTACAAGCGTTGCTCATAGCCTTACGCTTTCGTCTATTTGATTGCAAATTGATCTTTCAGGTCAAATATATAATAGTAACTCACAAATTGTACACACTAATGTTGGTGTACTTTGCATGTTCCAGACCCGAATCGTTTTATCCCGTCCACCAGTAGCCAGTAACGAATCCTCCGTATGCCAATCGCACGAGAAAACGGGGCCAGAATGTGCCGTAAATTGCCGGATACAGCGATCACTGCGACGCCAGTCCCAGATTTGGACGTTACCGTTTTCTTGAACAGCAGCAAAGGAGTTAACCTGGACAATTACAATGATCACTATCCCATTTGAGTCAAGAAACAGCCAATCTAAAATAGTCGGACCTTGAACCCATTTCAATCACTAGAAAAGTAGTTATTGGCAAAGTGCGTGGCCCCCGTTGTTGGACCGTTACTCGTTATTGCTATCAAGTTATGGATATTTTAGTCAAACAGGACGTCTATAATAATACACTTCGGATGGATACCCACCCTATTTCGCAAATACATTTTTGTCAAGGCCTCCTTTAGATCCTTTGCTGTCTTCATCTGATTAATGTTGAAATAAACACGCATACATTAGTGAGTATAAAGAAGATTGTTAAGAACAAGTTACCTCATGAGGCGAAAATTTGATATCGCGCACACTTTCCGATGAGGTGACATAAGTTCGGGTGACCTCTTTTCGCCGAAGGTCGAAACACTTCATTGTTCCGTCCTAAAATTGGTATAACATATGTACTATGATTAAGGTTCGTCTTAAAGTAGCAAATTTTCGTCTAGTTTGACTGCCGATGTTTCATACATTTACGAGCGAAGTCGTAAAGATACTTCTAGTTCTTCAACGGTTTTAACTTAGAAGAAATTATAATTTTTCTAGTTCAACCTGACGTTACTACATGCCTATAGTGCTATGCCATCATAACTGTAAGTGCTTTTCTCTTTTTTACTTCGCTTATTTCCCGTGGTCATGACATACAAAGCCACGCCTGCAGGTTGCTAGACCCCTATATATTGAATGCCTTGTACTATTTTGGGGCATAGTCGTTCGAAATAGTTTGGCAGTATCTTATTTCAGTTAGGTTTTTTGGACGCGTAGCCGAAAATAAAGTTGTTGTTCTCTAAACTAACAAACGTATGTTTTGCATTTCTGTCAGCTATGATCACGAACATTAAACTAATAGCTATCATCTATCCGTTCATTCCATTCAGCTAGTTCAGAAGCCCGACCTGGCTGAATTTTTCACTTAATGACGAACTTTTTTGGTAGTATCTCATTTTTTTCCGGCGAAATCCAAAGATTCTTTATTATTTAATCAAAGGACTTCGGATTAGCATAAGGTAATGCTAACAAATATCTCAACCTCTATGACCGGTGTTGTTTCAAACAGCTGGCTCCTATTATCCCGAAATGGAGCTTCTCTGTAGCCGGATGCAAACCCAGACTGCCACTGCTCAATCAGTTTAGTAGGCAAACAGCCTGCCATTGTACCGCCATGGGGACGTAAAGGGCGATATAATTTTAGTGTACATTCTAACAGCGACCCAATCCGCAGAACAGAATCTTAAAGTTGAAGTCCGCTTAAGCTTTCCGGGCAGAAATAACGATTAAAGGTGGTGCCACTCGCATGTTACTATTTTCATAACCTTTATGATGTGTTATACGGCCCTTCATCTAACTATGTTATGCTTTGATTACCGACAGCAAATATATGTATGATGATACGAGTGCTAAATTAAGCACTTGCCGCACATTAACGTCATTCGTTGAATTTGCATGCCTTCACACAAGAGATATTTTTTACAATGGATCGTCTGAATATTCTAATTCTTGTTCTCATTTGGTATAATACGCTTACCTGCGACCCCGAAAGAAGCGTATTGCCATCTTGAAAGACGACTCGATTAACCGTTCTTTTGTGATCCGCCAAGACAAATTCTTGTTTGCATTTTGAACCTTTATTCAAATCCCAGATAACGACAGCTCCATTGGTAGCTGCCGTGGCCAAAAGGCTCTCAACTTCAGGGTTCCACACGACGTCTGAGCATGAATAGTTGAGGTTGATATTCTTTCCTACACGGAGATTCATCTGAGGAGACACAGAAGGCAAAATTTAGCGACAAAGTACTTTAGCACGAGTTTGTCTACACATGCGTTGCCTGTTCGTCTTACCTCTGTACTGGTGTCAGAAGTGCACTAACTTCCAAATGCACTGCCATTGTGAAGTTCGCAAATTGATCATGCACTTCGCCCAAATGAGTACCATGCAATTCGGTAGATATTTGGCAGAATTGTGAACATTTAACAAAAAACTACTCTAGGTTCTATGTTAATGTGGTATCAATGTGCCCGTTTTAGATGTTTTCGAGTATTGGCTAGATGCTTTTCGCGATGCTCAAGTAAAAAGGAGTTGTTCAAATCTAAAGGAGGTACAATAATTACTTTGGTTTGCTAACGAATTAACTACGGTAAAAAACAACGATTGGGACACATTCAGCTATTTAAGGTGCCACAGTCTCAGGGTGGTGTAGAAATTTCTGAGTCATAGATCCCTGCTTTGAATTCTACGGACATGTAACAATGAGCTGAGCATTATGTTGTACAATAGAATGCTTATTAATTATCCCTACCTTTTCGACGATCCGATCTTGATCATCCACATTGAAGACCTTGAAAACTGTACGGCCAGCTACAGCGCACAGCCCAGAGTCTCGATTGGAGTTCACAGCCAATGCATTGGCTGGACCGTCGAGTGCGCACTTCGATCGAGGCATCGCGATTCTAACCAGCTGACCTATCTCTTCAAAGCCAATAATGCTATTATTCGAAGAAAGTAGCCGCGGTTTTCTTTACTGATGGAACTCATCTCGCGTTACCAGATTCGAAAAAAACTATAACATGTTTTAGGTTTGACTGCAACCTGGAGAATCTATCTTATATAGCAATAAACGTGTTTCTTCGCGACCGTGAAGCAAACTTTAACCAGGTGACAACGGAGCATGTTACTTTGCTTCAAACAGACATCGCTCAAAGTTAAGGTCCTGTGTACAGAAACCACAGTGTCAACGTTGTCAATGTTCACAGACATCGAGCTCGAGTACACAAAGAGTGATCGAAGCACTGCAGCCTGTTGGAAATTTGAATGCTGGTAAAAAAAGCTTAATTGCTTAATTCATTAGTTTATTTTAAAATTTATCTCAATTCAATTGCAAACGCACTTCAGCATAAGATCTTTTTGCCTTTCTCGAACTAGAAGATTCCGAACGCCGAATTCGGGGCTAGCCAGAAGTAAAGAGCTCACTGAATGAATAAATGGAAACTCAGTGTTTCCATTTAATTTGCCTAATTCCTTCGATTAAATTTGAATTCCATAGTTGAATGAAATTGCTAAATTAGCTGTCAATTAATAAAACCAACTGATGATAAGTTGTGAATGGCATCTGGAGTAACACTAACAACCATATCTTCTTTTTTTTTTTAGTTTTTCTTCCGTCCATATGATGGAAGTAGACCTCACACAAATTCATAATCCTCAAGATTTCGTGCTCCCAACAAAAATGCAATGTATTTCCAGTGCGTCATATTAGGTATAAAAGCAAAAGTAACCATTCCTAATTTTCGGGCCAAGCCAACCTTCCTCCACAACATACATCGAATAACACTAAAAACTATTTTTCTTTCCAGCAGCGCTCGAACACTTGCATTACACTAAAGGTCCATTGTCTATTGAAAGGGACAGTTTAATTCTAGCCTGACTCAAATATATTAACAACAATCTTAGACTTATTATTGTACTATACCAACAAATTTTTCGCTCACACAGCTGATACCGGAATTGTCGCTCACGTTGATCATCTGATCGTCCGGTGGTAATAGAGAGGCGACATAGTAGGTTCAAGACAAAAACACTTACCCCACAGAGATCCGTGATCTAGTGAAAATCGAGAGCTGCAAGTTTCATCTGTCCAAAAAACTCTTCTCAACCCAAAGAGATAGTTAGAAAGCAGTTTCAAGTTATTTACATTGAGAACAAAGTTACTAGTAATAATGATTCCCCAGTATGCTTTCCATACTGTAAAGTGTACCTAGGACTATATTGAAGCAAAGTGGCGGCCTCCAAGCCGTTCTGTTGCTACTAGCTAATGTCAGTCACGCAACGAGCGTATGCGAAGGAAGACAAAATCTTCATGTAACCCTGCAAAATCTTAAAGGGTTTCTTTAAGTTTACGTTAAAAAGAATCGACAATTTCCACAGATTTATTCGTTGAGACTTCTCCACCGAGCCGTGGCCGCCGGAAAGAGTTCGGATGGCTCTGTGTCGTCTGCTACGCCGCAGACAACAAACATCAACGAAGTCGGTCTACACAGCGGCGGTTGAGTTGACTACCATCGGTTCCTCGAGTGCTGCGACGGTAGTCGCAAGAGTTAGCGCCCATCGATCCTGATTCAGAGAAGCTCAGTGCCAATAGCAATGTATTATTGCTGGCGGTTATCTTCTGTGAATTGCATAGAACAAAGCTAACATACCCCAAGGCTATGACCTCGTATCATCGAAATAGTTGATAGTGAGCATACAGAAGTGCATGATAAACCGCCAGAGTGCGTCTTCGGATGAAACTTACGTGAATGTGTATCAAGTTCATCACTACCGGCACTACTGGCTATTTGAATCCAATATCTACTATATATGCATAGAGATCGCGCTCTGATGCGCGTGTGTCCTATAGAAAGCGAATCTCTATCGCATACTCTGCTGAAGTCTGTTTTATGAGAAATCCCTGTCTTCAACTGTTTAATTGATTAGCGCTTGTGATCGAACTGAGGAGGCGGTATTGTCAGTGACGACAATGACTTCGCCAGCACTCTTACGACAGCCATCTGTATATAACCCTCAGTTCTAGCCGACTAACGATACGAACTGTGCCAGCGGTGATCAGTGTCAAGCAAAATTTCGTCATCGTTTGAGTGGAAAAGAGTATTCGGCTTGAATGATTTCAAACATTGTAGAGTATCCAGAGCGACCGGCCACTAAGGACGAGCTGGGGTGATCCTGTTTTCTGTTCTATGCGCATGGATCAGAATAATTTGCTGCATTGTGCCACTTCATCTCCTGTTTCTAGCCATCATTAGCAGCACAAAATTAATCGAACTGTCGCCTTCATCATCGTCATCAGGCGCTGCTGCTGCTGCTGCTGCTACTAACGATGTCGCAGGGACGATCGCTGTATCAAAAACAGCACCAGCCACCACCGCCGCCGCAGATCTCGTACCCACTTCTTCTGGAACTGCTTCGGTAGAGAAATGCGAAAGTTCGCGTGCTAACTTCTGTCGTGCTTCGGAAACGTCCAAAACCAAAACTAGATTAAAATCAAAACAACAATATAACGAAACGGAACTCGAGAGATAAATAGCTAAAACGGCTACCTGTCACATCTATTCCGCAACGGTTACGACGGGTAGCAGCAAGTTGTAGTTATGTCTACGTACACGTCCCCGCACACCAAGTGCTTCGTTCGCTGTGTAAGTGAGAGCTCGTGTTAGCGAGTGAAGAAAAGTGCAAGCGATAATAGAACTTTGCTGTGTGGCAAAAAGGGGGGCAACTAGGCGAACCCAAACTGTGTTTCACGTCAGTCAAGAGCTCTTTCGTTTGCGTTGGTATTAGTATTATTACATACAAAAGCTAGACCGCAACAGATCAACTACTGGACAACGATTCTTCAGAAAGATTCAGTATTCGAGTAGAATAAGTACCATCCTTAGTGCGATGACAAGGCGATGACAAGTTGACTTTTCGATCTTGTTCACCGTCTTTGTATGAGGTGCCTGCTACTATTATTAATGTCAACTCCTATTTGTCTCTCAGCACGGCTAGCCGGCATCGGCCGGTGCGCAGTTTGGCTAAGAGGAACTGAAGTACGAGTACTGTGTCTGGCTGCAGGAATTTGATGGCTTGAGATCAGACGCCGCGATTTGTAATTACAGAGAAGCTGGTCGTGAACTTTGTGAATTGATTCCATAGATTTGTGTCTGTTTAGTTAGTGGAACAGACCGCAGAGATCGACCACAAAGAGAACGGCTTGAACGAAACTGAGCAGAACGATACACAAACTGAATAGCGTTATTTTAAAAAAAATATTTATATTACATAAAAGTCACGAGCTTAGTTTAAGCGTTTTACTGCTTTCTCTATTGCTATTGACAAAATAACGCTGTTTTGGTTTGTTTAATAGAGATTCAAAATCTGAAAGTAACTAAGTTTTGGACTTGGAGACACCAAGGTACTATACCACGGAAAGACCAGGTATATTGATTGTCAATTATTGTATACCATCGCTATAGGACAGTTCTATGAAAAACTTCATCTCACTTCACAAACTATCGGGGTTACGACTCTGCAGAAGAAAACATATTGATGTTGGTGGGGGTGACAGATAGCTTTGTGTGTAGAGTTAAAAAAACTCGAATATTGACGTTGGGCAACAACGGAGAAAGGGATTTGCTGCAGCCACTAGTGGATTCGCATAGCGACCTGTGACCAGACTGTCGACATCTACTGACCTGCGACTAGAGGATGTCGGGCAGGCCTCGTCGCGGACTTCTGGGCGCCGTCTTCGGAAGGTCGCGCGACTCATTCGGAGGACTGGTTGAGAGCAGAACTTTGTACCAGTTTGAGCCCTCAAGCATCGAGGTATGAATATCTAGAGCGTTAACACATTCAGATAAAGCAGGCTTTGCTCCATTCAAATGAAACTTATGCGCATGTGAATATATGACTATCCATAAAATCGTCGGCGCTGTCATTTACGCACATTTTTACGAAGCCCATAAGTTAAATAGTGAAGGTTTGTCTCTGAGGTTTATAACCGCAACCTTCCAAAGATACTTGGCAAATCAAATAAAGAAAATAGCACAATTTTTGTATTACATTTGACGATTGTGTGACCGTTGGCTCCTTATAATGGTATGAGTAAATGTTTTCAAAATGAAGTCACCTTCTCTAAGTTTTTGCTTGAAGGAAAAACCAACAACAAAAACAAAATTGCTTCGCCCAACATGCCCTGAGTCATCGTCTAGTCTAATCCTAAAGCTAGTAAGCGCGCGGTCCCCTGAGGCTACAATTTATCCGCTACTGTTTGTAGAAGCTTACGTGACTACCCTTAACTCTCCGATATAAACGTATTACCAATCGTGTAAACTATTTTATTTCATCTTATTTACTCTATAATGTTGCGTCGTCCTTTGTTTAGTAGTGCTAAGATCACGCGTAAACATAATGTTTCGTCTAATGCCCTGATTACGCGGGGACATATATATATGGTATTTGACGAAATCTATATTTGGGTCCACTTTATACATTAGATTCTTCTACTTTTCCTTTGTTTGCCTTTGAATCGAGTGAACGACGATTGTGTGTTGAATCGATCGCGGCAGAACGACGTTATTACAAACGTGGTATCAAAATGTTCCCCGAGTTTTATGTATGGTATTGTCGTTAAACATACATTAGATAACTGGCTCCCGGCATGAAACGAAGTCCATCTACGCCCGGTTTTGAACATAGATCACCACGTGTAGCTGAGTTTGGTAGACAAACATATTACCACTGCACCGTCACAGCGACACAAACGCAGCGCCGATCCTCGGTTGAACAGCCAACTATGTGGGTGCTTTTCGTGCCTTAACCTACTTTGATGGTATGGAGTACGGCCTTTAAGCCGCGTTGTTTTCTTATCGGTTCAACAACTACTGCTTAGCATCACATTAAAGAAGCGCTGGCCAATTCTCGGCCCCTTGCAAGACCACTTAAGGTTATTTGATAATACTGAAATTATACAAACTAGGTATGGAGAAACGCCACAATGGTGAGGAAGCAATTAGCCGAAATGCTCTTACTCGTGAAAGGGGTTTAGCATTGTTTTCACTGAGTTTGGTCATTCAGGACAATGATATCATATTCCTATACAGGTCCTCTTTATGTGAAGCGTGCTTATGGTTTTTTTTTTATCAGTGCGCGCTATATTATTCGAATGTTAAGTTCGATTTCCCGTGTGAAACTTCATATAAAGCGTATCGCCTACGTAGCTGAATTTAGGCACATTGACCTCTCGGCGGATAGTAGCGTCAAGTCATCAATTAATAAGTAATTTGAGTCAATTTATCTGTTACATAGTATCTGACAACACTTCGAACATAACTACAAACAGAGACACTTAGAATAGAACGCATTCTGTCAATAATTATTCTAGTGGTAAACAAACGTCCATCAACCGCAAAAACTTTACCGCGAAATTCGGATCCACGCAAGTCGTCAAGCAAAATGCCTAATGGCTGGACTATCGTGACCTGTATAATATAATAATGACAGTATTAAGTAAAAATACAGTGGGACAATTACAAATCAGTAGTTAATGTAGTCATAAAAAGACTCATATCGTTACTGGTATTCAACTCAACAACGGAAAGTATGTTGAACTCGGAATGTTTTTGTTATTCAATTCATGATTCTGTGATATAATTGATAGATTATGTACGATTTATCGTTCCGAGGGGAGTAGTCGAGGCTGCATCGATATAATAAATTGGTGCAGGTTTTATGTATCATAGTAATTTCTATTATTGTTAGTTTTCAAGTTAATAGAGCATGGAAGCTGACAGGTTGAGACTGTTCGGTAGGATTTTAAATTTATTCAGTCTGGGTCAGTTTAAATGTATTTGTTTCATAGATATGTCTATAATAAATAAGTGACTGACAATCTGCATCTTAAACATTAAGTAATTTAATTCTAATAAAAAATAATACCCGTAACTATATGTTCCCACATTTTATGTTGTTGTTTCATTTACTCTCATGTGCTCGATGTTTCGTCAAATAAGCTCCATAGCTCAAATTTGTGTTTAGCCACCTGGGACATCTCGCGGAATCTAACTGCGCACTCAAAAGTTTCCTCTGAAATCCTAAAATTGGTTAGCTGCTACATAATTAAAGAATGAATTTTTGACGAGTGTATTCCTCATTTTCTAATTAAACATTATGTATAGTTGTCAAACACAAAAAGATCACCGCAATGCAGAAGTGAAAAGAAAAAAGGCCAATTCTTACTTACTTTCTACCAATATCTAAAACACTCTTGTTAGTTTATGTATTTTACAAACTGTATATTGTACAGGCAAAGGTACTCATGGAAGATAGATTCGATGCATCAACGTTATCGGTATAGCCAAGCGTGAACACGAACTCTAATCGTTTTTGTTAGTATTCAGCCGATTTTTTGCTACCACAGCTCAGTCTTGTTGTTTCCCTGGGCGACGTCTTCACGTACACATTATCCGCTTGTTAGGCACTTCACATGTTGGTAGTGACTAGGCCTCAGTAATTACTATTTATTGGTTGAAGCAGTATAACAACATATAAATAGACAAGACCCTTTGATCTGTTGTGAATCTGGATAATAATGTAGCTGAATACTGCAGTAGATTACGAATTGGAAATTGACTCTAATAACGTTGCTATTTGACTATTTTGAAGCCTTAATATTCCTATGGAGCTATGGCAAATTTAACGATGCAGTTAACAAAAACGTCTGGAATGTCTTACATTTAATGAGGCCTTCGGTAAGATTCGCAAGTAAACATTAATTAGATCAAAATTTTTCATTTTTGCGGGCTTCATACATCATAATATTCTCGCTACAACACACGCGCTCTATCAATTGTTAAAGGATGAAATTTACATACTTAAAGCAAATTTTTATTTTTTTCTCATAATAGTACATATCGCTACTGGAACTAATTTTTCAGTGACATAAAGCTCGAGGTGGCGTATAGTTCAAAGGCTAACTTATCGTGGCTGATTATCTTACCAGTAAGGAATCGGGATAGGACAAAAAGGCTTGTTTCCAAAGAAGGCAGAATTTCAATTGTTCGCAAACAGTACATGGAAAACAGATGTGGAACTAGTTATTCATACGCAAAAAAAACATGTCTAAGTAGCTTACATTGAAATATGCTTCTGATAATGTGTTTCAGTTTACACCGACGGTCTGAGAGCGCTGACCATTCACAGTCGCCTTAATAAGAAAAACTGATGCGGAGTTGCCTACTGTTGACCTGTAGCATTTACTGGAGCTATCTTTGAATGAGAAAAAAATATAGGAAATGTTATAATAAGAATTAAAGTTTACGATTTTACATTAAATCAAGCGAAGGAGTCGATAAAATATAGCATTTAAAAGCTCATGTCGACCCAACTTCTTGTAAAACGACTTTTTAAACCAACACGTTTACCAAATATGATTCGTATTAACTCAGTATCATTATATCAGTCAATACTCTGTGGGAAAGTATGTTAATACGTCGCGTGAGACGTAGAATGAAAACGCCATTGCTCCATAGTATTAAACACATTAAACTTATTATTCAGCTTATTTTAGTGACTAGCACGAACACTTGAGTCAAAAAATACAAATGTATATATATAGTTCCTTAGAATTTTCATAGGAACTAGTGGATTTCTCCTTCTTATTCGCCTATAATGACTAAATCGAATAAACACCGCTGTATATATTTAGAAGATATGTTTCTCGAAATCTACTTTTTTTTTAATTAGAGTGAATCTTTCAAATGGCTTTCCCTGCTTCCTGAGGAAGCACACTTGCCGTCACATTTGATTAAACGTCGAAATCTTTCGAGAACTAAACGCGCTGCTTAACGCCACAGATACCAAATAGAGCTCATTTGTAATTTTATAGGAGATACCTGGAAACTCGAAATTAGAATGTCCAGATGTCTCCTATAAAATATATAATAAATAATATAATATATAAAATATAAAATACAAGACAACTTCTGCAGTAATGCACACTTTATGGTTCCTTTACTAAGGCGTAATCGCACTCCTCATGCCCGTCGAGTTGCGTGGTTTTGAAGCAAAGCCTAATAGCAGTACTGGACGTAAAAGTTAGAAATATTTATATAGTTTTTTTTATTTTATTTATATAGTTTGAATGATTTCATCATAAGTACCGCTACAGAAAAGAAGCAACTTCAACATCTACTCAACACTTATTTATATTTTCAGGCACTTTCATCGAAGAACGACGCAGCCACAAGGCTAAAATGTCTTCGCGATATTAAGTCAGACCTCGAAATTTATCGTTTGGAAGCCGTAAGTGCAACAATCAATAAGGCAGTGGTTATGCTTAAGACGAGTTGTCGGTGTATTTCTAAGAGAAATTGTAACCAGCTTTGATGACAAGATCACACCCTGCAAGTATATAGAGGTTTTCTAGCCGCTATTAGATAAACATTTATTGTCAAAAGGGACCTAGTTGATTCCGGTGAGACGCCTATCATACATTAAAGAATCGACGTGAACAGAGCTTGGACATGCATACTATTTCGAATAAAAAGGTTTCCTCCAGCTTTCATTTCGAGTGCTCTGGATGTGTGTGGGTTCTAGGCTGTGCCACTCATTTGTCAGTCTCTCAGCAGTCACTATATGCATTAAGGAAAATTGCTAGTGGAATACAAAGAACGTAAAAAATTGCAATACTCTTTCGAATCGGCTTCTTACCCGTGATGACAACAACAGTAATTTAAGGATCATAAAGCAAATATAGTTTTATAATTAATTTAGTACAGTTTTATACTTTTCAAGAAATTTTGAATATTCATCGTGATTTGTCTAGAATACTAGACAATTCATTTGAAAATAGGCTTCACAAAATTTTATGAAGACAATGTTACAGGTTAAGAGGAAAAAAATTAAACTGGCAGTAGTTACTGTAAGCGGTGAATCAGCTATTATTTGTTATTTTTTTTTTTTTTTTTTTTTTTTTTAGCTATTAAGTGCTATTATACTCAGCAAAACATTTTGACGTATGACTTTATAAATGTCCTTTCACGTGCCTTTTTTAGGAGCAAATTAGCACCCTCTATTCGCTGACAAATGATCTGCAATCACCTGCGCAGAGTCGGGAGGTGCGAGAAGAGGTGGTTGACTTCTACGTGACAGTTGTAAAGACCCAATTTGAACAATTGGGCTTAGCAAGAGTACACCTTTTTGGTGTCGTCGAGTGGAAGGCTCGCGATAAAGATAAGGTAGTCATTTAGCTTGATTAATTCCGCCCCTTTTTTGATTATGTTAGAATCACGCTGCTCCAATCCAACCGCCATAGTTTTTAATTTTTCTTAATAGGATATCTGAACTGACTCAAAAATATAGTCTGTTTTTGTAAGGACTTCCTATACGCGCAAAACTAACACATAAAGGAGATTTCCCATTTTCTGTATACGTACGTAATCTAACAGGTAAAGAATTTCCATCACACATTCTACTATTGCAGGAAATTGATGGCCGACTTAGACTTTTACAGGCACTGACGAAGGAGGGTAAATGTATAGGACGTTTCGAACGGGAGGCTCGTAAGTCGATCAAAATGATATAATAGTATAAGAAACATAACGACAATAACAAAATAATCTAGTCTAAACGAAAACGTAGGCACCATTTCTATCTGCACAAGACATATATATGTGTTTCTTCTTTCTTGTTTTTTCTACTTCGCTTAACTTCGTCGGCGTCTTTGGGGAGATATCATACGCTTGCTGCTTTTTAATGCATTCGAAGATCGTACATGCAAAATGTGTCAATCAAGCAGTATTTTTGTTAACATTGGTTACTGAACTGGATGACCTTTTATTTCGGCCGACAACCATACGAATTACCGCAGAGAAAGACAGTGTCTTGCGGCAGCCTCATCATTCTAACAGCACGGCAATTGTGGCCTAACTAATTCCAGCCGCACTTATCAAGTAATTAATATGTTCCTAAATGTTGTTCTATTTGTTTTAGCAAAATTTATAGCACGATGGATGCACGAGGTAGTGCAAACTCCACACGCATCCGCGTATCTCAAACTCGTCATCAATCTTGTCAAATACAATTCTGCCTTCCTTGATCGGGACATCACTCATAAATTCATCGAGTAAGTATTGACTCGTGCAGCTTAACGGGGCGCGTATGGATCCTTTATAAACGAAGCTAAATTTACCCAATAGGAAATAATAAAGATATCGAAATAGCAAGAGGGACCCGAGCTACATGAATCATAGCTATTGCAATTAATTAATTAAGCTACACTTTCTTTGCCAGGGAGACGTGAGTTTCGTTATCATTGCTATATTCTTCATACGTAGACGCTTCTTGCGTCGTAGACATGAATAATCTTGCAATAATGCTAGTGTCTTTTTTCGTTGTAAGTGAAGAAGTATATCGTAATTATGTCCTTCGCCTTCTTACTGCTTTTCTGAGCTTGTCTTTTAAGAATTTCAAAAGCCGCATGATAGCGACATAAAACAAACTCAAAAAATTCTATAATTCTGAGGTTGCTACATACTTCTAAAAGTCTATATTGCCACAAATACCGGAATACTGTTGCTCAGTGAATATTGGCGATCTGAGAGTTTACTGATTCAAATAATAAGAATTACAACCCGATTCCAACCTTATTATTAATTATAAGTATAGACCAATTATCAGTAAAACAATCTGTGCGAATAACTGGTTTGAAGATTTCGAGACAAAAGTAGATGACATATAGGCGTCTTGGCAGTAACTTTTATCTTCTCATTTGACTAATGCGTTTTCCATATCATAGAGAAACGTGTATGCTGTGTTATTCGACGGCCTCGGAGCAGAATGTCAAGCTCGGTCTCGAACTACTGGACTGCATGGTCAGTTACTCACTATTACGAACCGAAGTTCTCGACTACATGGTACCAACCGTCTGCCGGACCGTCCTTGTCGAACCGTATGTAAAGCACATGAAACTATTCAGGAATAGTGTCAAATAGAGGGAAGTATTTCGAAGAAATAAAAAAAAAGATGGTAGGAATAACTTGAGCGGCATTTCCTGGAAGATAGATATTATTCGATCAATAATAACGATATGCATAAGTAGTAGTGCTTTTAACTTTGTGCTGAAGAAATGTCTTACACATGAACTGCTCTAGGCTATCTTGCGTGTTCTGGCATTAACATTCGTTTTAATAGATACTCGTTCTTCGATCGTCCAGGTTGATAAAACCGTCAAAGCAGCTAATGACCAAACTTCTTGGCACTCACTTGGGACGTGCGGCTGTTGCAAAAATGTGCGAAATCCTTGAGGAACCTGCGAGGCAAGTAATAAATCGACATGTCTTACCTTACTAATTGTTAGCACTTGCTTACCTTTCATCTGAACATAAATCCTTTACGTGTATTGTCCGTTATTAGTTTACACTGAAAGAAAGCTTTTTTCATGTTAGAATACATTTATTGGCATTTTTTAGGTATTCCGATGCCAATTTGCTTCGAGGCGCGGTTGTCTTTCTTGGCCTGGCGATGTGTCCGGCGCAACAAGACATGATCCTTTCAACTGGTCACACGGCGATCCTAGTGGCAATGAAAAAGGTTTGGTGTAGAGAACAGGTTATAAAGAAATCTAATAAAGAAGTTATTTTACGCAATTCTGATTTGAGGTCACCTTAGAACTAGAACATCTTACTGCTCATATAAAGCGTGTATGAATTTACAAAAATAACTGCGTCTGTATGGTGAAACAGGTTCTGGCTAGCGGAAAAGCGCTGATAGCCGCAGAGGTTTCGCGGACGTTAAGGGCACTGCTGGAAGGAGCTGCCAACTACAGTGTTTCAAGTATGGGCGGAGCGCCGTCAGGCGTTCAAATTCCATCTATTGCAAATATACCAGTACAACAACACCAAGGGGGATGCCCCACTCAAGGAGACCTAGCTCTTGGAGTTGACTGGGCGCTTGTCCTTGATGTCGTCCACGAGCTGATCAAGGTAGGCATGAACGTAACCAGTGGCACCATTTTTCGTATTAGAATAACGGAAGGCATGTACGAGATTTTATAATTTTTTTTTGTATATTAAGATGGAAAATATTATCATTTGCCGACTGTAAGTTTTGAGAGAGTTGACGTTTTTGAGTGAACTGTTGGAGCTAAAGTTCTCAACGGAAGTCTTATTTGGATTTAAGGCGTTACCTAAATTTACTGAGGATCCAACGAACACACTCTCCAACAATGAGCTCTGTGTGACTTTGCTGTCAGAACTCGTTCTTTCCCTTGAACGAATGGCTGATCGGGGTGCCATTTGTGGACCGGATCGTGAACGCCTATTTGAAATCGTAGAAAAATCACCACACCATCAAAGATCGGTTTGTAGTTTGCCCTTCTCATATTCTATTACTGATATTCCAGTAAATAATTATCTACATCTTGCTCTAATCATATCAATCGCGTTTTTGCGACCAGTACGAGGAGATTATATATATCCATGGTCGTAAATGTGATGTGGTTCAAAAAGTGTGTACACGTATTCAACGTTATAACTGCGGCTCACTGTTACTCCGAGGATGCGAAACTCGATTCTAACTTGCAGTGGTATCGACACAGAACGCGAAACACCTGATATACTGAATAGCGGATTTATTGTCTTTTTTACCCTTTGTGGATTAATATTTCAGGAACAATCTCTTATCCGTTTACTTGAACAGCGTGCATCAGCCATACGGCGACATCCTGTAGACTGGTTGCAACGGCTAGCTAGTCTAATGGCAGCGTTCTACATCGATGCCCCACAAACACTTCGCCTTCGATCACTGAATGTTCTCACCGAAGTCATCGAGACGTTTGGCCCAATTTACGATGAAAAACTTTGCGAAAACATTATCGTTCCATACCTTGGTTCGTGCAATGAAATTCACAAACGATTCATGTTTCATAGAAACTAAAAATGTAAAATTGACCGCCATTAGAGTTGACCACTATGTGTGAACGCTATGTTTGTGTGAATTATCATATGTTACGGATTTCTTAGATAACTTACAGAAAAATAGTAAAAATACTTGCAAATCTTAGCCATATTTTTTTTTCTAAAATCAACGTTTTTATACAAGAAACGACCAAACTTACAAGTCTAAAAGGATACGTTTACATCTGAAATTGATCTATACATATTTTTGTTATATAGCACAGCTAAACCACTACCGCTACAGATATGTGGATTCATCAAATTGTTCTGCCCTTTTTCTTACAGGTAAGGTGTCCGAAGAGCGGGATGCAATTGTGGGAGGTGAAGCTTTGAAAGCCGTAGCAGCTCTTTGTCTACGGTGCGCTCAGCCAAATAGGAAGACAAAAGACACCTGCGTAGAAATAATCGAAACGGTACGTAAATGAGCTGTATAATACAATGAGCGCTAAAAAAAGAATCCGGCCGTTTGTCTTATATTCACCGTTAGGGGAATTCTCATTTTTTTTTTCTTTTAAAAAAGCTTTTATTCTGTCTTAAGTTATTCGATGCAGATTTGCAAATGCAACTATCAAGTTGTTTGCCATATTAAAGTTTCATCGAGTACTGAGTGCCTTTTGGAATATCGTTACATTGTAACAATGGGTACGCGTGATCCAAAATGTGGATAAAGTGCTGACTTTCTATTTCGGCATCAGCTTTTACTGATTTAATACTAAAAAAATCCAAATATAGATTTAAAAAAAGGGCAAATGTCTGGTTATAGGTTCTTAATCAGCCTTCAGCAGGTCCGCTGAGTCCGGTAGCAATTGATAGTCTGGTGGAGATCTTTCGCAGGGAGCTTTTTTCTTGCTCGCCACATCCAATTCAGCGGATCCTTGATAAACTCGTCGACTGGATTAACAAGCAGGTACTAACTACTATAGCTTATTCCCTAGGTTTGAAACGTTTATGGGTGACAGGAATAGTTAGGCTTCATCGTAAATAACAACTTCGAAATTCCTAGCCATTCCAGCAGCCAAGTTAGCGTGCCCCGCAGCAGCAAGTTTCGTTCATATAGTTTAGGTCCCATGACTCAAGGAATTCGGAGTCCTATGAGTCCAGATAGCTATATAAGAAGTTCTTATTATTATCACTGTTATCGTCTGCATTAGTACTGTACACCGGCGGGCGAGACGGGCGCTGCGCTTTTGGACACAGTCGCTTCGATACGAAGTCGCCAACTGGTTATGGACCTGCTGGTGTCTTTTAGGGTCAGTGCAAGAAAACAGCTTGCCATCGAAGTGCCCAAATCCGACGAAGCTCAACCACCTTCGCAACACCAGCAACAGGCAAATAACCAGCTCTATAATATCAAGTAAGTTTTAGGTTCAAGGGTAGATCCGTAAAGGTGAGCAATAGATCATATTGACCTTTACCTCTCTTTATTCAATAACTTTGCCGTAAATAAAGATAATTAATCGCCTTCATTTTTACATCCACCAAGGTATTATTCCTGTCAATTGAGAGCACATGAAATTCATCATATTTTAGGTGCTCACCTTTGGTGTTTATTACCGGTTCAAAGTACACGGAACGATTGTCAGGACAGGGAATTGAGGTCGTTGTTGTCAACGTTGGTGCTGTTCTACCCGCAGTGGCAAATTTCCTTGAGGTGAGATATTTACTTCAACAAAGTAAAGCTATTTGAGCATAATACTAAGAAATAATCAAACAGATTAACACATTACGAATCGGAGTAGCCACTGTATCAGCAAGATCGGACAAAGACGCAACCTTGTACGCCCATACGTCGCAAGAAGGTTCGTTCTTTAAGTAGTTGTGAAATTATTAGTAGCAGTAATGGTTTACAACGCCTGCTGTCACGCGTCCTATTGCAACGTTCTTTACGTTTCAGACGGAACCAAACTGGCCCCTGTTTATGTCCATGGCAGAGAAGTTGCCACGATTTTTGCAAGATCGGCAATTAATGTTAGTGAAAACACCACCAACGACTCTCAGTGAACGACAGCAGCCGTCGCTGGTAGCAAAGTAAATATACGAGCCCAACAGATAAATATAAATACTCCGTACATAATTGTTTTTGTTAAAGATATTAACAGGTAGTTCTTATTTGTGTCAAAGGCCTAACTATGGAGTTATGTGTCAACAAATATAAAGTGGTTTGTAGATTATTGAAACGTATTGTTACTCCGTCCGTGAATTATTGCAGTGATTGATCATGGAAAGTCAGTATTAAAAATATTTCTTTCACAAAAGTCTGTCTACAGAAGAAATGTGACTAACGAAATGTTCTACGAGTACTTACTGACAGTCTTCGTTTAATTCGTGTCATATAGATATTGTCAACTATTGTGTAATCTAATGGCGGACCAACGACGCTTTAAGGAACCCCCGACTATGGAAGGCCCTGAGGGTGTTTTGGACCACCCCCTTATGGGGAGTCAACAGCATCAGTTACAGCAGAGCACCTCAAGTACTTCTAGTAACAACAACACAAAGCTATCGTCCGGTCCCACATCAAGCGATATTCAGCAAAAGGTTGGTGACTTAGTTATTAACAAGTAGAGAAATTATGGTCAAACTTAACAAGAAGTATATATCTTCATATTTTTCTTCTCAGAGAGTAGCAGGTTACTAATTGTGGGTCGTCGGGATATTTTTGGCAGATTCTTCCCATTCTAGTCGTGTTCCCTATTCATAAAGCGGATCTTTCGGCTAACGCACAAAGAGCTCTAGTGAACACTCTTCTCCAGGGTATGTCGTCAAAAGCGGCTCCCCAGTGCATCCGGACTTTGACACTCGTCCTTCTTCAAATGCAAGACCAAATGTACCGAATGGCCGAGAACGTTATTAACAAGCTCGCTCAGGTATTGGATCTTCTGGCCGCATAAAGTAATTCGATTTTGTTTTATTATTACTATTATTAAGAAAAAACCGTTATTCAATGTAGCGGAGACAGACGGAAGCACAGCGTTAACCATATTTTGCTTTTCCGCATCTGCGACCAGGTATCAGATACGAAAGCGGTAGCACTGCCAGTACTTGATTTTCTTTCAAGTCTCATCACACTGCCCGGGATCTTCTCATCATTCACAAGAGACAACTATAACAAGGTTAGAGCTACTATTGATTTCTAATTGTCATGGACTAAGTGTCAACTCGGAAAAATTCAGTATCGTGCATTTCAGCGTCACATAACAATCTCGTCTTTCGAGTAATAATATGCTTCAAGATGTACTAACAGAAGCATGTTTAGTTTCTGAATTTGACTTGATCTTGATTTCTATGCAGGTATTTGCAATTGCGCTTCCGTATACAAACTCGGTGAAGTTCTCCCGCTACACTGTCGCTTTGGCACACCATGTCATAGCGCTTTGGTTCCTCAAGTGTAAAACCGAGTTTCGGCCGGCCTTTGCCTCGTTCATTATGAAGCGTCTGCGAAATTACAGCAGGTAAATTGAAATACAATGAAATACAAATAACTCCGTGGACGTGCCATTGTATGAGGGAGAAAAAGATGATAACAATGATGATGACGATTAGCTTAATGAAAGTTTCTTTGCCAGCGCTGTTCTGGAATCTTATAAATATAAGATTCCAGAACAGCGCTGAGAACAGCGCTGAATAACTCTTGTGTCTCAAGAAACCTTGTGCCCTACTTTGGTATTAATTTGCAGTCGAAGTTCAACATCGGAACAACCAGTTCCAGCTATTGGCGGCTTCGAGCCTGTTCAGCGCAGTCGAAGTGGCAGTCTCAATGAACGCAAGGCAGGAGGCCAAGGTAGCGGAAGCGGAATCGGGGCTATCGGCCGAACAAGCGGGAATAACGCAGGCGACAGCGGTCACCTTCAGCTGCAAGACGAATTGGTAGACTCAGCCGATGATTTTCTCAATCAGTACTCTCAAGGTGAGTGCTATTTGGTTCAAGCATTGGCCACGTTATAACTGTGTTTCTTTAGTTAGAGTTTGACAGAATTCCCAAATCACTCGCACTAAATTTTTCGTATCCGTCTAGAATATTTTTGTTTGTGAGGCTAATAAGTTGAGAGTGGATATGCGTTGCTAAATGGATTGCAATTAGATTATTGCAAATGACGATCATTTTATTAGAAGATAGGTTAACCTGCTGAATTAATGATTGTTGATGCACGAGGATACTTAGTACAGAAGGCATATCGCACAAAAAGAATGACCTTTATTATATGAATTTCATTTTTTTCTTTGCTGACTACTGCAAGCTACTATGCGCTTATTTTTGGCTAATTACTGCCATCTGTGTAGGAGCGTGTTCTTTGCAGCCTCGAAAGAGCGGTGCCGAGCATTTCCTAGTCAACGGAGGACAAAGTGTGACTTGGGTTAGCGTTAACAAGGTATATACACTCATCCAATTAACGTATGTAATACGTGCATGCCCAGATTTGAGCCGAGAAGCAGTCTTTTGACAAAAATTGAATCAAAAAAAATAAATTGACCATCGGCAGGTAATAACGATTACAACATCGGGCTGCGTTACTAACACGCCCTCGAACTCTGGAGGCGTTTGTGAGAAATGCCTGCGTCTTTGCCGTGTATCCAGCGTTGATCCCGACTCTGATGTGCCAGCTGATAGTGGGCCAGGAAGCCTTAACAATTCAGGCCAACCAGGCACGACCCCTGGAACGCCACTAACACCGGTGACACCGGCTACTCCAGGTGGATCTTCCGGTCCACCAGTTTTCAACAACAACAGCAGCAACAACAATTTAAATCTCAGCTCATGGGGTTGGTTCTATCTCATCTGTTTCTGTAGCAACTTTATGATATATAGAGGAATATCAGAGTCTACTGGCAGAGTATAATGGTATATACCGATATGTAGGTAAATCCACTTTGGCTTACTTGTATTAACGGGTTTTATGACGAAGTTCTATCAGATATATCATATGAAATAATTACGGACAAATCCACATATGGTTTTATCTCATTGTTTAACAACAGTAGCAGCAACAGTAGCTCTGCGTGAGGATGGATCAGTATGTGTTAAGACAATATTCAAGTATTGTTTTGTTAGTTTGCATTTCTTGTACTTCTTTCCATTTTCCAAGGTCAATATCTAATTATATAGTGATGTGTGGGTCACCTTTAACACTTGAGTAGAAAGTTTGGCTCACTCGTCGACTTCGGTGAGTCCTGTGGGAAGTGGAGGTCCTGGCCAAGAAAAGTCAACAGGAATTTCTGGAGGCTCAAAAAAATCACGAAATTTAAGTTTTGAGCTTGCGCCGCGTTCCATGAGCGTTGCCTCTCGGGACGAATTGGGCATTGGCAAACCCACAAGATCAGATGGTCAACCGACAGTCAAGTATAGCTCTGATGAACAAATTTACCAGCATACCTCATCGCAACAGCAACCTCAGGTAAAAATGTGTAGTTGAATCGACATGCTGACGACAAAAAGAAATCCGATTTTAGTCAGTTTTCTTCATGAAATTAATCTCTAAAACACTTAATATAACCGGCAACTTGATTTAGAAAAAAAGCAAATACAAAACGGATAATTTCAAGATCACTACCCAGACATTGCACGACTGGAAACTTACAGAAAAAGACGTTTCAGACAACTATACATGCATACAGCAGCTCGCAGGCAATTTCAGTCGGCTCATCAGAGAGCATCCTAGCGGTAAGAGCGGAGCGCAAAAGCACGTAGTACAAAATATAAAGAAAAGATTATTGTGATCCCCGTTTGCTAGTCAGCTAATTAGTTTCAACAGTTTGATTGCACCGTTTAGCCTGTTTCTGTTGAAGGCTCAATACACTTTTGTTTAATAGACTTCTCTGTAGCATCCACCATATGTATACAATGAATGTAAGTTTGCTTTGTGATTAATTCGCGAGTAGTATATTACCGGTACGCCTTAATACGGTTGCGTTTGTGATCTGACAGTTCTACAAAATGAAACACGGTTAGCTATATACAAAACATAGCTGAACTAGTGCGACTAATGGGTCACTCTGTTGTTGTCATTAGGTTGACAATGTGATTTACTATGTGTTCACCGGTTCAGCTTGCCAGTAAATCTGTAAATCTAAATGACTGCTGCAATTGGCAAAAAAAAACATTAGAGAATGACAAAACGAGTAAGCAGCTGTGTCTAAAATCCTGTACCGTAATGTCCATTAGCAGTTGACTTTGCCGATATCTAGTCAACATATTATGATGTACGACAAGTTACAGCTGGACAAAACAGCTTTGATTTCCATGGAAGCATTGCTTATCCGTTAACCATAATCGATTTAGTTCCATTCCAGCGCGCACAATTACAGCATTCAAATATATGTAGATAGCTCACTGCTTCAACGAGTAAATAGGGACGATTACTTCGCTATTTTTTCAAATGCGTAAACAGTCGAGTTCATCGGGTTCAGGAGGTTCCGGGGTCGCCACCGGGGAGGGCGGTATGGTTCTCGCACGCGTGTGCAATTGCTGGTGCCGAAACTGGGGCGAGATCACCGTTCGTAGACCCTCTGGCATCACTTCGTGCACCGTTCGACTGCAGAATGACGTGTTTACGACGATGCCGTTGCACGTAAGTCTGAAAGCACTAACCGCGAACGAAGCTTAGATAGACACTTTTTTTGAAGATGAAATCGCGTGTACCAATAGAGGAACCGTATTTTATTAGGAAATATACGAACCACTATGGCCGACAATGCATTGTTATATATACCACATCATTGTGCAAGGTGAAATACAATGGGCATCGAAAACTGCGAATGAGCTGTCTATTGTTGCCATACTGTTAATAACCAACGTCTGCATTCCCGAAAAGCTTCACTTATTCAGCATTTTGTTAAACAAAGGCAACTCTTCCAATATGTAAATATGCTTATTTGATTACTACATTACATGTTAACATTGTCCTTTTTTGCCCTCTACCTTTTATTTTCGTATTTCAGGACGTTGCAATTCCGGACATTGCAACAATGTTCACCAATCTTCGGGTGTCTTCCTTACCAGAAGCTGCTGAGGGAGTAGGTTTAATTCAACCAGCGACGCCCTTCACCGCTGGATTGGATGCAGCCGTTGCGTCCGCTGAAGAAGAAGCTTCTAGTGGCCCATCTCACTCAGAGCCAATACCCACTCCGGTGGCTCCAGTAACGTTTGCACCTGCTGCATTGCCTCCAACGCAAAAATCGGCCCCGTCATCGCCAACAGAGCCCGCACCAAAACCATTAATTCAACGTTCGGTTTCAATGACTGACAAGGAACGGTATTCGAAGAAATCCCCCAGAAACGAGTGAGTCAAAAACAGAACTCTGCTCCTTCATATTCTAGAAGAAATTCAAGTAATGCTTCGTTTTGTATCTTCTTTTTCAGGTAAAATAGGTTTAGTAAGTTCATCGAATAAAGCATGAAAAGTATAACATTTTCTGTTTTGGATTCTCGTTGACAGAAAATACGCTTCCATCCCTGAAGAGCCAAAAAGCAAGCGAGGATCACTAGCATTAGCTCCGAGTAGCGACACGTGTGAACTCCTATATGGCGAAAGGAACGCCCCTTCCATGTTCGGAACATTCGGAGGGCCTGGTGAATCATTCCGAGATCGGTCTCGAACAATATCTGTAATGACTGCGACTCGCCAACCGACGCCAGTTGATTTTGGCCCATGGAAAGAAGAAGTTCCGTACACGGGTATGCACCTCTAACAGTATTTTAGATTGTCTCATTTTTTATATCGACAAGTAAGCCTTTTTACCAAAACATAAACAAAAGTATTTTAAATTAGATGTTATATTACGCATAGGCTTATAAAACTGCCTAGCGCTGCATCTTATCTAGGATTTTATCTAGGCAAAGTAACTAACTACAACTTTTGTAGAACTAGAAAGTTTACCACTATAATACCACTATGACGGTCTAAGTCGCAGTAATCCGTCTGATCTAATAAGAGTCGTACTGCTTATTAAATATTGCTCTTTGTTATTATTGTTTTTTTTGTGCCAACAACGATGCTATAGAGAGGGCGTGTTTGAGTCCAAAATTTCTCTTTAGCCGACTGTACGATATGGAAGCATCGTCACGGTCTGGAAGCGAATTAGGTCCTTCGTCCAAGACGGCTTCTAGCCAACCCCAGGCGTTGATGGTAAGCGCCTATAAACTTTATTCGGCCTGTTAATGTTATGGTTCTCGCTAGGCTATCTTTTAGTTAATAAAGCTTTTTGGAAACCGTTAATCGCAATCACTACGTACTCACCCGTGCTATTTATAAATCAAGTTGGTTCATGAAAACCCGTTTGTAGGCTACCCCAGAGGATTGCAGTAATACACTCGAGGTTTTGGATACGACGTTGGCCTATGAGACTCACAAGATCGGCGTCGTCTACGTTGATGTCGATCAACAGGACAGTGAAGCCAAGATACTCGCCAACTCCTTTGGCAGCAGACGGTACCTATGATTTTTTTTTTTTATCTATTTTGATATATCCTCAAATGTTCACAAATGAAGTAGTGTTTGTGATTCATCTTACTACCATTTAGTTACCTTAGCAATATAATCAGTATAGGTTAGCTCAAATCTAATTGACAACCCAATTCACTCCAATGAACGATTAGAGCCAATTTTGAAAAATAGGCAAAGGTACAGGTCTTGTAGTGATGTGAACAAGCTTTCTTCATATTTTAGGTACATGAATTTCCTTCAAGGATTAGGCGCATATGTTCGACTGAAGGACATTCATGGCGTTTCGGTTTATAGCGGTGGACTAGACACGAAGTATGGAGAGGACGGTGATTTTTCAATAGCATGGCATGACGACGTTATGCAGGTAAGAGATCCTTTAACAAGTTGGAGGATGTTTTGGAAATGATAGGAAAAACTCGGTCAATACAATATCATTCAGTTATACATTATGTATAAATATATTATAATATTATTACTATATATTTGATATTATATATAATTACTTATATGTATTATAAAAATATATTATCCAGTTATATATTATATATAAATACCGTTCAATATGCTACACTTATACATTTATTACTACTACATATTTTTGCAACAAAGAATTATTGCACTGAACAAATCAGCTAGAATGCGCGAAACTGATGCGTTGCTGACTGACAAGCTGTTTATTATGCTAGCAACCCATAACACATTCTGAGATTTCGTCAATTTTAGGTGATGTTCCATGTAGCGACTTTGATGCCTACAAAAGCTTCGGACATACAATGTTCTGGAAAGAAAAAACATATTGGAAACGACTTTGTTGTTATCGTGTATAACAATTCAGGTCACGAGTACACACCAACTAAGGTAAGAACGAGTAATCGACGTATGCAAACGACTTAATCCGCAAAGGGTTGTCGTGACCGCAAGCGGAAGAACAAGTCTTCCAACGAACAAAAATAGATTGTTTTTCAGAACAAAGCGGCAAACTCTAGAAGGTTTCAACATTGTCACTTGGAAGTGACTGTAAATCTTGCAATGCTCTTATTATTCCAGTGCCCTTTTTTGTAACAGTGATATTGAATCTAATGAAGTAGCGATTTTTTGTTTGAATGAGATTCCATATACTAGCATATGCGCAGTACAAATTAAATAAAGAATACAAGTATGCTAAAATTACGGAACGTCCATGTCACATACAGGTCTTATCCTCGCAAAAGCTATAAGAATCGAAGTATACTATCGTGCTTAATATTACTATCGTGTTTTTTTTTTCTGTTACCGCCGGTGTTTAGTCGAACTTCTTGCACGCTTGTATTATTGTCACACCTCAAGCGGAAAACACATCTCTCGTACGTGTTTGGTTGAAAAAGGAACTCTTGTCAGAGGTATGTTCTAATATATATATATATATATAAGGTTGTTGCAAAAAAATTTGGCAGACTTACAACGCCATCAGCAAACGAAATTTAGCTGATAAATACCCTAGTCTTCTACATGTGAATGGAAGCGGCTAAGTTTACATTAGGATAAACGAGTTCAAAAAGAAGAACAGATCTCTATCTCAGATTCTAAGTTGTTGTTCTTCTACGGCCGCGGGGCTAGAGAAATTAATCAATGATTAATAAAAACATTAGGTAAGGAAGTCTTAAATAAAAGCACAGTATGCGAATAGTTCAAACGTTCCAAGAACGTTAATGTAAGCACTGAAGACCGCAATGAACAAGGTTTTTTAAGGAAACGGAGCTTGATTTCTAGAAGTCAGAACTAGCATTTCACATAAAACGTATTACAGAATTCCAACACAAATGCTGTAAATGCAGAAGCTAAGTAAAATGGGTTCTTTTGAATGAAGTACAAGTCAGTGGAAGAAACGTGTGGTGTGGTCCATATGCAATCTGCGGAATACAAAATTCTCGTAAAATACACGCTCCCCATAGACAAAGCATGGCTCAATATCTATCGCTAGTCGGGCAAGGTCTAGGTAAGGAAATGGCGTCGCTCTAGAAATAAATCGAGTTTGGTGGCACTGTTGAGTAGGTTTGAAAGTAAAATGGCGGTAATATTTATAATGTAGATTCGGACTACCTTCTACTACGTAAATCTCGCTAAAGATTAAAAAAAATGCAGCTCGCTATTCCGAGTGCTTCAAGAGACTCATGGACCGTTGGCACGGCAATTCAAAGCATGCAGTTTGGTTCCTTGACCAAGATGCCTCAATTATTTCCTGGTTTAAACAGATAAATATTCAATATTGGTTTCAATCCGCTTATTCTTTCAATCAAAGTACGTGTAGTTACGGGGTTTTCCATGCCCTAAAAAGGGCACCTAACGGGCAAGCATATTTCACCTTCTACTTATTTCAAGAAGTTATACATAATAGAACAGTTACCTATGGGATCTCTGATGATAGGTATATTGTCCAAAAAGTATTTCCAATATATTAAAGAATTCTCTTTCTAGCTGATCTAGTTCAAAAGTTAAGCAATTTCAAAGTACACCGGATTCGTTCCTGCTATATATATGTAGTACTATTGCCATAGAAATATGGTTCCATTCATTAAATATTACAACGGAAATATAAATTATAAAATTAAATAAACGTATTTTTGATGGATATATGATTACCTTTCACCAGCGGTTCAATCGCAAATCTCCAACAGTCGAACCTCGTTATTGCTGCAATATACAACATTATAACGTATCCTATCAGTAGATTCGGAACACTTTTCCGCCGGTAGTTCAAAGGTAGTCCGTAAAGCCATCCTAGGTAAAAAAAACTTGGCTTCAAAGTGCTACCAATAACAAGTGTTGTCCGGGGTGGACGGGCTCTCTGATGTGGACCTTTTGAGGACAGCGGCTCTCCAAAACATACTTTAAACTTTGCTTGTTACAGGTAAGCGCTGATGAAGAATTAACCCGTGGGTGTTCAATTCGCGACGATGCTCTGCCAAAATATGCTCGTCAACTTGCTCTACATATGAACGTGAGTAAAAGACGTTATCTTCAGTTACATTATTATATTACGTGTTAACTGACTAACCATATCATGTATCCAGCATAATGAGCTAAATGCGTGACGGCCATCTTAGTTATATATGCATGAATGTCGATATTGTTTAACAAGGTGTTGTCCTCGAACCTTTAAAAGATCGAACGATGGGCATGGAGTCATTGCGCGTGTAATCGATTGTTGTCACCTTCATAAATGGTAAAACTAAGAACCATGTAGGCAGCTGTGATTTTTCTTCCTTTTTCCTACTACTTTACACCCAGTTGTTTTCCCCATTAGGTACCACAGAAGACGTGGCCCATACGTTTTGGCGCTTATGTTGTCTAATCAACAAACAACAAACCCGCAATGTATTATATCTCTCCCAAACAGATGTAACTTTTCAACAGCTACTACGAATGTGTCACAGTGCCGTTTACTAATTATTTACATGAAGGTTAAGCCGTTCCGCACACTGCGTTCGGTTTAATTCGATAGGACTTCAGTATATAGCGAGTACAATTAATCTTAACAGAGCTATAGGACGTAAAACACGAAACATAGTCTTTGTATAACAGTGCTTCTCATAACACAGCATTTTATAGGAGTGATCTGTACGACTGATAAGGAAAACTCTTCAAACACTTTTACGAAAGGGTTCTCTAAAAGTAAATATCATATTAGACATTGAAAACTCTGCTTTCCTGTATATCGGCTAGCTCTATAGCTGTGGCTGACTCGTCTCATTTCTGATGTTGTATCAATGTACTAATATTTCGCTCAAAACGCTAACAAGGATTACGACTGATTTCGAATGTCCGTAGCTAACCTTTTATCTCTCATTCTACCCGTTGTGATGTAATCAGATGTCAAATGTAAAACCCGTTTGCTTTCGCGAATGTGTTTAACTACATTGTTGAACATTTCCTCCAGATCGCTTCGACAATCCACGTGATGGGTTCGACCTACGTAAACAACTGGCTCGAGCGACTTAGGATTATTCGTCGTCTCCGGGATAAATTACAGAAACGAGCAGCGCTAGAGGCCTCAACTCAAAGCTTCCAAGGCAACGCAATTACACCAACATTGTAACCTTTGTGGGGGCATCGTTATTTATCGATTCATCTCACGGTGCGTGTGGGCCTAGACAACAGGACGAACCAGGCCGATGCTGTCTTGGGATCTCAATGCAGCCATGAAGTTGAGTTAAAAAAAAAACGACGAACTTAACGCCATCCTGGAAATTCACCCAGTCACTAATCGTTATTCTGACGTATCAGGGAATCGACTAAAATAAGCATATAGAGTAGCAGAAAAACGAAGAGATATTAGCGTAAAACATTGTTGACGTAATAACAGCAGGTGGATGGCACAGAGAGGCTGACGTAACAGATTTTTAAGTGTTATTTACAAATTATTCATACATATGCACAGGGCCCAACGGAAACTGACAGCTTCGTGCTTTTTTAATAGACATGTCTAGTGCCAATATGGCAAGTGATTGAAGTACGATGAAAGAGCCTAAAAAGAGCAACCTTATAAAAGGTGTCCGTTTGTCTACCGGTGAACTCGTTTATCGAATTGTCAGTCTCGAATGGTTGGATATACTTTAATTATTTTTTCATAAGTATTGCATAACGCCTCAACACGACAGTAACGCATTTATATGCGTGACTTTATACATAAATATGGTAATATGCATATATATTAGCTAAAAAGGAGAAAGTAACAGAAATGAAATACTGCTATTGTCCACTAAGTTAGAACAGATTTGCTCTAGTCAGAGTCAACGCCGTAGTTTAGTTAATAGAGTATAGATAGTAAAGGAATACAGCAATAGATAAAATTTGGCATGATACTGGTTCTTGCTGATAGTAATTAATCGATCCAAAACAGATACGTCTATAAAATAATTCCAGACAGCAAGAATTTAATTATTGAAATCGCTTTTAAAAATCTACTACGAATACGCGCGCTCAATAGAGCGTTTAAAAAAAAAAATAGTACTTGTGTGTCTAAGTTAATCGTCGCCATAGATCGCTGAATTGGAATAGACAACATGCAACACGGAAGATCCCAACATAACTGATTGTAGGTTTCTATCAGATCTTCAAGCTATTGTGGGTGATGTGTATTAGCCTATGGAAAGACATTCACTGTAACTCAAGAATAAGGAGACTTTTAAGCAAGAGGTTTTCAAATTTACGATTATACAGTGCTCGAGCAGGATTTTGACGATCAGACAGGAAAGCTACTCTGGGTGGGAACTGGCAAGGAGGACGTGTCATGTTATAATTTTAATTAACATTATATCTTATGGCGCATAATTGGTTATGATTACTGACTTTCTTGAAGCGCAAAGGCTACGCTATAAGCGCGCATTGTCTATCAATGATAGCTGCTGCGATAAAAATCGATGGTGTTTCCAAAAAGAGTTTGAATTCAAAATTGATCCATGCATGTTAGGCTAGCAACTATCTACAGGACTGGTCGACTGAATGACTGGCAGCTAGACCGTTATATCTAAAGCAATAACAACATTGAGTAGCAGTACTGCTAATAGCAACAACACTAATATTGTTATGACAGCTCTAAGTGTACACAGAATGATAGTCCTTTAAAGTAAGGTGATGTATTTTTACACAATATAACAAAATAAATAAACGTATAGATCCACGGATAATAAGTTTGTGCACTTAGGAAGTTTAGGAACAGCGGTACGGAAGACGAGGGCAAACATTTGCGTATTCTGCTGTGGGAGCGCATAGGTGACTCAAAAAATACACAGAAAAAAAGTCGAACACACAAGTGATTGCATGATGGTGGAGTTACGGAACAACCAACAAAAACAGAGTATGTTCATAGCATGATTTTAAGACATGAAACGTAACGGAGGACCACCATATACACACATACACATATATACATAAGTAACAAAATTACATGTATGCAATATCATTAGATGAAAATTAGCTTAGTAGTAGGTAGGCACTCATTGAGGAATATAAAATGTGCCCATCCTGAGAACTGCGCAATACGGACAGGTAACTAGGGTTCTAAAGAAACTGACTGCGATTTTGGAGATGTTGGTGAAACACGTCGATAGGAATTACGTGTTTTTTCTGCTCTAACTAAAGGATTGTGATCATCACTACCATGGAGCTTATACAGTTATTTCGACAAAAGAAAAGCAATGTTTAGCAAAAAAACATGTTTACACTGCTGTAGCAATAGCTAAATTTAAAGCAATTGTAGAATTCTTACGCTATGAACTAGCATAACGTCAACCTGTGCTACGTATATAGCCAGGCCATTATTTTGCTTATATCGCCAGCAACAATTCAAAACAGTTGTTTTGACGGAGGTAATAGTAGCTAAGGGCACCCAGTAACTGTTGTTTCTACAGCACTGTACTGGGGCATTACAAAGAGGTATTTGGCGACATATGTAGAATGTATTACTGTCGTAGTGTTATCCATTTTTTCTAGATGAATTTAACAAAACGGTGCCTCTCGGCAAATAGCAGTTAAAATTGAGGAAAGGACATTATATACACTATTTATTAATAGTGCGAACAGATTCAACTAAATAAAGTTGTCGTCGTTAGGCATTCTCGTTGTGATTGTTTCAAAGTATATATACGTAGTCTTATGCGAGCTTTTTAGTCCCGTTATTGGTTTATCTAGCCCGATACTTTCAGCAAGCAATTTCAGAACATCGAGCGTTGTAAATGCCATTTTGAAAACATGCAAGTAACGAAATGAAAATATGTTGATAACCTTCTATATATTTGGAATTTGAAGAATCGTAGAAGCTCACAGTTGTGATCCGACACGAATAAATTTCCGCTACTAAACAGTTAGATTAAACATTGTTAAATCTGATATTGATCCATATTGTCAACGCCCAATACAAAGCTTTTGAATACTAACGCAGGCCAGCAAAGCTTTCAATAAAAATTTGAATATTCACCAATGTATATATATACATTGGTGGAAATTATATATTAAGCGTACAATCTAATCCGTTAAAGTTATAAACTAACCTTCGAACTAGAATTTTCATGATGTGTTAGAAGTACTTTTCATACTTTTGTCTTACTACTATAGCAGCCTCTGGACAGCCATATACATCTACCACTTGCGTTGCCTTTTATCTATTATGTAGTTTGTCTATATCTATCACTTCTAAAAGTAAATCGATAGTGGGATATGCTCGCTCTATAATCAGATCCGGAAAATAGCGGGCTGAAGCCAATGCTAGATGTTCCTTTATTCAATATGGGGAGCAATTAAGGCATGACAATAAGGTCTAACATTGTCATCAAGTAGGCTGCATACTTGCGATTGCCTTGCTAATGATCCACGAATCCCTTGAGGAACTAGAGATAACAAGCTGTATGCATTATTTCACGTTCGGCAGGTACCTCATAGTACCAGATGTCTTCCATGTCAGCTGAAAGTATTACTAACACCGTATGTTCCGATACCCAGTAGACATCGTCACCAAACTCCATTTCTCACCAAAGCAACGCCGTTTGCTCTCTTGGTTTCGCTGCGGCTGGAGGTAATGGTGAAAACCGTGCCTCGTCTATGGCACCCGTGTGCGGGTTTTTTTATTGACTATAGTTCTGCAAATTGTACGTAGAATACACTACACACTTCCCAACTGGTTGGAATCGATTCATGAGGATCTGTTTTTAGTCAGTTTTCGCTTTTTCAGCATTTGGATTATAATTATCTTTTAAAAATAATTTTCATCAAATTAGATTAATACTTCAAACAGCGACATCGGATTACCTTCCCGCTGGTCTAATCTTCGACCCTCTAATCTTCGTTCTTGAAATGCCTGCATCTTTCACGTAGGGTGCTTTTGCTTAAGGAATACTTGCCTATAGACTTTCCCAGTTTCAATTAATTTTCGCAGTGCTGTGGCCAAAAAACAAACACTCAACCAATGAGCGTTGGTTTTCAAGAGTGAAAGACGTTTTTACTTCTCAACTAATTTCTTCTTTAGTAAGTTAAATCTGTTTTCGCTCACAAACCTCTTGAAGATTGGAATATTTACCAGCCGAATTTCATCTGCTGGCTACGCGTAGCTTAAAAGTTATTCAATGCCGAAGTCCGCTGGATTCACTTGTAATAGCCTAACATACATGTATATAGATATATATGTACACCTGATGGAAGTTATTCTTCAGAATCGAATGACATGTGTTTTCCGCCTAGGTGATGACAAACACAAGCGTGAAAGACGTTCGGACTAAATATTGACAGGTAGTACAAAAAACAACAAATACAATAGTAATATTATGAACGCATTATACATCTTACTTATACTGTAAGCATAAATAGGGATCGACATAGTACTATTCAGTAAAATCGCACAATACGGTTCGTATTCTTTTTACTCGCTACAATATTTATTAGTATACTAATAATTGAAATACCTTGAAGCCGGAACTAAAAAATGTGCCACAGCTGAAAAGATAAATACGTCGCTAAGGATCTCGTTGCTCCCATATCTGCTTAACAAACAGACTAATTGACGAACATTTTTTATCCGCGGTGATGCGTAATTTCCTGTAATTCGCTGTCGAAAGCAATGCCCAGACTGTGGCATACTCTCGTATACCGCCTGAAAGTGTCAGTATTGGTATCGCGAGTATACGCATGTACGAGCCTGTAAAACTTAGAAAATGAAACTTTGACAAAGTCCTCCCTATTCCACGTCATCACTATCCTAATCGTCTACACGCGACGCGCTCTCACGATTGAAGAGCAACGACCTCCTGTTGAATTATTTAGGTGGATTGTTTGATTCTCTAACTCCATTGCCCACTAAACCGCGCACGTCGTTTTGGCTGTATATAGCGCTAGTAATATGTCGTAATATAACTTAAGAATAATTACGGGTGAACAGTTTACCGACATGCTTAAGCATGAAGACCCTTTGACTCAAAAATCTGCCCGATATTATCAAAACGTCCACTAGATCTTTGCAGGTCAGCTTAAGACGTATTTCTCCATGATTCTAACATATTCATTATCCATTCAACCCTTTCTCGGTATCTAGTATTTACTTAGCGAGTTGAACCTCAATGGTTATCTTTGGACCTCATGGAATCGTTTCTAAAATCTAAAAAAATCCAAACAGTCTGTACACAGACCGACAAAAAGTAGGTCGCGTTGTCAAACGGAATATGGTTTCGGTCGGTACACCATAGAATAAGAAAGCTCAAATGTAGAGTGGTTAAGTACGATGATATTTATATAGTAGCGTAGCAGAACATGACTAAATAGTAAGTTAATCTTTTCGATTATCGTTTTAATTTATAATTTTACCCTGGTAAAACAAGCTACTGCTTCTCGTAAGGTGTACAGTTTGACTCATCTCTGTAACATCGAGCAACCCGCCGTAGACAACGGATGCACTCTGTGTATACATACGTACAAAGAGAGCATACTGGACTTGCCAGACACAAGTCGCATAGCTATTACTGTTGGCGGTTCCACTCGTCACACTCATCGCGCATTCGTAGATTTCATAGCTAATTCGAATACCGGACAACCACAAAAGTTGGAAAGAAACCTCATTGGAAGCGAGGTTGGAGCAGAAGCCAGCATGTTGTCTGTGGGTACTCACAACTAGATATCCTTATTCACATACTATGTATCTATGCAAGCCGAGTATTAACAGCACACATGTCAACTGCAATATAACCCGTAAAAGCAGGCTATCCCGATTTCCTTGTTAAGTTCGGCTGTCTCTTTAAACGACACAGGTAATCTCGTTAAGACGAATCTCTATGAGGTACCCATTAGCGAGTCAGTAGTGTCCGCTCAATACCTTGTTTTAGCGATGTTACTGGATGCTTCCTGAATGGGCAGGCATTGTTGTTGGCGTTCGCAGTTCAACCACCATAACTCGATGGTCGCCTACGGAAGCAGTTACGAAAGCGACGCTCGTGCAATGGATCCGATTCAGTGACTTTTGGATGATAAGGATACATTTCATTCACTAGTACAGAAAACGTACTAATACGCACTCTCCTTCTTGTTGTGCTATCGTCCACGGCAAGACCGTCTCTCGTTTCCTCCTTACATTATGGCTAGATAGATAATAGGAGCTTGTACCAAGGATAAACAAGTAAAACTAAATCAGAATAAAGGTGAATACATAGAGGTGATTGCTGGGTAATATGTGGTAGAAAAACGGCGAAAGCCAAAAACTATATATGTTGAATTTCTGACTTAGAGTCATATAGAAACTTAAAAATGATAAAACAAAAAATCCGCTTTCCGTATGGTGGCACTTTAGTAAAGTACCTACAAAAAATCAAACATACCCACATATTTGTGCAAAAAGTAGTGTATAAAGACTTTTTATATTTATTTAATTAGGCGTACATCTGTTCTGTTCTTACTTGAGACACCGTGTTGAAGAGATGTGTTGGACAAACAAAGTTAAACACCACATAGAACCCACCAAAACCCAGTGTCTTATTGGTAGGCTGCTGCATCTAAATAGGTCACCGGCTGATCAGAGGAATTTATTTAACAATCCGCCATTGAACAGTAATGATCATCATAATAGAGCTGATCACTACTCTATCTCTATACGAACAACACAGTATAGCGAAAGTTGGTCGAGCAGTTTATGGGAAAAAAACGCCTTTTGTTTGTAGTCCAACATCATAATACAGATAAGAAGCTGATCATCACTTATGATTTCATCGCAATAGCAATATTCATCAGTCTGTCGGCCTATTTCGGTCTGTGTTTACCAACCGCCTTTGCCTTTCTTTCCACCGATCTTTTTTTTCTTCTGCTGCGCCTTAGGCCGCTGTTGTCTTGGCCCGACCCCAGGCGATGGCTGCGCTGACTGCTGAACAGCAGCAGTGGGCCTATTGCTTGCATCCAACTCGGCTACGTTACCGACAGCGCCTTGAGATCCCTTTCCAATCGCTGCTTCCCTCGCCCTTCGGCCGCGCTTCTTAAAGGTTGAACGTTCCCATCTTGGTAGCCAGCGTTCGGGATCAGGAACGATATTCGGATCGTAATTCTTTGGCAGTTTGGTTTTTTTCTTCTTTTTAGCAGGGACCTTCCTTCGGTCACCAGCACCCGGTATGGCAGCTGTTCCCGTTGCGGTCTGGTTGTCAGGCGGCGATCGCGCGGAAGGCGAGCCGACGACACGCTTTACGTGACGTGTTCCCATCACCCAATTAGTCGCCTCTAGGGAAGCGACATCTACCTGAGTCACAATTTCGTCCACGGCTGGAAGGTCTTTGGCGACTCTGGAATTTCGAGAAAACGATAATTTTATCATTTAGCAGTATCGCCAGCTTATATGTACGGAAATTCTCTATATTAGCTTCTATATCACGGCTTAAATATTCTGCTAATTATATCTTTTAGTCCTTGAATAATATTACTCACTCTCGAGCTTTTGCAGGATCGAAAGTGGCGTACGCAGCTACGAGCTGCGCTAAAAGTTTCGCATTGTGAGGATCTACTTTTCGTTGTTCTTGAAGAAGAGCAGCGGCTTCTTGTTGTTTTCCAAGACGAAGGAAGTACTGCGCCGATTTACGGATCAGTGACTGAAGCAGTTCCGATGAAGGATTTCTTTTTTTATGGAACGCTATGGCCCTCTTGAAGATCTGATAATAATCAACAGCGAAACAGGACAAATCGAAATTCAATTTAATTTCGGCTTTGTTGTACATAATAAAAAATTACTTTTAAGTCTATTGCTTATAATTAACCATTATAAAAACATACTTTAATAAATAACAATAAGGAAATTACTTTCCTTGTGTTGTACCATAATGGAAAATCACATACAACTTTTGTAAAGAACTTCGTCATTAAATATCAGTGAAAGTAACGTACCTCAACTCCTATTAAAAATGTTACACTAAAACGCAGTTTGACCACGTATATGCTTAACGCTTTGTATTTTCGTTCAAAAATCGTTACATATTGGTAGCCCTTGTCGCGTAATTGAATTTATACATTATTAAATGTTAATGATACTTCCTTTGATGCTTTAGCTCATTTCAAGTGTCAACGTAAGCAAACACACGTGCAATCATATATTAGTTTCTCGACTGGGATGAATCGCGGTGCTTACAGCAAAATATATTTGGTCATACTGAGCTTCACCTGAGCTGCCTGTTCATCGTTGTTGAGGCTCCTGCAGAGAGAAATAAGAACCCCAAGTATTCCAGCAGTGTAACTAGCATCGCCTAGGCTCTCCAACACTTGCATTGCCTTGTCCAGTTGTTTGTTTGAAAAATAGATCTGTGCACAGGCCAAGCTCGTAGCAAGACTCTGCGAGGGGTGGGCGGTACCGAACTCCGATAGAACCTACCAAATATATGAACGGAGGACAAAAATGTAGTAATAGTTTTCGACTAATTAGGTGTCTTAACGAAAAAAAAAAAACAAATAAAGCAATAAGAATGTTTGTAAATTAGAAACGATTTGCACATTGGCAATAGTATTGAAACAACCTGCGAGTGAGCTAATGAAATGCAGGAGAAAGCAAACACTTCGAGACCATATTTGTTTGTTCAGGAAATATATATATGTATAAATGATGAAATAATGGTTTCAGTCTCTACCTGACACGCCTTAGCATTTTGCCGATCCCTAACGAACAATGCAGCCTTAAGCAGAACTATGCCAGGTTGATCCGGTTCAGAGAGCGCTTCCAGCTGACGCATAAGACGCCAACACAGCTCAGATGATGAATGCCCATAATAGTTTAACTGCAAAATATTATCATTATTAAATTCACTGAATCAACTTCATGCATGTATTATTATTACCGTCTATTTTAGTTACCTTAAAATGCAGCTCGATCACATATATCAGCTCAATACTTTATAATTTTGTCCAAAAATTGTTACATATTGATAACATTGGTTGCGTAATGAAATCCACACATTATTGAACATCATTGGATCATGCGTTAGTATAAATTAAGAGGTATTGTTTATTATCTCCATTAATATAGCGTACACACAGTTTCGACGAACCTGTGTAAAACGCGTGGCTTTCTACAAGCACACATCAGATACATGTGCGTATTAGTGGGTCAACATACCAGCACATTATTGAGGGCGATGCTCTTCTTCTGACGCGACGTTAGCTTTGCGTCAACTCTTTCGGCAATACATGCTTTGACCTTCTTTTTCGAATCGAATATATTTTGCTCCCTATTAAGCGAGATAATATTGTTCGAGGCAACGGCAACAACGGCCACATCAGACGGCTTGTTACGCAACACCTACAGGAACAATATAAACAAAAGCAGGTTGGAATTGTTATATAGTTTTTTCGAGCTCTTCATACTAAGACAGATACCTAACCAGTTTGCAATTTTTAGAAATATTTTTTTAGTATGCGAGAATTTTTTCCTTTTGTCAGGGGGAATGGTTAGAAGTTATTTCAGTTCTGGTCTAGAGGATATCGCAACATTAAATACACAAAAAATATTCATAACAAAGCTGAATTTTCACCTGATTGTAATATTTGGATGCAGCTTCGGGAATTCCCATCTTCTGATTCACATATCCAATCTGTGCCAAAACGATTGATACTTCGTCATTAATTTCCTCCTCATTGGATCCTTCTTCAGTCAAGGTTTCACGACACATATCTGTAAAGACATACAATGACGACGTGTAATAATATCTCTAGAGTATATATACCTATATATCGAAAAAGTATTGAGAGTGTTAAGCTAAATTGTAAGTTTTACAATAATATTACTGAACGATTGTTTTTTTAATCTATTGTTTCTGGGTAAAAAATTGCAGCAAGTGCATCCCGTTTTAACTAAACTAAAGTCTTGCAGAGACCGGAACAGATCGTAGTTCGACTGTGTACGATCCGCGCTTTACGACGCATGCTTTAAAATTTCTTATCCAAGTTCTCTCAATTTTTGCCGGGTACCTCAAGATGTATGTGGTCTAGATATTGTCCGGGTGAAAGACACTAAACTTTTTGTTCACTAGTTCCGATAGATTTTTTCCAGTGAATTACTGTTTGTTAGAATTTGTAAACCGTAGGTCTGAACGAAGGCATTTTAACAGTTTTGTTACGGCTCTCAAGTGTCTTTGAATCTCAGCGTTAAGGTAACACGAACACCAACCTGACATGACTTATATGATCTGAGATATCTGGCGCTAAAGCCATCTAGCTAGAAACAACTGTCACAAAAAACATTGCTGCAGTCTTTTCGCAGCTTCGGTGCATGTTATATCGATCGCTTATTTTGCAATAGGGCGTCTCTAAACTTCTACGTCATGCCAATGACACTATGTTTTCTTCGATTAACCTCATACCTTCAGATTTTTTTAGCAGCATCAACGCTTTCTGGTATTCTCCTTGAGCAGTAAGCGTCGTTGCCTTATTGTACATCAGTTCGTATGTTTCTTCATTAAGAATTGTATCACCTTTATCCGGTCTAACGCCTTCTTCGAACGTGAGCGCAGCTACACAAGCGGCCAGATTCGTTTGCCGCTCTTCGTCATAGTCATCACCTGAATTCTTCACGAGATCTCTACAGACAAAAAAACAAATATGTTAGCAGCCGAAATACCACTTTAGGTAGTAGGTAACCAATATTCCGTTGGAAAAAGAAACCTTGCTACTTATCATTCAGTCAAATAAAACTTTTAGCGGAACTATGGAATATGCTTGTGGTTAGACAAATATAATTGAGTAAAGCCAAATTCAGAAGTCAGATAATAGTAGAAAAGAACAGAACACCATATTTTACGATTACTCTATGGGAAACCTTTGCTTTGCTGCTAACGAGTGGGTAGGCTCTTTTGTCACGTCTCTTCAAAAATATGTTTCGTTTAAGCGAACAGTGGATCTTTCAATGCTTTTAATGAGCAAGTAGGTTAGATTATTATTTAGTCGCAAACAGTTATTTAGATTATTACACCTGTATAAGTTGTAGCTGTCGCGGTATTTTTCCAAGCGGTAAAGAATTTGCCCGCGGAGTTCCTTGGCCCGAAAGTCATCTTCAGCTGCGGGACCCAAAGCAGCTAAAGCCTCTTCCGTCCTATTCAACCGATAGAGGCAATATGCTCGTTCAAAAGAAACGTCAATAGTGAGGTTTTCCTCATTTCTGAAACGCGTGCCATGAAAATGAGGTACTTATATTGACTTTATTTAAGTTTATATTAAGTAAGTTTAAATAAATTTACTTTAGGCTGTCTTAGATACAGCGAATACAGAGGAGTTACTCCAGATTCTACTTATAATATATATGATGTTCTTCTTCGGCCAATGCCTCCAGGAACACTTTTTTATCGTATTCTAATCGCATGTATCGCATCACTCGTACCATCCCTATGATGTTATTGTTCCCACAGAATTCGATAGTTGTGACGACCAGAATGTGATTTGGTCTAACATTTGATCTACTCACCTCAGAATGAAATCGAAGGCTTCCTGGAATTTCGAGAGTTGTATCAGGCAGACGAGTTTACATTGAATCGCTTTCTGGTTAGTGTATCCTCCATTTGGATGGGTGAGTACTGAATGAAAACCATGTGGTAAATGTAACGGGTAAAATCAATATCACTGCAAAATAGGGTACTGTTTTTTTTTAATTCAGTCCTACCCATTGTGTAATACATGTCTCTGGCGGGGCTTGAAGTATCGATCCCGATTTTTTTGGACCAACGGCTTAGCCAACTTGTATCATTGTAAAATATCAACAGATTTAAAGATAATTCACGCGGATAACGCTCTCCACAATGGAACTTATAGATGTATGTCTTTATGTAGTGCTAAAGCCCGATATCAAACAGGTGTTTGCAAAAACAGCATGGTGTGCAATAACTATCACAGAGATAATGGTCTATTTTACATTCTCGTCTGTTCACGAACGAAAGCCAAGTTCAATCCGACTAATTCTATCATAACGGAAGTGCTGACTCATGAATTAAAGGTAGTTAGCTTTTCGTCTCATTAGATAGAACTGTATGTTTACCAACTTCGGATCAAGATTACATTTATAACATGCATTCCGCTTTCGGCCCTGCTCATTATAAAATAATAATAATACTTTTCCTTAGTTAGGTTTAGAATTGGGCCCAAACGTCAACCTCAGTACTATGATATAATCTACCCATGATATAATCACCCTCACAATAATCCGTTTTGTATCGTATGCTTCCTTCATGATCGTCCTGTAGACGGCATATGCTTGCAAATAAAAACTATCGAACTGGCAGTTGACAAATGGCATGCACTTACTCTTGTTGGCAATTTTCTGAGCTTTCTCAAGTTCACTATTCTGAATATGCCTGTGCAGCTCTTGGAAGAGAGGCGTCAGAGGGTTACATTTTGGAGATGCCATTCCCGCTATGTTAGAAAAAAAGGTTTTCTCTACCAATAGTTTATTTATTATGCCTCGTAGTGGCGCATAATCGTTACTGAATGGAACAACAACACGGCACCGTTACTACAAGAACACAATATCAACAACCACGCTGGCAGCACCTCGACAGTGAATACGGAAGACACAGCAGGCAATCGACTTAAGGGCTGAACAAAGTAAATGGTCAGTGTTGATAGGGGGCGCTGTAGACGCAGTTGTGAGCGGGCAGTTCAAAATAACAGTTTTTAATAATGAAAGGGATGAAAAGAAATAATGACAGAAGTCTGCACAGTTATAAATGCCGAAACAGCTAGAGTTAGGGCAGCTCGCTAGTAAAGGCAATTAATTCACTTTAAGAGTAGCTGACACAAAATGGTTACAGATGCCACTTTTCTGCGAAAAATGCATTCATATTTACTAGCTTGACTTCGTTTGAGACGTGTCATTGCGACTTTCCCATATTACAAGGAAAATTGTAAAAACAATGGAAACTCTTTGTTTTGACAGCCTTTTTTTATATATGTGTAACGGCTTTTCCTATGTGCAACGGTTTATTACCTAAATCATATTTTTGGTTTGTATGTAGGATGGGCCGGTCCTGGAAGTAGTGCTATACCAGGCCAACCCGCGGTCGAGGTGGAGCAAGCCCCGAGCACTCGACCCTGTTCCAAAAAATAGTTTAATATCTTGAGGGACAATGTCCCCCGTATCAGATATTAAGCTGATAAGAACAGATACTACACTTTGATCTTAGCCAAAAGGCCGAGAAGCGATACCGACCTCACTTCGTTTGTGTGCCCAGTCATAGCGAAAATTTTGCACTGGCAGGGACTCAAAGTCGCCAACGCATTCAATTTTGTCACCCTAGCTTCGGTAGAACCAATTTAAAAAGTTTGGTACAGTCAAAGACCCCGTATGTCCTGTATGTCTGTAACTAGAAATCATCCCAAATAATCAGATAAAGGCGCCGCTTAGCATTTTAAACGCACTTTTCATTAGATCCGAAGCTACTCGCGAATGGAACATCTTTGTCCTGCTAGTATGTATCGTACTGGGAAGCAGACGTCTGATAGAATGGCGATGAACGATGATACTAGATGTAAAACCCGAAACGCATAGTACGTATCATTAGGACTACACATTGTTAGTATAATACCAACGGAAAATTGTTGGGTACTTCAATTCCTTGCTCTAATTATGCAATTATCACAATATGCAAGGAACAAGCTGAAAACTGGGCAGTTTTCTAACTGATAATTACGATAAGAATAGTTAAGTAAATTTTAGCATGGTCCGTGTCTCCTATTTTATTTTTAGTATTGATTACTCATGATTGTTAGAGGTTCTGAAATAAACGGCCTTTTTGTTAGTAGTTAACATGAGTCGACAAATCACAGTCAGTTTCGTTAATCGACTCGGGTTTTTTGCGTGTTGAATAATTAAAAACCGGCCGCGGTATCTAAAGTGAGTGCTTTTTTTCATGAAACATATTGAACAATCATGCACAGTGATTTTTCTATACGTTTTAGTTGCTTATGTATTTCTTATTTAACGTGCCTTAATTGGCTTTTTACAAGAAGGTAGTTCAGCTAGATGAAAATTTGTTATATCCTGTCTTCGCGCAAAGATACAAAAAAACGTGCTTATAGTTAGTTATATATCACTTATGGATTAATTTTGGAAAAGAAACTAAAAAATTCGTGTATGTGTTGCAAAAGTATATGTCTGTGTGTGTGTAATGCAGTGGCAAGACTGGTTCATAAGGTAAAATGGCGGAATGTAGCTATTTATCGGCTCCTTAGCACAAAAGGCGGGTTTTTGAGTAGCAATAAATGTCTCTGAGAATCTGATTGGGATTAAGAATTAGCACAGGAAATGAAGTGGATGCTTCTAAATCCAGAAACTATGCGAACATATGGGTAATAAATGGCAGCACGCGCTATTGCTGATTCTTATTGAGAAAAGTACCGAAACTCGTAAGTACATTACAAACCGCAAGTAGGTGTTTAGTATTGATCCTGACGTGGAGTGCCAGACTAACGCAAGTGGCCAACTGAAACCCACAGTTTTAAGTAACGGGCCGCAACGTGTGTAACGCAATTATAAATACGACGCGCTGTTTGAAAATTTCGAGACAGTAACGACATGAGAAATAAATTGTTTAATAAGTTATTAACTAAAATACATTTACAGAGCTTCCACGTGGAACAACCGCTACACTTTTACAGTATCTGAGTGTTCAGTAAATATTTTTGGGATTTGATAATGAGGGGGTTGCGCGAACGCAGACCCCCACTACCAAAAATTACATGCCCCATCTTTCCCAGTTTGGGAGAGTGGCAGGTCTCAGCCCTTCCGAAGTGCAATGGAAAGGCCTCCTCCTGGGGTCTCCGCCTTCCTGATCACGGAGGGCCCGGCACCAGGTAAGTATGATTTGTCGATTACAAGCACTGACTTTGTTAGGAACCCAGCGTCACCCATGGCTTGGGTGTCGAGCAATGATCTCTGCAAAATTCGTATTCGTAAAACGGAACTGTATGAATAAAAATCCACCGAGTAACGGAGAAATTGTAAGAAATTTGGTTTTATAACACCACTTATTTTCGAAGTACTATTGCAGTTTTACAAAGCTTGAGAAAAAAAGTATTATTTTTTCTGCAACAAGCTCTGTCACGGTTCTAGCAGACAACGCGCTTTCGATCTATTTGTAGTCGTTGTTCGTTCTCTGGTATACACATATCGGTTAGGGCGGGCTTTAGCAGAATGCATTCGGGTGCACGAACCCAAAGGACAAAGCAGGACTTGCTGTGAGCTTGCTTTATCTCTGATGAGGTATTGACGTTTCTTATGGTGCTTTGCTAATAATTAAGTCTGAACGAATAAGGCTAATGCTCATAATTGCACTTATGTCAAACTTTGTAAAGCTTCTCCCAGGTTTTTGACATAGTTTTATCGTAATTGTTGCGCTAGCTATTACGACTGAATTTTGGTAGAATTGACACAAATTAATCGACCCATAACTGATGTGATAGATAGGAAAAGTCTCCATTATACGGCTAGTATGGAATTAGACCTTGCGCGTATGTCCATGGCATCGTTTGTCAAATTAATATATCGCTATTCTATAGGCCTAGTGTATATTTTATTATAAATCTGCAGAATTTGTTTTTAAGCAAAGAAAGTGTCATAAATCTTTTTTTGATTGATTTGAATTTTAGTTTGGTAGTAAATAAAGGAAGTGCTAGCCCAACTCTACACTTAGCACTTTCGTAGATGTTAGGCTAGAACATAGATTTAACGGGGATGCTACCATCACCGAATGGCGCGACAAGAACGTTTCACATACTGAATAGTGTGGTAATTCTGCTATTGCCGAATAGGACGGCAAAAAGGTTTTTGTCGTAAAGAAAAATATAATTATGCCTGATTGAACTGTAGAGACATAAATAGATTCGTACAAGACAAGTTAGGCAAGCTTGTGGGTTGATCAACCTGTGGCCACGGAGCAGATAGGAAGTTAGTTAGTTCATTGCACGATGAAAGAGCTGTCATCAATAATACACGATAATAATTTAAGGCAGGCTCTGCCAATTTTTAAGAAAGAGCCAACCATACCTAGAACAGTGGCTGGAGCCTTAAGTTGGCCATGGAAAAGGTCTATATTAAAGCTCTGTCAAGAAAGGACGCCATACTGCGGCAAGAAAATCCATTGCAACATTGTGTTGATAGAATAGGTTTCTCAGAAAGTCGGAATAAAGAAGCAGAATCTTATAAAATCCAACCTAAAACTTTAAGGACTGAAACAGTTATAAGCATACATTTTAGATTGAATATATGGACGATATTAGTGGGTTATTCAGAATGAGGCCTTTCGTTACCTGTAGTACCAATTTCATAGGCAGTGCTCAGGAAAAAATTAAATTAACAGGCAACAAAAGAAAACTCAACATTTGAGTCACCTGGGACAAATGTCAAGTGTAGATACGTCACCCAATAGTTTGAAATTTCTGCAAATAAAGCAGAGAGAGTCTTAGTCAAAATGCATCATGCAATATGTTATTCTTAAGACATCTGAATCCCGAAGAAAATTCTCATTTCAAGTAAAGTTTGTCATCTATGATCTGTTTTTACCTAGCTATGAACTTAACGAATGAGGACAAACTTTACGAGGGGATACTTTGAACTTGTAAACAAATGTGGTGGACAAACAGGAATGGACCAAAATATGTAACATTGCTTTTAAAATATGATCCAAGTTTACTGTTAAGATAAAAACAATGTAAAGTAAGAGATATAACTAAACAAGCTGAAAAGCTTATTAAGATTCAAGCGCAATGACTTAAAGAGATTTAATTATCTCTTTTTTTTTTTTAAAGAGAGTTCCCTTTTTGCGAAAAGGAAAAAAACGTTTTTCCCTTTTGCAAAAAGCGAAGAAGACGAACTGAAGTAAGGTGAAGTATAAATTGTTTCATTGATTTGTTCAGCAGATTATACTCGAGGGTTACTTTACCTAATCTTCAGGATGCAAAATCCTAGAAGAAATTGACTTTTTGTTCTATAAACTTATTGGATTGATTCGCAATTTATTGCTCCCTTCTTTAGCTGAAACTCTAATCCGTTTGAAAACAGGTATAAAACAAACAATTTATTCGACATCTTCAGTTTGAATTAAAACAGTCAATTTTCGCCTACAGCTTCTTAAACTCTAGCGCTTTCTGTATCAACACATTTACGGAGCTTTGTATTGTATCCGACCAATTAAATCGCCAGTTCCGTTGAATAGTTGATTTGACCGTCAATAATGAGTGGTGCTTACACTAAATATTTAAATCAAATACCCTTCTGCACAGAAAACTTTTATTATGTCTTCACTGAAACAGATACTCCATGCTTTATAGATTCGAGCTGCTTCCGGCGTACGGGTTATTTGTGTAACTGGGATTCAGCGGGTGTCCAAGATATCCGCCAAAGCTGCCATGTTTGGATTAACCTTGCGCATTCTTAGCGCCAGTTTCACGCGTGGGTCACCTCGCCAATCACTGGCAGTGAAAGAAGAATCTATTTAATTGCAAAAATGGCATTTGCTCTGAGATATGCTTTACGCAGTGTGACGGCGATTGCAAGCCAGACGTCTCAGTTATGTGCCGCACGCTCCGCGCTTCTTGCATCGCGTATGGGCGTCGTTCAGGTAAATAAATAGGTATACAGTGTTGTTTTGATTGAGATCTACTACATCAAGTTTAACATTGTAGCAGGCAGATAATATCTTCACCTATCTTATCAACAGAATAATCTTTCGCACAAGAATCGCTTAGAAGTCTTTACGGTAGAATCCCAATTCATGCTTGTTTTATAACTGGTATTGCGTGCATTTGCCGATTTACAAAAGAATATTTGTGAGCTGCCAAAGTAAAATAATTTTGCCTTAACGGTTTGCATTTGAATAAATCAGTAAGCTGCCATGTTTTTTGTGTTCGATGCATGATAGAAAAAGACAAATAGTGTGTAAGCACCTAGAATCTAAAAATTATTTTTTTAAATAAATAACTGCATACATGATGCAGTCATACAGATTATTAATTCGACCCAGCAGTACATAAATTGTGCCTACGTCCATATTTGAACCTAGAACAAGTTCAGCAGGAAAACATGTCATTCACTAAACTGTTACGGGAACGTAATTGTGTACTCAGTGTGGGCAGTCGCGTCTTAGTCCATGACGTCATGGTCGATCCTATTCATTGGCAGTTGACACATCCGGCTATAGAACAACATATGTCGAGATCTGAAGATTTGCGTCGGTCTTGTGATTACTGCTCAAGAGCTATCGATTTATAAGATTATAATATATATTATACAAACCTAGCAAAAAGCGATTCATATATAACTCAATTTATGTGACCTTTTATATACAGGGATCTTCTCTGGATAGAGTAATACAAATATTTTTATCTTACTGTGAGCTGAGGAATTCCGTGGTCCAAGTGTTTTAACTCAGCGTACCCTACTGCTTGATCTTAACGCGGCTTGATAGTGTTAAGTTGGAATCTCCGTCAACACAATGTTTCTAACGATTTGACCAAATCTTATTTACCGCTGGTATTAGTTATGAACTCGATATATGTTCATAGCGGAACGTATATTCAAACAAACGGCTAAACAGTCTAAAACATTAGAAAACGTACAATGTTTTATGCAAAGAGTGATGTATGGATTGTCGGCAATCGGGCTCACATAAAAGGGTATGCGAGCTTGGCCAACTAAGTCCAAAGACTAAGTACGGAATATCTGAGGCTGCGTCGTCTCACATGGAAGCAGTCTTCGTTCCTTCCTGAACATGTTTTTTCATTTAGACTTTACCTGCTGGTTCTTTCATCAATACTTCACTTTCAGTGTGATTTGGAATCTTCATCTTTTAATTTTTTGATCTAATGAATTGTTAAATGTTTTGTATGATGAGATTATAAAAACATATAATTATTAAATATACTGTAGCATAGCCATAACGAAATGTGTATATGTGCTGAAGCTGACATTATTCTGTTAGAGCCTAAAATGAAACTAGCTAGTGTTTTTTCTATTCATTTAGGTGACACAACACGCACCGGATTTCAAGGCAAAGGCGGTCGTAAACGGGCAGTTTAAGGACGTCCAGTTATCGGATTACAGCGGGAAGTACTTAGTACTGTTCTTCTACCCACTAGATTTTACCTTCGTTTGCCCTACGGAGATTATTGCGTATTCGGACCGCGCAAATGAATTCCGCCAAATCGGTGCCGAACTTGTAGCCATTTCGATCGACTCGCATTTCTCACATCTGGCATGGATTAACACACCTCGCAAACAGGGTGGCCTTGGGGGAATAAACATTCCGCTTGTTGCCGATGTAAACAAGAAAATTGCTGCTGCTTATGGGGTACTTTTGGAAGAGGCGGGCATCGCCTTGCGAGGTCTGTTTATTATTGATCCGAAGGGTGTCATCCGACAAATTACGATCAATGATTTCCCAGTCGGACGGTCGGTTGACGAGACTTTGCGTCTCATCAAAGCGTTTCAGTTTGTTGAAAAACATGGAGAAGTATGCCCCGCTGGATGGCAGCCTGATTCCCCTACGATCAAACCTGATCCGCAACAGAGCCAGGAGTATTTCAACAAGGTTAATTAGATTACGGTGGACCTGGAATGATTTTTCATTGAGTAAACCGCGATTTCGTCCCGTAGGAGATCAACGGGTTTTCTAGAGGAAAGGAAATGGCCGTGCAATTCCTGTGAGATACAATTTTTTTTTTTGGAATCACCTGATCCTACGATGCCCATTCTCGTAACGGAATTACCTGTATCATCTTGAACGTGAAACTATGGTTTAAAATGGGCTATCCAAAAACACCTTTTTGAACAGAAGCAGATAATCAGAAAAGTCCAATTATGAATGATCCGAGATAATTATATTGGGTTATTTGTTGTGAATTCAAGCCACGAGTATGAGCTCAAAAGCGGGCAACTAAAGCCATATTTAATTAAATGTATTAGCCTAACTGGTTAACAACTATTTGAATGAGACCACGATGCCACTAAAGGATACTATTCCCTGTGAGTTATTATGACTGGGCAAGTTAGATAACGCATTAGACATACTGTTCTCAACGTATAGCTTGAACCCACACGCTGTTGAATTTTATTAAGAACATGTTACTATGTATTCATATAAACTAATTGCGGTAATAAATTACAAAGATTGTTAGGTACGAATATGAAGACCAAATAAATGATTTAGTTCTTATATGATTGTCATTTTGCTTTTCTTTTTTATACTAAATTAATTAATTCAGTAGACTTGCAAGTAATGTAGCCGTTCAGTGCCTGCGTAATTGAAGTGTTCTATACTTCAAAGAGATATATTACTTTGTTAGACCGGTGACCTCAGTGTTTTCCGAGCATTACGCGTTCAGCCCTTAGTATCATGCCAACTATGCGTCAACGCGATGTCACGATGTTTTAGTTAAACAACACCGTATGGCATTTTGCCCATTGAAATAAGATTATCGATTGGTATCTTCGTTTGTAAGGGTAAAATTATTTATTTTTAGCAGGTTTTATTCACCGCACAGGTCTTTTTACTAGACTTACACAACTCACTAAATTCGATTAACTTATAATACTTGCAATTATGCGAAATGAAGACACAACGCTGTAAATTTCTTGTAAATAATACTCTTTTTACTTCTTATATGATTTGATTTGATGCGCACCTTATATTTAGATTAATCTGGGCCTTTGCCCTTAAGTGACATGGTGCCCTTGGTAACAATGGAAATCCGCCCTAAAGCTCTTCACTTGATTCGAGATAACCTTGAAAAAGACATTGTTGATACCGATATCATGTACATATGTGCCGATTGATTGGAATGGCGGACTGTACCATGAGTTCCCAAATACTGAAGACTCTTGTCAATTGAGCCGACTATCGGGAAAGAGTATGGGGTTGTATGCATGTCCCACTGCACCAACTTCCGATTATGTTCTTCACCGCTAAAAAAGCAACACAACAGAGAATAACGAAAGCCACATACGTCGTTAGAAAACTTCCGATTCCTATCCGACTTTATTTTCATTCAAATCATAATACATGTCGCAATGCCAACGGCTACCTAGCCAATACATAACATACTTTTTGTCCATATCACCGCTTGCTACGGAAGTATCTTTCTCGCACTACTCATTTCAGTGTAGGCTGTGATCTATCATCATCTATTCAACTTACTCAATATGTTGAACTATTCGACTTTTATCCACTAATGGTGAAATATTTGGCTTTTTGGAAGCGTAACGATGTGCTGATTTCAAGAGGAACAAACTCGAATTAGACCACAAATATATTCGTATTTTACAAACACTGACATTCCTTCCTTCAAATCTTTTTGGTATTTTTCATGGTTATTTTTAAATGCTTCAACCTGTCTTTCAACCTGTCGGATCTTTAAGAAAATGAGTTATTAAATATCACTAAATTGATAATCAGCTCTACGATTCAGTTTTACATTAGTAGCACATACAATAGACCAGCCATAATACCAGCGATGTTTCCGACGAGCCACGCCTGCGGGAAAATCATGTGGAGAACGATAACCTCAATGACGACGATAATGATAAGTGGGACGCCCGGAATTTCTAGGAGCAGTATACTCGAACTGGCGTAAGGAAATAAAAATGAATGAATAACTTTCAGGCCGAGAAGTACGGCCGTTGGGCCCATGAAGCATTTGTACTTCATATCATATGGATAGACCCCTGCGACACTTTCGGCGTGTATTAGGACGTAGCGTACAAGACCGATGTACAGAAGGCCGCATCCGGCCGTTAACAAAATAAGGAGTATAGCAAATGAGATCGATCCAAGCCGCCGTTCGATGCTGCTGCCAACTTTGTACAGCGTCACAAGGCTGTACGCCAGATGCCATCTGTTCAAGGAATGCAGTGCCGCTGTCACCAAAGACACGTAACGGCCTGCGTCCAAAACGAGGTACGAGTTCAGGCAGTTGTTACCTAAATAGCTATACAACCACCTAACCTCTTCTGGGAGAAGATGTTTGTAGAAGACTGCAGCTAGTACGATCATCACCAACGCTGTTAACAACGGAGGGAATTTTGGTACCTGAAAAAACGTGTATGTTCTCTCGTATCCGCTGTTATATTGGGACTGATGAGGATATTCGGAGTTCCAGCCAGGTTGACGGGTTGCGCCGCCACCGGTACGGCGGTTGTTATAGCTGCGAGCCCACTGCCGGTGAGGGTTGTAACCCGTAAAGACGCCAAATGCGTCGAAAATCGGGTGTAGCCAACCTTTGCTATAAGCAAGGCCCACAATGATGCCGGACAGGTGGCCGACAAAACTTACACCAGGCGCTATCAATGACAGCATGAGCAGTTCCAACCAAACATACATGCCTCCTGGTACGCGTACCTGGAACCCTGCAATCGTCGGGTACACATCAGGGTACACCCGATTAATGATCACCTGTAACGAAAATATGTAATATGTAATATATATATATATATATATATATATATTCAACTAAGAAGTGTGAAATGATTGAGCTAACTATGAATGAGAAAAACTGTTGGTTAGTACAATCGATCTGCATGATGCAGGCTATGCAGAGAATACATGGTAGACATCACAATTTGAATAAATTTAGTAAGCCGGTTGAAACTATCTTCAATGCTCGAAAAAGTACCTTAAGAGCGAAAATTACTCCTGAAAATCCGACGCTACAGCTGAACATGAACTGGGGTGTGATTAATATGGCCAACGCGTAGTAGATGGCCACAGAAAGAGCTCCGGTCAGAATACTAAATACGACGAGCATGTATGCAAAAAACGGAGCGCCCACGGCTGATTCAAGGATGATGCCCTTCCAGGCAAACGATGCCATATTGTAATAGAGATGCATGCTATCAGCGTGTTCCACCACTGAACTGAATATCCTGTAAAACTCGCGGAGCTCGATGATAGTGTAGGCCGAAATGCAACCGTCCTGGAGAGTACCCCATGGAACCTACAGCGATGAAGGTAGAGTAGAAATTGTAAGTGTTACGTAACCACATGTTATTTGCATTTACCTGGCTACGCCAATCTATAATCTTTATGTTTTGAGTGTTACGTCTAGCATCGCCATTAGGCACTCCATCAGACTGCTGGCCCCCAGTACGACACGTATTATGTCTAGGCCCAGATTTGAACCTAGACCACAATGTACCCCTCTGATTAGTTGGTAAATTCGTTACCTACTAAGCTATCATGACAACAAGGCCATCTGCAACCTAATAAGTAAGAACTGTTTGTAGTGTAAAAGTCTTCAAACATCAATCGCGGTTCTGTTCTTCCGCGTGTGAACTTTGCCATGCCACGTTTTCCATTTGAAGCCAATGCAAACTTTCAGGTTAACAGAGCGTGAAGACATTGTAAATGTATCCAATACTCGCCGTGAAAACATTCTAGTATGCCAAATGGCTAAATTAAGCTATGTTTTCAAAAAATATACTGGTATAGGTTCTCTATAGGCGGAGATAACCGTGCGATAAGAAAGAAAAATACAGCTTTACTACTGAGTAGCAATATAAATAAAATTGATTTGCAGTTACCTTTATGGCCCCTAAATAGAGTGCAATTTGAAGTCCGATCGCGCTGAGAGTCACCGGTGGGATATTCTCGATTCCGATGGTGAAAATGAGGTGTTGTATCAGAAGTATTACCCCTAGATTATCGCGACTTCGCCGCTGCATCGTGGCTGATTTATGGTATCTATAGAGAACAACATATAAGCATACCGTTTCTAATACAAATACCGATGTTCGCCATATTAATAAAGTCTACGATGATGTAAAATGGTGTTGGGAAAAACGTCTGTAACTCGAACCAAGGAGTAGGAAGCGTGAAATAACAAAAAGCACAGAGCAACGCACCTAATCATTTAAAAAAATAGAGCGTTGCAGTGAAATTTAATAGCAAAGTGGTGTGTTTTTTTTCAATGCTACGATTCAAGTTGATCGCTGATCATTGGCAATTTTGGCTAACGATAATTCGTTTAGAATATCGGCACAGTAAAGTAGTTACATCAAGCAAACACTAAGCACGTGCGGAGTGCAGACACTGACAAAGTGATTAATAGAATTATGTAGAGTGGTATAGTAATTTGTGGCTTTCATTTACCGAACTACATATTCTACTGAGGGTTCAACAATGATGCGATTGGCACTGAGTATACTGAGCGAAAGCATTGTGTATGTGTTAATTACCATATCGCTAACACAACTGAAAAGTTCTTAAGATACATAAAGACGGTAACCTGTACATGAAAATGTTACTGTAAATATATTTCCTATCACCCGATAGTCCAGAACCACTCCTCTCAGCCTACAAGGTACATCAATGAGTCGTTTAAGAATTCATATGAATAATAGATTTTTATTATATAGGTTTTAGATTCTATGCTTTTGTCATACTACTATAGCAATGCAAACGGCCATTGTATACTACGGTATTTTCTCCACTTGGTCATCGTGGCGCTAGCCGATTTTTGTGCACATTCACTGCAGGAAAGCATACTAAAACACATATATACATGTATCATTGATCATATCAAATTGATTATTTATGTATATTTATGTATATACTACGTAAATTATAGAAATCATTGTATTTTCCTGCACTACCGTAACGAATAATAGCCTATGATGTTCGCTTGCGATTTCTCTTCGCGATATTTTTACAAAACAACAGTCCGGCCAATGACTAGTTTCATTGGAATAGTAATAACATTTCGATTCCAATAAACATTCGGCATTCCGAATTACGGCACGAACCCGCTGTCTGATGCGCGCTCAGGTAAAATCTACGCTACAATACCACTCACTATGAACAAGGAAACTGCACATTCCAATATTGCTTTCGTAACTCACATATCTGTGTTAGCCTTCGTAGGACCACACACAAACAATACAGATATCGACTGAACAATAAATGATACAAGTCGTCACTGCAATGATTCGCCGGTCTCAGCGTACGTCTAGCACATTTGGACAGATCTGCAACGATTCTTACGTATCATTGCTGCTCGTTCTTGCTTACTCTACGTCAGCTGTAGCTGAAGGAGAGGGAGGCTCCAACTCTAACGATGAAAACAAACGACAGGGCAGCTCGTCAATCCAACTTCCCGCATTTCCTTTGAAAAAGATTCATCAAGGGAGTTGTTAGGCGGGATCCAACTACGACGGTTTTTTTTCCATTAGCACCCCTTCCCCAAACAGCGCTGTTTACCTATGAACGTTTCTATGTCCACTGCGACGTGGCTCATTTGCCACGTAGCCACGTTACCTGTTTCTTTGTGCCTACTCCCCAACGTTGAGACACATACTGCATCTAGTTGATGTGGTGAGCAAATCGTGAATTTACGCCTGTTTATACATGCATGACGGTTGACAGTCTTACGGTGAGTGCAGTCAAGAGCATTTGGGGACCGTTAACAGCACATGAGGTGAGGCGGCGCCGATTGCCAATTGCCTTTACCTAAGATTTTATCCCCAGGTAGCGACTTCCAGTCTAAGCAATGGTCCCGACACGGAATTTTAGGTTTGACAAAAATCCCACGAGGGTAATTTTTTCGGTAGTAATAGTGCGGGAGTTTACCGATGACTTTCGTAAAATGAGGTTCATTCGTGTGTACTGGCATAAAATACAATAATAGGGATCCTTATTTTTCAAACAGTAACATCTTCACCGAAAGCTTTGTTGCCAGTACATCTCTGTTGAGGAGCCACCGTCGCGAACCGGAAAAGGGAAAGGGTGAATCTGTTGACAATTCGCAAAGAAAAATAGCAGACCTGCCTTTCACGAGCGGCGAGGGAAAAACATTTTGGATCTGAGGGTACTACCTGGTCGTGGTTGGCTATGACGTAAACAGCAGTAACCTATGCGGATTCCTTTGACTGCACTTCAATTAATAAAAAGTTCGGTGCTGTATGTTAGTATGGCTAAAAAATCCACCGTGAACAATTAGCATTTTCAAAGCATTTATTCTGAATCATCTAATTGACTCAAAGATATAAATAGGCTAAAATAAATTATGACAAGTAATGAGCATACACAGAAAATTATTTTAGAATAACAGCATAACTATACTCCCGGTTTTTGTTTAGACTAATTGTATTCTTAACGATTTAAGGGTAAACAAGAAACGGAACAAAGAATTCAATATTACAAATAACTACTTCTATAATAACTGACGAAATGATGTTGTGCAAGTCCGTACTGTCACTATTGTCAGATTTCGAATTTTGTTCTTGATTTTTTTCTGTCTTATCAAACCTTGGCGTGGGACCAGTCAAATCTTCGGCCAAGTCAACTCTGGAAATTTTTTAATAAATCAATAGTATATGTTACTAACCGGTCAACAGTCAACGCTCGTCTGTTGAGGCACGCGGTTTGTTGCAATACGTAAACTTCCGGTTTAAAAATGTATTTTAATTTCAAGTTTGTGCAGTGGGTTCATTACAAATAATTATATAGGCACAGTTGAATATAAATCCAAATTCCAAAGTTTTTTCCTAATTTACTCGATTTCATTGTCAGGGTATACAATGTTCGGCTCATTAAATTACGGTGTCGGCAATATCAATTGCGAGTTGGCTGGAGCTGGTGGCAACTTGCCTCCACCTACGGTAGCCGTTTCCACAACAGCTTCCGCAGGACAAAACGATTCTACGGGGGGAGTTAGTTCGCAGATAGTAGGTCAAGCCTTAGGAGAAGTCATGAGCGAGGCTACTACCGGTAGCTGTTACCAACAGCTGTCAAACAGCTATGGGACGCCTTCCCTGCAGTTTTTGCAGCAACACACACTTCAGCAAATGTACAACAATCCTCAACAGGTACTTATCTAACCATCTCCCTTAATGTATTTCTTTAAAGCTCAATTGGTCCAGAGAATCAAACAGGTGGTTACAGCTGAATTTCATCAAAAGTACAGGGCTAAAAATAAACCGTATATATATATATGTATTTAGGTATTTATTATGCATTTATTATGTATAGGTATGACAGGTATATGAGCTTAGTATATGTGCATGCACTTCACGACAGTTTGTGTGTGCTGTAGCAATTCAATATTTTAACGAAGCAAGAAAGAGAGATCGTGTGTATGTCTGTATTATGTTTAAGAGTAAATGCTGGAGTAACGGCACGACATCTAACAAATAGGTTCCTTATAAGGTGTATAATATGGTGACACCGGCTGGTGGTCTTCAACTACAAATGGGTACTCAGGTCCTCGTGTCAAACGTTCAGGGTCAGACGCAATCGCACCAAGTTCACCATACGCAGACCCAGGGGCAACAGCTTCTCGGGTTGGCGGAACAGTTTTTGATGGACGACGCAACAACGGCAGCTACAAATCATTTTGTCGGGTGAGAAATACGGTGGTGTGTGGTACTCCGCGGCAACTGATGGTATATTTATTTCTATAATTTATGAATTATGCGCCATTTTGAAAGTGTCTGTATATAGAATGTTTTATTACCTGCTCAAGTCACTTGAAGTAAACCATTTAGCTGGGATTTCAACCTGAGTTGTATTGGTCAGCGATAATAACCGAAATCCATTCTTATATTACTGGCTAAGATATTTTCGTAAAGGTGATGCACAGTAAACCACTGACAAACCCGTCTGTGTGCTTCCGACTCTAGGTCAAATGCGAACGAGTTCGGTATAAGCCTAAGCTTGTCCAAAGGAAATACTTCACCAACACAAGATAAGATACAAAAGGGTAGTGGAACACCTCATCAATGTAACTTGTGTCGGCGAGAATTTAAGAAGAGAAGCCTATTAAGGAAGCATGTGGCACTTATGCATGAAGGATATTCGCCTGGACAATCAACTCAAACAGGTAGGAAAAAGGGAATACGTTAACAAATAACTCTGTTATACAAATGTTTCCTTGCATAGCAAACTATAATATTTGCAGTCATAAAAATTTTGCTAAGCCACAATGGTAAATCCAATTTTTAGGTCCTACTCAACAGCGGCCGGTTCCAGTCCACTCGCGATTGTGGTGCGTGGAGGCAGAGTGTGAATTTCAAAGCGAAAACTGCGGAAAGCTTGCGCTTCATTTGGAAGAGTCTCACGGCAAACGCCTAGAAAAAATGAACGTTCGCCTTTCCTCGCTTCGCGAATTTTTCAAGTGCGTCGGCCTACCTATTTTCTTACTAGGTTCAGTTGTCCATGTTGAATTCTTGGCAGATGCAGATTTTTAGTTCTTCGGTGTCTTCCGAAAATATGAATTTAAGAATCAATGTATTGGAATCAAGGAATATATTTGAAGGCCATAGTAATTTATTTGCAGATGGAAAAATAATCTAGAGGAGACAAGTCGTGTGAAATTTATTCTGACGTCTGGCTCGATTGTTCGCACTCAACCTGATTCCGCAAATTTTATCTTCGAATGCCATCGAAGTGCCGCACTAGGAGCACAACATCGGTTAAAACAAAAACATATGGGTAGGTATGCTATAATACACTACGATTAGTTTCAACGTACATTTTGTTAGGGAACCAATGCCTTAGGTATGAATTAAATGAGGGCACTGACCGAGCATGTTTTCATTGCTGTAAACATACGTTAGTAATTTTTTATTAATTTGGACTTTACTGCTATCAGTCGAGTCTCGAAAAACTCAGAGAGTGTAGTGCACGTTAGTGATTCACAATTTTCTCTCGTTACGATGTGACAAATGTAACCCAAGTGGCTTCGCCAAAGTAAGGCGATCAAATGGTGCCCATGACTGTGTACAAAGCTGGGGTGCTGTCAAAGTGATTCGAAAGCGCCTGCATTCCATTAACTGAAATTACCCATGATCCGCCCATGCAGGCCGATACCTGTTTAACCTATGCTGAATTCAATCTTAATGTCGAATTATGTGCAAATACAGCCTTACGCAGGATTGCCTACAGCGCTCTTCCTTATAAAGGCATTCGATTTTCACACGGTGCCTTTACCGAAAATTTTCATTCAGTATTTGGATGGGGTGATCTTTTCACAAGTCAGAAAGTCGAATCTGACCGCTGTTCACAAGATGATTACAGTCAATTGCCGACAACTAAGGCGAGTTGCCTAAAGCCTAAAGCCATATTTCTTGCAGCCAATGCGCATTTGCTAGCGTTCCTGACTGTTTAAGTGATACTGCGATTTAAGTTTGCTACTTAGCTTACTGGAACCTCGCAAACTTTGCGGTTTCCGCACTAACACAATCAGTTGGTAGGTTTACAGACTTTTAAAATTATTGAAAACGTTTGTAACAGGTGTTTTTGTTTTTATAAATAGGTGAAAATAAATTGGACGTAATGGAAAAGGCCGTTCAAGAAATCCTTCCAACTAACCTAAGTGTACCAGAAAGTCAAGAAGAAGAAATTTACTTATTGGATATTATCGAAGAAAATCTTAAAGAATTTCAGGACCTTGATGAAACATCAGTGAGGAAAGGTATTCGTAACTTACCATGTCCCTACCAGTGAAATATATTTCACACGTTTCGGGTCTATATCCATATCCAACTCTATGAGCAAGAAGCTATTTACTAAAGTTAAATCTTGACTTAAGTATTTAATGCCCTTCGTTTACTATGCCTTGCTAATTTCTCAAATGTGCTTCATAACAGGTCGGAACCGCACCTCCGGTTCAGCAGTAATCCTTGGAGTGCCTTGCTGTGCTTATATTGAGATTCAAGTATCGCTGATTAGCGGCGCAGTTGTCGCGACCGGCTGCATCAGCCATGCAGGACATGATCCAGAAGAGAAGATATTTCGTCCACCAGATTGTGTCCTTGGCAAACTAAAAGGTCTCTTTCGGTATTTTTATTATTTTTAAATAAGCGACTGTTAACTTAATCATTAGCCAATAATTAGAAAGGTTGTCGCCACATACTTTCTGAAGTAGGCTTACGTTAGGACTGGTACGAGGAAATATGTTTATATACGAATAGGAAATATGGCGCCGATTTCAGGAATGATTGAGGCAGGCCATAGCAAGGACGAGCTTTCTGCCGGATTGATGACATGGACTAAACATCATCTGTCGGACGGTAGCTGGAAATTGTTAGATAGCATGAGTTCAACGAATAGCGACTTGTTTCTTCATATTCGAGCTTTGGTCAGAAAAATATTTGAGCACGTTTCAGTAATTACCAGGTTGGTGAATAAGACACCAGGTTAAAGACTAACGATAATGATAATAATAATAACTGCATAATACTTAACGAATCTACTATAATCATCAAATTTCATGCTCTACGTTCTTACGGTGTTTACCTCTAAATTAGTTCTAAATTCTAACCTTCTAAATTAGTTTTCTTGCATGTAACAGCTGTTGACAAGAATTTCAACAGTACCGCAGGATAAAATAGCAAACAACAGTTGACAGTTTTCTTCCTTTAATAGATTTACATCGATCTGCATTTTTTCTCGTTAACAGGTTAACGAGTGAACATTATTGGGTCGACTTTATGGAAACACTGGCAGAATTATTTGAGGTCGAACGTCGTATCGGAACTATACGCAAAACTATGGATGCCAAACTTAAAGACACTGGAGGGGCACATGAGGGTCGTGCTAAAGAACTGGCAGCTTTAGAAACAGAACTGTGTTACTTCGTACTTTGTTACGGCACTGATCGGCATCAACTGCGAAAGGTGAATATTTACCTTGTATGTTTTCAAAGAGCACAGTATTGAAGGCAGCTTTAAAAAATCGAATTTTTTGAAATGCTAAATATCTTTAGGATGAGAAAACTTCTTTGCCAGTTTGGTACTGGTGGTACCTCATAGTGCAAAGTGTTTTGCCAGTGGTGTAATTTAACTTAAGCAATTTTCAGCGATGGAGTGAAAACTAACAGTATTCGATATTTTCCCTACGATGATACAGTTTCTGAAATACGGGCAGGACTATGCCGCGGATTGCCGACTGGGTGACATTCGATATCGCGCACAATTTTCAAACGTGCTTGAAACCCCGATATATGATCCATCAGGTGAGCCGGGGTAATTAATATTCATCGAAATTCGTTTAAAGTTTAGAATATTAAATCAGTGCTTCCGACTGATCAAGTCTCGGGTAATTTCTATTTAAAATTTAACATGCTCGCTAAAGCTAGATTGCCTCGTCTGTAAGCTTATTTATTTGAAGCACACTTAAGTGAACAGTGATGGGTTTTTTATCTATATATGCCATGATGTTCGTGTAAGTAGAAGAAAGACGATGAATTCTACTATTATAAGAGTATTTAAGGACCGTGAGTGAGAATTAGATAAACAGAAATAAGTTTTTAGTGATGCCAAGAAAAACACTAGTACCACTAAATGAGTAAAAGTTCAAAAAATCACGCACTAAAAGAGAAATTATCAGACCAAAGCTACGAGAATCATTACATTTGCAGATGGTGCTATTGCATCTAACTGGTCTTAATAACAATTTATATGTAAATGATGTTTCTTTTCCTTATTTTAGCTGCTTTATTTAAACATAATACGGAGTTATCAGCTACCGCCGATAGATTGCAAAAGTTTGGTGATTACAGTCAAAAAAAGAAAACTACGAGAGCCAGCAAAAACATTTACCACCGGAAATTAATAGGTTCGGACGATGACTCAGAATACAATTGTTGGTCTGATGAAGAGCTTGAAGATGTCATTCCCCGAAGGCAAGTTTGCTAACGTATTATTTGAATACTACAAATGGTGAGGTATACTGTTTTAGTAGCGTACACGGTAACCGTATCGGATAACTCAGCGGTTGTGTGGATCCAAAAATGTTCTATCTACAGTTTAGAAAAAAAACATTTTCAGGTTGACCGACTACCCAATTTGAACTGAAAAAAAGTCGATGCTTAAGGATATTTGTTTTTCAAAGAAGTATTTCTCGCACTCACGTTGATGCTCGTTTTTTTTTCAGGTGGCCTCAACCAACACCCTCAAAGCCATTATCGACCTTAGAGGAAAAGCGGCTCGAAAAAAACCTTAAGCGAAAGCAGGTCCCGGTTCTGAATGTGGATCCGATTCTTAAAGAGAAGATTTTGGCAATGAGAGTGATGGCAGCAAATGCGTATGATGATAACGCGAAAAAAGATGTTCAAGAGAAAATCTCAGCAGGGGTGCTAAGAAAAAGAGGCCGTACGAAACGAGAATCAACTTCAAATGCTCAAAACGCAAAAAACAAACTACATGCGAGGAAAGGCAAGAACACCAAGATTGTCGGGGGCAAAAGATTAAAGGCAAAACAGAAATATCAAAAGAAAAGACAAAATCATTGTGCGTCGAATTCAAATGAACGTGATGCGCAAAGAGGCGAAAATAAAGCTGGAGAAGAAAAAGATAGCAAAGAGCCTATTGAGTCCAGTAAAGGCTGCGGAAAGAGTAGCTCGATTGGTTATCGACGAAAGAAACCGAAAGCGTTAACAAATGCAAAAGTTGCGATTAGCAACGAAGATAATTGCGAACAAACGGATGAAGTAACCGAGGATAATATGGTACCAGCGCCGATTGTTATTCGAGAAATCAAAATGGATGGACCGTCAGGTAAAAAGCCTCGCATCGTCAAGATTCTTGCGACAGAACCCGGTCAATCGATTGATCAGGCCACGATCGTGGTTGAAGCACCCCCTCAAACTCCACAACCTGGCCATATAGAGGGTAGCACAGCAAAAGAAGTCGCTATCAATGCTGATAATGCTAAACGTACGCCTATGGTATCGCTTTTACGTCAGGACGCGAATCTGTTTACAGGTGGACGGAGTTTATTAAAACCAATGCCTACGATTTCATTGCTGAAACCACGAGAAAGGCTGTTTTCGTCACCAAACAAAACCAATAGCATTCAAACAAAAAGCTCACTAACACACGCGCTGCCAAACGGTGACAATTTTTTTGAGAGAGAGCTCTTACAAAATTTTGACGAAAGCGCGCTTCAAATACCTCAGCTACACCGAATTATTGATGAGTAATGAGCAATGGATTTTTACAGAAAACTCTCTTAATTACCTTAAACTATTTAAGTCTTGTTCACGAATAATTTAATCTATTCTGGACTGTCTGTGTATAAGCGAAAAGTAAAAATATTTTAAGAGTCAGCACTCATAATGTATATATTTGTATAGTGTCTTGTGAATGTGATAAGTAGATATTTTCGTCAGCTGAAAACTTTGGCTCAAGCTGAAGTTTTGAAATGCATTGGCTTTTTTTCCAAGCCAGATAAATCGCATAGTTACTTATAGTACAAAAACATATAGTTGGATATGGCTAATCACAAAATCTGCTGAATCGAGCATGTGTATTGAGGCGCTAAGATAAATCTAAATGATAGAAATCGACTGTTCTCCGCTTTTACTAATAAAACTGCTACATAATAAGATTAAAGCCTCTAAATTTGCTGAGCGTTTTAAAGCCGACTAGACACGAATAAAAACGAAGGTATCTATAGGTGTTGTGGTATTTCTAGGTGCCAATAAATCAGAAGGTCTCGGTGGACAACTTTACATTTCTAAAATTTTGTTCAAACTAGCAAATGCAATGTAATGTTCTATTAAAATATCATAACATTAAAAAAAATCATCAAGTAACTGGAAAAAAAATGTTGAGAAAAATCGCATGCATCAGTTAATGATTTATGATGATACGCAGTGTTGATAGACTACGGTCGTCTGCAAAACGTAATCGGTTACTAGCGATAGCTTCGATTACACGTCGCTGTTAACAGCTAGCAAGCTCTTGTTTAATTAATCTGATTTAATAGATAAATATTTACTGCCAAAAAACTGAGCAGTTACAGGTAACCAAGGCTGATTCAAAGAAAACAAAAATAATTACATTTTTAGGTGAAATAATTGACGAAATAAGTAGTAATCAATTATCCCGAATAATGGAACAACGAATAAGGGGCGTCAAGTGCAACTTTAATCTTGTATTACTTTATTACGTCGTAGTAAAGTATGTAGACTGCAATAACAGCTGCTTGACCCAAAACGAAATAAATGGTGCAAGCTTAAAAATAATCCTCGTGCTTCATTACATATTTAAGCCTTCAGGCACTGCTTTTTAAGTCAGCCTTTAAAGTATGAAGCAAATAGATTGCATACACGTATTGTAATCATTAATCATATAACCGTTTTGCTTTAGATTTAGAATTTGACAAATGCATTTATATCTAAATTGACGCTGTTTATTAGTATTGCGCATGATTTCTTTTTACTGCAATTCTACGACTGTACAATTTCGCATCTCACAAAAAATCAACGAATTGATCAACAGTTGTGCGTATGCGTTTCCCGCCCCCCAAACTTCAGCCAACAATCCCCCTCGTGTTCTTGCGATACCACAATTACTGCCTTTATTTAAACTATTGTCGAATATCGCTACGCGCTGCCATTTAAATAAGAGCAAAAGGAACGCAGAGATTCATCCATCGGTTTCGAAGCAGACTGATTTCGGGCGTGAAGAGTGAGTTTACGCAGATGGCGGCGTCGATGGCTGTTGCTGCTGGCAGCGCCTCTGACGGCAGAGTCTTGTTCTCGCCATCGTTGCTGCTCTTGTTATTGCTGCTAGCGATGACGCTTCTGCTCGAGCTGTGCACGTCGTAACAGTGGCAGTGGCTAGGATTCGTTCGTTCTTCTACTGGCGCCTGGATAGGCTTGCCTGCTGATCTCGTTACCAGCACTTTGTGGGAAGCGATGGTCTGTATAGTTGTAAGTTAGCGGGCAGCTGTGGCGTCTGCAGGAGCACTTGTGCTATGCAGGGCTTCTGCTCGTGTCGCTATCGTCGGTCCGGTGCGCTGCAGTATTGTGTATATCTGCTGCAAGTGGCCGTAATGGTTGTCAATACAGCATGGAACAACAGTGTTTGATTGTAGGGCGCACCGCGTTGTGCGGCGTGTTGGTTTTACCAAGGCGACTGCTCTTGCAGCAGTAGTAGCAGCAGCAGCAGCAGCAGCAGCAGCCGTTCTAGCTGCTACGACAAGTATTCGACCCAGTAGTGGTCGAGCGCAGTTTACTGCCGGCTGGTGGGTAAGCGGCGCTGGTGCTGCAGGCGCCATCGAAGGATACCGTCATACTTCCCAGCGACACCGAGGCGTGCGCATAGGGCGACGACATCGTGGGTTAGCGGAATGTGTATGACGGTGTATCTGGTACGGTACAATAGAGCCAGATTTCTGTAAGGCTATCTCAATCAAGGCGGTAACCTAATAACAGAGCAAAGGAGTGTTGCGTAGCCGATCTGCATTCGGCTTCTCGGTGCCACCATAGGCTGTCCGCTGCAGACGGCCTTCGCTTCTCTGCCTGAGCTGAGTCCATGCTGGCTAGCTCATCGAAGACAGTTAGCCCGTCGCATACGATCGTCATATTCCCGCCACGTTTTTCGATGGGCATCGGCAAAACGAGTTGTCGAAATTGTCGCCACCTAGTTTAGTTTTGTTTCGTTTATTGTGCCCTGGCTACAGGCCTGCCCTCATAGTCACTGCGGGTGCCACCCGGGGGCTGTTGCAGCAGCAACAGCAGGGCAAAAGTGAACAGTCAGCGAACGGCACCATTGCGGGTAGCAGTCCAGTGAACTGGTTGATGCATTGGTTTGGGGAAGTTCGGTCTTCCTCAAAGTTGTTTTGGTGCTGTCTAAGGAGTGCGCATTAGTAAAGACTGACAGTGGCAGACCACCGATCAGCTTTTAGTCGCCTATGTTGGTTCTGCTTAGTCAATTTTTTCTTCTAACGAGGTGAAAGAGGGTGGTAATAAAACAGTACCCAGTTCACCTGAGATTTGAGGAACAGCCAGTTCTCATCGTCGTCAGGTTTAACATCAGCGACAGCAGCAGCACTGCCAGCAGGAGAAGCGGAGGGGGCCACAATTGAACTGCTTTTGTGCTGCGTGTGGTAATATCGGTAGCAGTACTACGTGCAGTAGCTGATGCTGTTTAGGGCAGTTGAACAAGCAGATAAATAAGAAGCGGTTGTACGACGACTCCGCTAAGCGTCCGTGCTGTCCTAGTGATTGATTTAGGTGATTGTGCTGTGATTGTCGGTGATAGTGCTGCTGCTGGTGCTATTGTGCGGCGGCGGCAGCTGTGTGTTTAAGAGTCATGACGGTGCCTAAAGTAGAGGATAAAGACCATCAACCTGGCCAGGCAGCTGCAGTGGAAACTGGAACCGACCCGCTCGAACATCAACGGGACCTTATTACCAAGTTGCACAAGAAGCCATTAGTCAAAGGCGATCGGTGGTACGTACCGTCATCGACTCGAAATGTTGTACTAGGTACATTTTATCGATACATTCCTGTGGATGTATTGCTACGCTTGAAAACAACGATGACAGTCGATTCGTTGTCGCCAAGCGTTTAGCTATGCTAAATTGTAGTATGTTAATAAAGCCTTCAATGAACATTCAGTTACACGCAGAGTGCAACACGACATTCTCATTCATGTATTGAAAAAGATGAACTTGCTATCATGGGTATATGTCTGAGTGCTACCAATTTAATATCGCTCATCGTTTCGGAGAATTGATTTGTATATATATATATATATATATATATATATATATATATATATATATATATATATATAATAAACAACAGATAATATACAGAGGAAAGAAACGACGGAAAGAGGAAAGCTGAGAAACATGTGAACTACACATGGTCTCTGCACGAGAAGGTGCCACACACGTGCTCTCCCTCTTCCTGCCTTTGTTGCTCATCCAGGAAACAACGAGACCATCTGGGGCTGTGGCCGCAAACTTTAGGCTATTGCGGCTAAACGACGAACCTTCTCGACGTGAGCCTCTTGTTGTCGAAGGTCCCGTCTGGGTTGTTATATTCTGCCTTTGAGAAATGAACCTCTAATGCAATACACCGCATAGCAGTCTAGCCTATCGCCGTGGCTGCTAGCCACTTGTTTGGTTCCAGTAATGTCCCCAATAGCTAATGTTTGTTCATCTCTAGTACTACTGTTAAGGAGATCCAGTTGGTTTTTGCTTGTTGTTTAAAGAACACTGCAACTGAAACGTGTATATCCAGACACGCATCATGCAGAGCTAATTCAGGGAGATAATAAAATACCAGGAAACTTTCGATGAACTATGAAATATTGTCTGCCTTCGGTGGCAACGAGTCACTCTTTATTGTTCTATATGGCAACTATGACAAAAGCGTATTTGACAAAAGAGGGGTGTAGTCATAATGGAGGCAGATGCATGCTACGGCTAGGATGGACGGGCAGGCGAGCGGAAGTAGATTATGACTCCAGCCGAATGACTCTACTTCGGTTTGCTGGCTTACGCAACGGACGTCTTTGTTGTGGTCACATGACTTGCACTTAAAATAATTCAACCGGCTGACGCCTTTGACGATCGTCATCATATTTGAAACAGCAACAGCCGCCGGCTACCAGTACAGGTCACAACGAGTATATCGCAACGCAGTACGTCTTGAACTTCATGGCTAATTAGCCCTATGCGTGGGTGCTTTCAGAACTTAGTTGAATTGTTGCTCATTCGAATGTATTTATTTGCTGATAATAATATATATTTGTTCGGCAATACTGGAACAACGGAAAAATGATGATGCCAACACGTTGCCGATGAAACGTATGATCTAGTCTTGTTGCCAGTTGAGCTGAAGCATTCAAGTCGATTCCGATGTAGTACTGTTTCCTTACAAAAGGCAGACATTTGTCGTTCTGAGTATCAGGCGATCTGTGTTAGACCTCAGTTTCAATACTCTTTTCGCAATAAATGTTTTGAACAAAATCGTCTGGTTTTCAAAGTCCAGCAATCTATGATATGCAGAGCAGTCGCTAGGTACCATATTTACATCTACTTGCACTGTCGTTTATATATAATTCAGATTGTCCTTCACCTTATTCTGCAAGGTCGAATGTCTTTTTTTACGAATAGTGTAACATCACTTTCTTCATAGGTTGAATTAGAGAAAAGTTGGATTTTTCTAAAGGTGAGCAAAAACTTTTTATTGCTTTCTATTACGCAGAGAGTGGCCGACTCTACGAGAGGCTATGTTACGGTTCCATACGCTGGTTGTATCTTTTATCATTTATTAAAGAGTCAAATTTAGCACCGTCAGCCAGGTAAGAGTCAACCTGTTTCGGTATATGATATCTACAGCTTGAAGCGCAGATTACACGGGCATACAGTTATCTCTTGTGCAGTGGCTTCATGAGCGATTGGCAAAGTTTGTCAGTGGTGTCCTTACTTGTTCTTTTACAATTTTCTATATAAGACAAACTCGGTGTTCTGAAGCCATTTTTTTTCAACTAGGTAATCAAACTAAAGTTTGAAATATAGGTGTGGAAATTGAGGGTTCCAGAGTTCGATAAGCCTGACTTATATAGGTTTTTGTGGTTTAAGTTATGCGGTATAGGTACTTGTAATATATATAATTACATAATTATATAATTATGTATATAGATCCGACACTTGGGATGCCATAACTACAAAAGTTACTTCATATTACGTAAGTTGCATAATGCCGATCGAAAATACAAAGTAATTTACACTTACGGTACGTCCTATCATGGACAATAGTATGATCGGGTCGTATTGATGACGACTAAATTAAACGTTGCAATGCTTTTGCGATTAATACGTTTTCAATGACAATCAAAGACAATCGATTTATCGGTCTTTCGAATATCGGCTCAGAAGGATATTATTCAGACGTTTGTAATATGTTTTTAACTAAAGCTCGTTATAATCTAAAAGTTTAATTGGAATAGTTGTGAGCTTATTCAGCCCGGCGAACAGTGTGGCTCCTCATAAGAATTATTGTCCTCGATAAAAAGAATTATATCTGATCTATGGATTTACATTGTCCCGATCTCACCAAGATTATATTTTGGTGAGATTGGCTTTTACTTTACAAAATTATACAAATTATGCAACAACAAAGGAACGACGATCATCAATAATGAGATCCTGTAACCCTACTGCTAATAAAAAATCATAGTTCTACGTTTGTGGTTCAATTAGTAGTTTGATTCATAGTAACGTCATCATATTAGATGATTGTTAACTGCACATGGCATGATTTGTTATCTAACCTATGCTTATGTGAGACAGCGGATATTTCTGTTTGACATAATCTGTTGAAACGTACAATGCTATATATGAAGCATTACGAGTAGCTGAATAATTTCGGGTAAAATATTTCGCAGACCCACCAGCAATGAGAGCATTATTCATGCTGATGATTTTTACAAAGCCGACTACACTAAAGCGTCTTTATCCATGCATAGTATGAGATGCCGTGTCTCGTACACATGCTCGATTTCGTGTACTCAATAATGGAAACCTGAGAAATCATACGTGTACAATGCTGCATAAATATTATGTTTTCGTGTAAGCTTTTGGGTACACTTGATGTGCGAGATATCTGTTTATAGCATGATTCCCCACGGCTGTAGCATATATATTGCTCTTACACGGTTTACAAGCTTCTAGCGATAAATAGCTAGAGAACTAGCGAGTTTCGATAAAAAGTGCGAATTATCATTAGCGTTTTCGAATGCTAACCAAGCCGTGCCGTAGGTCCGTTAGTGAACACAGAGGATCTGCCCCGGCTAGATTTAGTGAGGAGAAGCCCTTTATACTATACTGAAAAATCCGACAAGTTGCTTACACAAAAATAGCTTAAGGTAAACAAAAAGTAGCATTTCGTTAAGTGCATTTGCAGCAGTGGCATAAGACCCTCATAATTTATTTATCTTTGCTAGATAGCCTTCTCTTTATTGATAACAAATTAAGAACATGGTGTTTAATGCAATAAATGTTAGGTCTAATAATTTTATGAACTCCTGTGTCCAGTACTTCCGGAGCCGCTTTATGACTTTATTTGTTTTATCATATAAGGCCATGTAGCAACGGCATCAATTCGCAGTAATACTTAGGTGGAATCTGTTGCAGTATCAATGCATGTTTGTGCCTTTCGCGATAAGTTTAAAATCATTGTATTGTGTGCGCTACAGGTATCTTCTCGAACACAAGTGGTTCAAACAGTGGAAGAAATATGTCGGCTTTGACACCTGGGAAACGCAAGATGTCGGCGAACCGACGGCCAATCCAGGGCCCATCGACAATTCGGCCCTCCTCAAAGGTGAGTTTGATCAATAAAAATAATAATGGTCAGTATGACGAGTATAATTGTCTTGAAGATGTACATAGTTTACCTATGCTTGAAGCCGGAACAATTGTCGTTATTGTGTTCAAACGTATATTGCTAATTTAGAGCAGGTTTTTTCATTTTTTTTTATTATTATTTTGCAGAAGGGGTTTGTATTAGCCTTATATTCATACAATATCCCAATTTCTGCATCTAAAGCCGTTATCGTCGATTAAAATCCGTCTGTACATAAAAAAAGCAACTTCTAAATATAAATTCTAGTGTAGAGACTTTGAAGTAAATTATTACATTTTAATGAGCTCACAGTACCCCTTGGATAGCTGCAAATATTGTAAGTATAACAATGAAATAAACTAAGCCTTAATTTTTTTTTTAATTGGTGTTACATAAGTGGAGCTTCGCCACTTGAACCATTACCGAGTCAATTCATATTAATTTCGATTAATAGAATCCCGCATTGCAATATTTACCTTAATTTTCTCAGTTCGATTGTGTAATCAAGAACAACATCGGATGAAGCTTGTACTTTGGAGTACGTATTTAGCAGTTCAGTGACTAGTCAGCGATCATATGTGGACGCCCATCGATAAGCCATAAAGTCACAAAGTAATTTTCCACAAACACTATATACACGAATATAAAGATCGTATGGCTTTTTTGAGAATGAATCAGGCCTAAATCTATCTGACTTCAAATGAACTTGAATAGGGTCGTATGCTTTGCCGCCAGCTGATGCATAGAACTTCTGGCTTTTCAATTTGGGATTTCGTAGTATATTTACCTGACATTGTGTTGAGCACAGATAATGCTAAATGTGTTAATAAAATGTAAAACGGAGGTCATGGGGGATGATCGTTAGATAAAGTAGCACACACAAGGAATCATGTTTTTTTTTTGTTAGTTCAAGAAGTGGTTTGTGAAAAGGATGCTTAGTTTATTAAAAGTGGGCAAATATATGGACCATTAACCTTGCATCTGTTTTATGCCACACTAGCTGTGATGAAAAAAACGTGAGTAAGGAAGACTGTTCGGCAATCCACAACTTAAAAATGCATAAAAAAAAAAAGTTTAAAAATCCATTTCCCATTCCCAGTGATATTTTGAATTTGCTCACTTCGATTATGCTGCACCCTGTTTTACATCAGAAATCGTCACAAATGTCATAGCTGGAAAGATTATATCTGTAACGTCTTAACCAAATAGTTAGTACATTTGTGAAGTGTGCATTAGCGTTACACTAAACAAACTACAAATGTCAAAAAGCAGTATGTCTTCCAACTAAAATGCATGTATAGCTTAAGTTGTGTTTGTAATATCGTGATAAATTGAGTTGCAGACACCAAAGATCCTGAGGATTTACGAGAACATCTCATCGACGAGCTGGACTACGCTTTAATGCCAGAGGAAGCCTGGGAAAAACTCGTAGAATGGTGCGTTCTCAGATCAAAAGCCCATATAAATTATATGCTCGCGGGACGTAATTAATGTTATTACGACCGTTTGTAGTTTATGTAACCCGCGAATACGTAATTCAGCTGGGCTTTTTTTGCGATACTACAGTATGGCCTCTGTTACCACTATTCTATGCATTACCTTCAGGTAACAGTTTTACGTGCTCAGCGATAACAAACCGTATGCATCTAACAGTTAGAGCCAGCACTGTTGCTTTTGCTATTGGGTTGCCTTTAATTTTGTGCCTGTGTTGTTTCAGGTACGGCATTGTAGCGAACCAGAGTCCAATTGCTCGTACTGTTGTAGATTATGGAATGTTTCTCAAGAACCTGAGAGTTGAGATCTACAAAATGGAACTTAAAATGTGTTTACATCCAAACATCGATGAATTGAAGACTTCCAGGTTTTCAAAGGTTGCCACGCTTGAGGAGGTTGAGAAAGTAAGGATCTGATTCTGTTTTTTGCAGAACTGAAGAAAATGCTGATCTTATTATTCTTATAAGAACTATTGTAGTAGTCATTCGTCAACAAAGGTTTTTTAACCCTGTCAATCAAACGTCCGTAGGTTGCGCGTTCGCTGTTTTCGGTAGCCGATGACGCGAGCACTCGGCTCTGGTACCGGTTCAGTACAAACACCCTCGAGATGATCACAGACAAAACGAAAACAATTCAGGATGAGTCGCTCTACTCCGCGCAGGTTTATTGCTAAACTTTAGTACTAAATTAAGGAATATACCATACGCATTAAAGCTACTTCCCAACTAATCGTTAGTGAATATGTGGAAAAAGATGTGAGAGTTAATCTGAATGATGTAGAAGAATGGTTATTTATAAAGTGTATACACACAATAGGAAAATCTCTTTGATAAGCACATTTTTTTCATATTGGAAATATTGAGTACAACACTTTAATATCGTAGCCTTTTCTCCATTCTGTTATATTACTTCTATTAAAAAAAAATGTTCTCTTTTGGCAGGTAATCTCCTTGTACAATGACGATCTTCTTTTTGTTTAAATCGCACCATCGCTATCGTTTTTTTCAAATTCAGTCAGTTTCATCACTACTAAGTAGCTTATGTATAAAGGTTCCTTATTTTATATATTATTATTACATACCCAAACAATTAAACAAATTTAGTTTAACTGCCGAACGTTTTGTTACAGGTCGTTCTGTTAGAGGTTCAAAATGCTGACGGTTCATGGCCTCGGAACACTCCATCGAGCGGGACTTCATCCACGGGTAGACTGGCTGGACTTTCTTATGCTGGTAGTGTGAATTCATCGACAGGCGGTGCCCAAAAGAACAACCCAAACGCAGGTAGCAGTAGCAGTAATGGGAGTCCTTCAGCTAGTTCGGCTACAGCCAGTGGTTCTTATCGGTAAGTGGCTTCGTCCCTTACCATCATCGGCAACAAAGGTTGCTGCCGCTTCTTCTAACAGTATGGCTACAGGGAAAAGGCCCCGCTGGGTTAATTTTTTTGCTTGAACATAATCTGATTCGTCAATAATCTGATTTGAATAGAATAATTAATATCAGATTTAAAATTGAAAGTGCACAACTAGTTCAGAGAACAAATTTTGTTTTTAAGGAACACTAAACATTCGATGAACATTTTTGTATAGTTGTCTGCGTTGTTATTGAACATTTATTTCCATTTATATACGCACTTGTAAACAGTCATATGTGCAATAGGCTTATAATTATAGCATGTACAGTTATGTATCGTACTGTCCGTATATTAAGTGAGGTTAACCATATTTTAGCGTGTTCTAACGCCTCTGTATTTCTATTGGACTTGGCTTTTATTGTTGCCTGGGTTTCGATTTCCAGAAATACAAGGTCAACAAGTGCAGGACTCTGTGGTTTACTAAATTTAGGAAACACTTGCTTCATGAACTCAGCCTTGCAGTGCATGTCCAACACACCACCTTTGACAGAATATTTTCTCTCCGATCGTTATTTGGATGATTTAAATCGAGAAAACCCGCTGGGAATGCACGGAGAAATTGCGATCGCTTATGCTGATATGATCAAAGCCCTTTGGGGCGGCTATACTCAGACGTACGCGCCTCGAGCTTTCAAAGAGAAGGTAAAATTCTTCTCGTTCTTTCTATTAGGTTTCTTTTTACATACTTTGCTAGGTTAGCAGGAAGACATCGACGAGTTTATAGTTTAAATAAAATGCTTGAATATTTATATGCATTTTTATGCTCAGCAACAGATGATACATTTCGAGGAAGACGACAAAATATTGGTTAGTAAACAGGTTGCGTAACTTTCATTCCCAAGCCGAGGACTTAAACTATATATTATGATGAACACAGCCTATAAGTAGTTAATCTGTTCTACTTTGTATTCAGTTTTTGTAAACAGGTATACAAAAGGTCAAGTTAGCAGTGTGTTATCATCCTTGCATTTGTTTTAGGTTGGGCGATTTGCGCCTCAGTTCCACGGGTATATGCAACAAGACTGCCAGGAGTTAATGTCGTTTTTACTCGATGGACTTCATGAAGATTTAAATCGAGTGAAAAAGAAACCCTACATTGAGGCAAAAAACGCCGATGGCAGAGCCGATCGCGTCCTCGCCAAGGAGGCCTGGGCCAACTACCTGAAACGTAATGATTCCATCGTTACAGATACGTTCCACGGACTGCTCAAGTCGACGCTCGTCTGCCCAGATTGCAAGCACGTTTCGGTAACTTTCGATCCATCGTGTTTTCTATCACTACCCTTGCCACAACGCAAAGACAAGATAATCAATGCTGTCGTCTTTAAGAACGAGCCTGCTAAACCGCATAAGCTACGAGTCCACGTACCGGTCTATCCTACGAAATGTACAGGAAATGACTTCTATAGTATTGTAGCAAGGATCACTGAGTTACCCGCTGAAAATCTGGTTGCCGCTAACATGGACCTCTTTGACAAACGGGTTAAGTGGATCATCGAACCGAATGATGAAGAGATCGACGACGTGGTCGACACCATTTACATCTACGAACTACCGACTAGCCCCTGGACAAATGAAGGCTCGTTGATCCGCGTATACATGCGAGAGATAACCAGTCGAGGCTCAGGCGAACTGGCGTTTTCGACGGCGGCCATGTTCGGCATGCCATTTTATCTGTACTCACCGACAAAGCATGTCTCCGTCAATGACCTCTATGAAATGGCCTCGGGCTGGCTGAAAGGCCGATTCGTCAACTTCGACAGTGCTGAAGCAGACGCAGATCATCAAACCAGCGACGATGAAGATGAGCCAATGGACGATGAAAGCGCGACAGAAGAACCAGGTCTCAACAAGGAGAACGGTACACAAAACTCGAGCCGAGACAAAGAAAACCAAGTGTCCGGAATGGCATCGACGTCCTTATCCTCGTCGATTCGGCGAAAGAAGCGGCTATTCAAGGTAAACCTCGTAAATGAAATGTGCAACACGTCGCTCAACGAACAGGCAAAGGCGTCCAATGGAGAAGTTCAACAAGGTGCGGCAGCCGCACGCGATTCTGACGGATCAGCCGACGGCGAAGATACCTTGATATTAACGCCAAAAGCCTATCTTGCTCTCGACTGGCTGCCGAAAGATAAACAGGCCGCATATGAAGAGTGTTCCGTGTTAATGATGCACTCAAGCTACATTAATAGCGGACCGGCTAATAAACGACCCGTTCGGCTCTGGGAGTGCCTGAAGCTTTTCACAACAACCGAAAAGCTTGGCGCAGAGGACCTGTGGTACTGTCCTGCCTGCAAAAAGCACCAGCAAGCTACGAAAAAATTCGATTTGTGGTCACTACCTAAAGTGCTCATTATTCATCTAAAGAGATTCTCATACAACCGCTACCTCAGGGATAAAATCGATACGTTGGTCGACTTCCCCATCACTGGATTAAAAATGGGCCAAGTAGTACTTGATCCGAAACATAAAAATGCCACTTACGATCTTATTGGAGTTGCAAATCACTACGGTGGTATGGGCGGAGGACACTGTGAGTATTCAGTATTTTAATGGCTTAAATAGCGCTGAATTCCTTGTGTTTCTAGAAGATTATAGCAAAAGATACGAATATGGATTGGTGCAGAAGCCAGAAAATAATGAAGATATGGAATATAGTACGATTAGTGTTGCAAAAGATATTTTGGTAATAAATTCAAGTAAGATAATTTTGTCTTCATTTTGTTTGTGTTCATTTCAATGCAGTGATGCTCATTGCATTGAAATGAAACCGATACATATACACTCTAGAGCTTCATTAGCTGTAAACAAAAATTATTTTCTATTTAAATTACGCTTTTTTCATCGCTTTTGACATTGTTTTGATATGTTTTTTTTGCTTCATTATAGATACGGCGTATGCGAAGAACAAATTAACCAATACATGGCATCATTTTGATGATGCGACAGTTTCCCCCATTAGTGAGAACAACCTTGTGGTAAGTGTTTGGGACAAAAATCTTCCAGACAGTGTTATACGAGACATTCGTCTCGTGTAACATTGTTATAAGTGGTTCAAGGTCTTTTTGTGTGTTTTAGTTTCGTTTTCTGTTACACTTGCCAACCTCTACCGATTGTGTAGGAAAAACACTTTTGAATTACCGCAAAAAAAATTAATCGTTTTCAAGAAACTACTTCATTGTTCACTACATAATGAATACGATGGATTAGTTTCGCTTCCAATGTGCTTACATACATGATACCCAAACAAGTATTGCAACAGAATTATTTACTGGTAATACAAAACGTTAAAATTAGTTTTGTCTTTGCTGTTTCATGTGGCGATGTTTTTGCCTTTCTGCCGATGACAAAATCATCTGATCTATGATGATTTTTTTAATGGTTCAACGCAATCAGTCGAAAAATGCGTATGTGCTATTCTATATGAGACAAGATCCGCCGAGCGTGCGTACCCGTAACGGTACAGAGCAAGCCAACTCAACGACAGTACCAACCTCTAATCCGACTCGGCCACAGAGGCGGTCGGCGACACAGAGAAATAGCTGGACGTCCGAATCCGAGGAATCTATGTCCTCGAACGAAGAATCCGATGATATGGACTATGATGCATGATCGCGTCGAAAAAACATAGTCAAGAAACTAGGCTGAGACTAAATACGCGGTGTATGCGGTTTAGTATGGACCTGCGCCGGGCCCATACCAGACTAATGGTATGAACACGATGCGTGGGCTTATATCATAAGTTATGAACCCACGCACTTTTCAAATTGCCATTAGGTAGCTACCTGCACAAGGAATGCTTCTCGTGCTTAAAAAACTGACGACCGCGGTATATGGAGCAACAAGGGTAGACAAGCTGTTCTGCTATCAGAGGGAGGTTCAAATGGGTGCTGTCAGAAAAAAGCAAAACCGGTCTAGTTAAGGCGTGGATCACGTTCCCACGGTCGCACGCCCATAATCGGTTCAGCTTTACACCGAAATGTGCTGTAAAATAATTCCTGTAAGAGTTTAAGTGCTAGGAAAAAAAACTATACCGTCTTTTCTTGTGATGTGAAGCTTCGTAGCGTTACCGAACACAATTATTTTGTTTCCCTTGGAGTGATGAATGAAAATATTCTTTTCATTATTGATAATGCGCAATCAGGCACAACTTTATTTTGATGCAAATCATCCTGTTATTTCTTAATTTTGCACAGAATATTTTGGTGGTGGATCGGAAAAACTAACAAGATTAAGTGTGCATTCATAGATCATAGCAAGTACTATTGACCTTATGGGTAAATCGAGGGGTTCGTCATTTAAAGTATATAGGGATGGGCCCGGTATATTTCCATTTTTTTGCGACATAGACCCGTCTTGTCTGGGTGAAAAAACATACCAAGTCGGAAGATAGGGCCATAATGGCTAGCACAAATGCTGCTTGGCAGAATACTCCATAAACACATCGGTGAGAGGGTTACCTGATACTGAGGAATTGTGACCAGAGAGGGTATATATACTACCTGTGTCTGTGCATCGATAATGACAAAGACATAAAAATTAGTGAAAGACGAGTTTTGAACGTAATCACCACGTTCAATTAATTTTATCATCATTATTATTATATTACTAATACTAATAGCGATAATGACATGATAATAGCAATTGCGGCCGCCTTATGGTAGCGGTCTGGGTAAGACAACACACGAACGAGTCTTTTTGACGAAGTGATCTTATTATTATCATTGGATCATGGCAATTTAACAACAGCAAGCAAATGACAAGCGAAAGAAATAAGATAAGTAAAGCGGAACAAGTAAAAAATCAAATTTTGGAATATTTGATTATATGCTTGTGTGTGCGTGAGTGTATTTGAATAAATGCGTTTGTGCAAAAAAAAAGGACGGCATTGATATGACCATGTAAAATTGATGGGTAGAAGACGAAAAAAATTACTCGTCGTAGGATATGAAAAAACGTTGTCGTAGTTAAGGTAAGAGTGCCTAATTGCATCCTTTAGACTACTACTGTATCATCAAGGGTTGACGTTATATTTCACCTCTACGTGTGCTACGATAAGGGCGGATGTCTCGGCTGCTGATGTGTAGCAGCTGCTTTTCCAGCCAGACGACGCCAGCGGGATAGGTAATTAGTTTTATATCTTTATTATAATATTAATATTTATAATATAATATTAATTCATAACGAAACGGTAATCACAGAAGTAAGCAAACAATAATTGACGATAATTAGATGAACAATAATACTAGTAATTAAAGTGTCAGAGCAAAGGCACATTAAAGGCATAATGTATGTTGAAACTTACAGAAAACAAATAAAACGAAAGTTATAGATGAGTGCAAGTATTTAGGCAAACCGACACAAGAGTTTGCTGAAAATAATTGACAATACAATACAGCAAAATTATATAAAAACAAAAACACACATTATACATACTCGGAAATTGAAATAGCTTTCATATTTATTCAATATATTCTAGATACTAGAACTAATTTATTATGCTAATACTATTGTCCTACTTCGAAACACTGAGAGCATTTTTGAAGCGGATCCCTAGTTTGTTTTGTCCCATTTTGTCGGCACCAGTTACAATAGCAGGAGCGACACTACAATGAAAAAGGGAAATGGGCCAGAGGTCAAAAAGGAGCCAAGGTTGTTTGTGTGCGACCATCAGATGGTATTTGATACATGGCGGTACATGGCTAAACGGTTAACGGCGTATAGTGTGATATGGTAGCTGGTATTTCGCACAGATATAATGGAAACGAACTATTCTAATTATTATATTCGTAGTAACAATGAGTTGACGATAATTATATCAATGTGCGCGACAAAGTGTTAAAGATAAAACAATGCTAGTAGTAGAGAAGAGAATCGAGAGCAAATAAAACGAGAGCCTGAAAAAAAAATTAGACGCAGTATTCCGATTGGACGGGAGGAAAAACAGCGGCGACATGCATGCTCTAGGTAAATTAGTTCCAATGATGGAGGCAAACATGTAGAGTTCAAGTTCGAACTGAAAAATAGCTGATGTACGGTTGGTCAAGCAGGTGCCGAAACATATTCACAGAGAGTGGAGTAGTAGAAGGAACGAACGTAAACGGAGGCCAAAGGATATGGAATGGAAATAGTCATAAATGAAAAATCGATTAAAGTTGAAAGGACTCTGGGCATCGTGAAGTGAGAATATTAGCATAAGCAAACGGAAACAGATTCGAGGTGATACCCATATAAGACAAACTGAGAAATGATTAGCAACTAAGTAGGTATATGATAACGAGGTAACAGACCATAGCTCATAATATGAGCTGCGAGAAAGTGTCGTGCAGAGAACAAACAATCCATTGAGACTAATATTGCAAGACAATAGTGAATGTTAACGAACAGGTAGCCATAGAGCGAAAGGGCGTATTGCCGTGCATATGAGACAATTAGGAGAAACAAAAGACAAGAACGTACATTAAAGTAGACTTAGATTGCCAAGTAGGTCAAGTTCTACGCAGCGCCCATTGAGACCCCGTACTCATTCTGCACTCAAGATCTCTTTTTCTCATGTCAGTACCATCTGAGGAATGTTTTTTTTCACTTTTCTGGCGTCAGCCCCGCGTTCTACCACTGATGCTGTTAGCGAGGTATAGGATCAGTTTGTCACTACGCCTATAAACTACTCCGTGAGACAAGTAGTACAATAAGTGAAAAAAACAAGTTTCGAATTAACGAGTTTCGCAGGCTGTCAATTCAACTTCAGCGCCACAACTACATTGCTTTTATTCTCTGCTAAATGCTGAACCTAAATATTTGTTATTAAGTTGAGGTAGATAAATATTGCGTCACGAACAATAGAAATTGTAGCAATCGAAAGGAACTCACATAAACCGAGCGATTTTTTTTATGAAAATGAGAGTAACAATCGCAGACATCAGGAGCGAAAACGGAAGATTTCAACAAGGTTAATAAAAATGAAAAAAAATCACACATGTACAGCGCGTACGTAGATGCTGAATCAATGGAATAGAATAGGCCAAGGTTTAGGTTGAAGAGCCGTTGAACAGAGCAAAAAGATTCAAATCTTATCAATCATGCTAGTAGTAGCACGACGCTGATCACGATGATAAGATATTAATGAAATAAATGAGATGTTATAACTTTCTTTGTAGGTCTAATACTTATGCTACGCATGTTAGTATAAATAGTAACAGAAGGTAACAATGAACTTAGAAATTATTGATTAACCAGTATTTAAATACTGGTTGATCAATAATTCAATTCAGCAATGAAATCAGTTTAAAACGACAAATAAGTGGCCCCAGGAAAATCTTCCTACAAAATCTCAGTTTTCTTGAAGTCTTTAATGAATCAATCTATTCCATTAACAGAAGTAGGCTGGAGACCGTGCTTGAATTCTTTATTAGATTATTCTTTGGTTTCAACCAAGCAGCTGATTGGTAAGGGCTTCCCGTTACGCGGATAAAGGCAGCTCCGGCGTCAACTAAACGTTCCTGCAAATTACGACTGAAGACGTTGTTAACATCAAATTTGACGTCATCGCACCAGGCCTGTGGACTGAACGCAAATAGCGTTTTCGAACTGTATATAAGGGCTACAGGATACAGCAAATGTGAAAATGTTTTCTTTCGAGAAAAACGCAGAAATTTTATTTGCAACATACTGAATCGGATAGACGCAGCAAATTAACGTGTTATTCACCAAAGCCCAGGAATACTCACCGGGAACAGCTACAGACATGATTCGGTATAAGGTGCGCTCTCAGTGTTGAACTAAACTTTCATGGCTAACATAGGGAAAAACGGGTTCTGCTTCTAATGCGTCCTTGGATTTTATCACCATAGTCGCATGCCTAAATGGAGAAGGTCTGCCACTGACGCCCTTCCGACCAATAATCAAATCGGAAACATCCATGAACAATATCTGCTTTATCTTCTGTCTCTTATTATGTATTCTTGTTCATTTAGCTCAACAGGTATATGACGCCCCAGGTTACGCGAAGTAGCGGTCGCCACCTACACAATGAGAAAGCCCACGGTTGTTGATTCAGTTAGTGAAAATGAACTACTGGCGCTTTGCTCATAGGGTAAAATGATGATATCCCTGTAATAGCTAGGTAATGTAATCTGCTAATCTTAGAGACACGTTGTTGTGTAAGTTTGAACTTGGGCGCAGATACACTTTGTTTCGTGTTGGAAGCCAGCGGTTTGATGGGAATGCCTAACGACGATACCAGATGTAAAACCACCAGAACACTGAGAGGTTGGATGATGTTAACTATGGTTATTATTTGAATGGTAAGCGTTCCGCAAACTGCTGATACCTGGCTTAGCTGCTTTCCTTTCCGGTTTTTTTAATTTGTCAAGAACTTTCGAAGCGTCTAAAGTTTTCAAATCCCTGCTAATTTCGGCATCCGAATAGTTTGTGTAGCAATAGGCCAACGTACATGATGCGGTTACTTTCGACATTCAGTCTTCGTCGTGAGACTACACTAGTCCAATTTTATCATCCTGCTCTTGTTCAGCTAATGCTAAAGCATCAGATTTAAACGTCAAACATATTCCAGCGCTGCGAACTACCCTTTGAATAATAGCATTAGCCCTGGATGTTTTGGCTGAATACTTGAGCCTTTAGCATAGCTATAATTATGTGAATGATCACACTTTAGCACGAATAGCCTATTAAAACTGGTTTCCAATTTCAGAGGGGAAATTATGCAGGGCAAATCTGTGTCCAGATTCTGAAGAACGAAAAGCGTCGCAAGCCAGGCATCATTATAAGCGTCAAATCACCTGAAGGCAGCTAAAGGCGTCACATTCGATGATGATGACTGCTTTTTCTTACGAAGGCTCCAGTCGAAAGAAACGCACTCGCTGTAGCTTAACATTCATAGGCGTTAAAACTAGGCTGCCCTGCATGCTTCATCAGAAGATCGAAATTAAATACTTCGCTGAGATGTTCCTTGTCGCTTCTTTATATCCTTGAAGGTTACCTGAGCGTTCTTTAGTCAAAGGGGTTCGTGATGTTCCACTTACGGCAACAGCCGATTGTTTACTTTCCAGCTATTGTTCTTCATCTTCGTACCAATTGATGAAAAGCACTTATTCGAGCCCGGAGCGCATGCTGCGTATACAAGGCAAGCTTGCGCCCAACCGGTCACTCTTTCTTGGATCTGACATTATCGCTCCAACGATCCGTTTGAGGCTGACGCACAAGCAACAATGAAAAACTGTTGATTTCAAAAGGTTGCAGATAGTTGACTAATATAACATTGAATCTTTTACCTGTCGGATTCAAAATTTAGCTCCATTGGCGGCGAAGTCAAAGTTCACTTGTTTAGCCTTGTGAGGTCGTAGTCAAACAGATATAGCTCAGTCAATTAAGGAGTAGAAGAGGTTCTAAGGCCGAAGCTGTTGCCATGTGGGAGTATATAACAGGGTTCAGTAGAATCATTGATCTTCCTCCTAGTGCTGTGTTTTGCTTTTCGATTAGTGAACTTTGGAAGGCTCACGTTATTCGGTTGCTTCTTGAACGTTCTCACGTGCATGCATTTGTGTACTCCTCTCGCAAATCTGTCTTTTCGCATATTTTCAAGAAAGTCATTATGTCCTACATAAGGACATAGTCCAATCTTACAGTATTTCATTTGCACCCAGTTGCGTTAACGTTGACTGACTTATTGTTTACCAAAATCTTTTCGAAATAACTTGTAAGCATTCTCTGTGCTTCGTTTTTTAAAGGGGCGTCTAATTTTCATCATTTCAGTGATTCGTTTAACGCACTAGGTGGACAACCCTCAACTAGACAACATGTAATAGTTGTAAGCTTTGACATACGTATTATATGCGTAATTACCCCACGAAAGCTATTCTTCCTAAAAAAGGAATTAGACAATAGCAATGCTTATATGGCGCCCTGTTACTTTTCAAGTTATAAGCGAATGCGCGCGGCCAAATCTAAAGTTATTTTCTTAATATGGAAATTAGTTTTTCAAGCCTTTAGGTTTTTATTGCATATTTGGCATCACACATGTACAATAACCGCTCATTTTTTACTCTCAAACACCCAAAATCGTTTATCTTTATCATTCCTTTTACGCACATGACCTGCTCTAGATACACAGCGGCCATTGCTCATTTCTGCCTGTTCGCAGTTTTGCTAATCTAACCTAAAGCCAAGTCGCCTGCTTAATCTATACTAGGATTTTAAATCCATGGTCGTCTATTTTCGTATCTGGGCGTAGACATATTTCATTTTATAACAGGAGCCAGCTACCTGATGCAATGCCTGACCTGCTATATACCTGACCTAAAACTCAGACTCACGCTGTTTCCTTTCCTTACAATGTTGCGTTGTCGCATAACTTCTGAGAAAATCCATTATATAGCGTCAGTAATTTTCTTACATCGTTTCGATTGTGCAACTATATTGACTGAGGGAATTGTCTCGCTTCCGTTACAGGTATTTCCGATTCCAACTGGGCCATTATAGAGCCCTCGCTGGCATATTCTATTGCCAGTTTTATTTTGTAGCTTTTCCCTAGATCTTATCAAAGTGATCAGTTTTACGTTCGGAGACTTTTCAACGGATTATGAATAACTACTTAACAGGCGTCCACTCGCACTCGACAAACATAAAATTTTGTAGGCATGATTTTGTATACGACGTATCTAATATGGCAACTTTGTACGATTCTTATCAGCCCTTTCTGACAAGCTTCGAAGGCTGTTTAGTTGCAATCATGTTCGACACAAACCGAAAAGGATCAGCATAAAAACGCCAGACCCAGCTTCTATTTCTTCTAATTCTTCTTCTTCTAAGCCCGTCAACTAAGTAATATAGAAATATTATTAGTCCGCAAACATAATGAACTTTATTATAGAACGAAGACAATGTAATGATTTCACATTCGTCAATTTATGATTGAACATAAGTTATTTACGATCACGCGCTGGCAAAGCAAGACATAAACAAGCAATCCCTGTGTGAGAACAACGGAAAAAGATGCCTTAAAGGAAGAGGAAGTGAGTTTTCAATTAACCAGTAAACTCCAAGTGGTATATCTGTCTATCACTGCTATTATGAAGACCACTACGTCTTTTTTTAGCGTCGTCTAAAGAGAACATGTTGGACCAGTATGTACAGGATCGTTGAATTAGTAGTCAGGTGGCTCTACACAGGATGGAACTCTATGGCTTCAAGTAACGTTGAACCGTGACATACCCCCCTGAGAGTAATTTATTTCTTAGACATTTTAGTTGACGGCTAACAGCCACGCTGTGATAACCGACCGAATCTGTACTCGACTGCTTAGCGGCTAGCCGGTGATATAAAAATATGCACTATATTTTAACTAATGACTGTGGTAATATACGGTGACGCGGACGATCGATCTGGTCCATGCTATTTTCGATCCTTAGCTGTTATTTATACAATCATAGAAATCGTATCAAGGATTAACCAGCGTGATAAATACTTTTTTTTTTTTTAAATATAATTAGACCAAAAAAACGAACATGGATTAGCGATAAGCCATGGAAACGAATTGAATTATAATATCATTAACTAAGCTATCACCCATGCCATTACCAGTGTCTATAATAATAGTATTATTCCCAGTATTTTGAGTACCGTAATTTGGTTACTAACTATACTTAGGTGTCGCATACCTCGGGTTTATGGGAGAAAGAGCGGCCCGTAGAGTAACTCGCACAATTCCTTACAGACCACTTTGAACAAAGGATAGGTTGAGCAATCTGTTTATTCTGCCGTTTGGAAGAATCCAGCGTAGTGATTCCATACAATATTCCTTTTTATATATAGCTCAGACTATCTATTTCAGAGAAAAACACGAGTGTGCCCGTAATTCCTAGCATTGACGGGTCCTGCTTAAAAAGGTGTTTTAATAATCTACAGTATGGTTAGAGACTGGGGTGATCTTGTTTGGATTGTTTCTTTTTTTCTGTAAAAGGAACGGTACAATTTTCATCGCTGTAAGGCTGTCTCATATCTTTTATTTTAGGTGCATCATCTTTTCTCTAATATGGCGAGATAATTGGCAGCAAATGTCAAATAGTACATCCCAGACTCCACCAATTAACGCCCTTTCAGTAACCCTTATTCTTCATCACGTCTGGCGCTGTATTAATTTTTTCCACGAAACTTTTTAGTTTTGCCGTTTTTTGACAGCTTTTTTATTTAAAGATTAAGAATCGCCAATTTAATATAACCATAAGGAAAGGCTAAAACATTTCATAGCTTTGCGTCTCTGTAGACAAAATTGCCATAGTACAGATATTCCAATGCCAAAACGAGATAAGCCATCATTGTATTTCTATGCGGGAGGCGTCTAAAGGTTTTGCAGTAACTTTTATGATTTAGTCTAAAAAAACTTAGAAATAGTGTCGGTATCTAGAAAACGGCTGTGGCCACATTTTATTATCATCACTTTCTTTTGAGGCACTAAGATTGCGGTAATCCCCAGAACATTTGATTTTGTCCTGGCTTTGGATCCAGATTGTTCAGTACTGTGCATTTCTAGTTCATTCATTAAATTCTTCCTATATTCTGAGCCTATATGTTTCGAGTTTCTACGTCTGGTATCGTCGTTAAGCGTTCTATCATAAGCCTGGCTCCTAATACGAGACTAAGTGTCTATGGTGCCATATCCACACCATGATGTGTCTTTAAAACTAGCAGGCAAATACGTTACCCACTAAGCTATCATGGGGGACTACCTTGTTCCAAAGAGAAAATGTACTTGAAGCCAAATTTGAAGGAACATTTGGAACTATATGTGACTTATTATCAGGGTCGAAACGCGCCTTGTCTTCGGACCGGCCTGCACAGAAATCGTCACGGAAACCGCTGACGGTTTCAGGCGGTTTGGCAACGTCGGGATGTGTATGATTAAGGATTTACAATGTTGTCTCCTCAATCCTTTCAATAATTTTTCTTTACATTCTGACGTTAGCTTGGCCTTCAAGGGCATCGACGTGTATGAAGTGGTATTTGAAACCACATTTGATTTGCGATCCGTGTCGGGAAGAGATCTGGCCTCGTGTAACCCCGTTGAGGTAGCGCCATGCAAGTCGGCGGTAATGCCAGAATATGCCACAGTAGGATATTTTTTAAACGTATATGTAACTCAGCATGCTTTCCTATCCCTTGCTGGAACTCTTGGCTTTTTCGATGAGAAATTGCAGTAAAATTGTACAGTCTAGCTGGGAGTTCGATCAAGAGTAGAGGACCCTTCGAGAGGAGATCAAATTTATAAAACTTTGTGCGGCTATGATCCTTTGTTGTTTTTGATCAAACGAAATTAGGCAAATCAATCTCTCACAAAATGTTCCAAAGTGAGATAAATTGATGAGCTTGTTTGTTTTGCGTGATGAGTCTATACTGTGTCTTGACAAGTTGTGTATCCGTAGCAGCTCATTAACCCGCAATAATTAATGATCATTTTGATGATGGATTGGATTTGCAATAGATCATAGAGCAGCCTTGCAGACAACATTCACTGCGACGGGAAGGTCAGCAAGAAATGACAACGCCTTAGAGAACAGAAAAATTGTCCAATGCTCACAGTAACCTGTTCCACGCGTAGATATAGAGAAACATTTAAACCTGAGGACCCAAAGCATAAGACATCGAACTTTCAACCGTCATCTCGTACTCATTTGAGCAATAATAATATATTACACTAAACATATGGAGTCTGCGACCCCCATGATGCTGCTACAGCGGTAACGTGTAGAATTCCTAAAGTCAAAGATTCAAAACCAGATGTAACTCTGTTTCATTCGGGGAGACTGTCACCTAAACCAACGCTTAGCAATGATACCGGAGGTTGAATATTGATTAAAATAGAGACTTGCATCGCAGTTTATAGATCTATAGGCTTGAACTGAGCTTGCAAAATTGTTCTAAAGCTTGTTGTTAGCCCATGCGTGCGTTTGCTCTACACAATCATTGAATAACAGTTCCTGTTCCACCTGATAGTAAGAATAACACGAAGGTGCACTTAGACCATCGTCTGCTGGATAACTGCTTCTATTAATTGTATTACCGTTTGGTTAAACATAACTTACAGACAGCTAAATACTATCCGAAAAACGACGCATGGCTAAGCTCGAAGCAAGACAAGCCTATTTTTCGTTCATTCTCGCCATTTCCTGTTCGTTCTTAAAGCGTGTGCATACTTCAACCATACCTGCCTGCAAATTGAAGCAGATCCCATGTCGCCTTCAAGAGCAGTAGATATTACACGGTTGACGATTTGCTTATCTCACCTTAAACTTTCAAGAGACTTTGTTTAGAAAAAATATACTTAACGTCGGTTGCTTGTTACACCTGCGGTTGGCTACTTCGCTAGAAAAAAATGTATTTATTGCGTTACCATTCTACCATTGCCACCTAACAGTTTAAGTAATCACGAATTTGATCGCTTTTTTTCTCCAGCCGTTACAGCTTCCCAACTAGCATATTTCATCGCAACCGTAGCATGAGTGTATGTATGTTCCATAGATCGTCATGTCCCATACACATAACTTTATGTCCCTATGCATTTTCAGTCGTTTCTTATATCTCGAAAAAAGAAAATAACTAATGTTGACCCACGATTTTTCAGTGCAGAAAAGCTGAACGCGTATGCAGATAAGAAAATCATTATGGATTTGACCAATTATTCAGCAGAATCAAGCAGTACCACGCTCACACGTGTGTTTATAAGTATTTCCAATAACTACGTTTCTGATATCGTGCAGACAACCGTAGAATAGTTATTAATGGCGTTGTATATAACACCATGCTCAACGTCAAAGTTCAAGTCGGCTGCTTTATAACGAGTAGTAAACTCCACTTGTGTGCTTTCTTCTTGAGTTTACTTATGTTAGACCGATAATAACATGTGTGACAAAAAAAAAGCATCTCCATATTTTAAGTCATCTGTGGTACGCTCCTTTAATTTAACCGTCGTTCTTTGCAATTCCCGTTTGTTTTACCGGCCGATTCTTCCCGTCCGTGTCGCTTTTTTGCTGTACCATATTCCCGATCTACAACCCTTCACGCGACGGATTCGTAACACATCATCGTGTCTGATTTATAGCCAACACCTATTACATCTCTACATTTGTGTCTACTGGACTCATGAAGCTAATCTAGACCGGCTACTCACGCCCCCCGCTTCTCATTTGCAATCAGCACCTCGCTGCAGTCGTCGATACGCGGTCAGACAAAGAAACAGACAGGTCTGCAGGTAGACGCGCACGTAAGCGGATAGGAAGTAGCAGTCGGATACCAACCGCTTGTCTCTATAGTTTCACGCTCTTATCTATGCAACAGATGTGAACCACGGTCAAACTGTCCCGATAGTCCGATGGAATGCTGGATGCCGCCGGCCGAAACTGTCCTGCTGTCCAACCTCTGAAACTCTGTTCGGTCACCATCGTTCACTGTCAGATAGCGGATTGTCAACAAAATGATGTGTCTTTTGAAGCAGCAGCAAAAGCAGAGCAACAACGATGACGTGGTCGAGCTGGCCGACGTACATGTACATCTACTAAGGACAATCTCTGCAATCCGAGGAAAACTGCGGTAATTGCATTTTTTTTCGGCTCTTGCTGAACTGCGAGAAAAACGACAGCAATAATAGAACGAGGCTCAGTTGCGGCCACAGCATAAGCGTGTGCGTGATATTCGCTGGTTCGATTGTTCCCTGCTGCTGGTGGGGCTAATCAAGCCCTCACCCGGCAACTGCTGCTGTTCATCCTCGCATGAGCTAACGGCTGTCGACAGTGGCAGCGGCGGCTGTTGCGAACGTCATCCGCCATTCCAGTGTTTCCCTCTCCTACAACCGCATGGCTGCTACCTGTAGCCGGCACAGAGCGCTTCTCAGACGTCAAGGAGGCCGACTGTAGAAGGACCACCTAACGACTGACTGACAACTAGCTATTGTCTAGATGCTAGGTGCACATATGCAAGTGTAACTTATCAATCGACTATTGTTTGTTTTTGTGTGTATGAATGTGTTCATGCGTCTTCTAGCGGGCTAGTTCGTTTTGCTTGTTTGTTGGTTTGTGGTATATTGGTTGGAACTGTCTGTTCAATCGGTGCTTGTGGCAGCCGAAAAACTGCTGTGACCGCAACAGCAGAAGTTGGAGTAGCAACAGGACAGGTCGGTCCTCAGTCGCTCACCCATCTTCCTTAACAAACGTCGATGCCGTTAGAACGAAGTGGGAAAGAAAAATAAAAAACAGGACGTATTTAACACAGCACACATTTACATATTTAACAATCTTATATTATTATCGTGTAAACGGAGCTAGCAAGATAGGACACTAATAGAGATAAAAGGGTCCGCAGGTTCAGAAGCCTGTCCGGTACCGGCCAGCATTGCACGTTGTTTGTCGAAAAGGCGCGCGCTGGGTAACAGCCAGCAATCAAATGGTAACAGTAAAAGTACTAGGTAAGTCATTTACTGCCTTTCCACGTTTACGGACGGCTCTTCTCGACGGACCAGTATCGTCTGGTCGGCACAGAGGCACAAAGACGATAAAACAGACAGACAGCAAACGACGATAAAACAGCCCAGCAAAAGAGGTCCATTAAGCATCGGCCGACCATAGACGTCTACGGCGCAACTCCTTCGTACTCAGTGGCACACTCATATAGCCATTATCAAGTGACAGCCGACGACATCACGCCTTCACATCTAGCGACGTAAAGGTGCGGACACAGGAGTAATATATCGGAGCAGAGCGTTAGGATCAACTGAAACAACAGAAGGATTACAACTGCCCAGTAGGGACTATAGCCTAAAAATGAACAACAGTCGAGCCTCTTTTAGGCTCGATCGAATTGTGCTGTCGTTAACTCGACACGGTTATGGAAATACTGTTATCGGCAGCATGGTGATATAATTTTTCCATTTCCCAAGCAACACATGCGTACACTTTCATCAGGACGTATGTGGATAGAAATTATTTGATGAATATAAGTTTTTAACAAACACATTTTGGACTCCGGCAGTGATAATAACGATTCCAAGACGGCGGCGGCGGCAACAACATTCATCGTTTTAGATAGCTATTTAGTGTAGCCTCTATCCTGCCAATTATGGTTATGGCAGATCGGTGATGACCCGTCTATGATTATGGATTGACTAGCAACTCAAGAAGAATGATTGTCGGATGAAATGATTGACCAGTAGTTGTTGCTCGCCGTCTCAGGATTGCTCGAAATCGATCAAGGCACACAAACACGATCGAAGTGGCCGAAGTACAAGTGATAATTGCGCGGAGGATTTTCTATTCAATTGGAAGGGCCTAGTTTACTGTAAAGGACGACCGTATCTGTGCTTTATAAAGCTTCATATAATAATGATGGACACAATGGACGTGGTCACATCGACCTTTTACGACATGAACGACAATGACCTCAAGGAGTTATGGAACTCCGATGGCTTTGACGAATCGGTAAGTGATCTCCTTAGAGCAGTTCGAGCTGTTGGCGATTTTATTCACTGATTAGCTGGATGGCATCACTGACGTGCCAGCGTATATGTAAATATATAAGTACTTTAATACTTGGTGCACAGACAAAGCTAACGATGCTAACCAACTAGGAATTAGGCGTAAGGTGTTCCACTTCCTATGATTAGGGAAGTTTTCGTCGCGTGACCTCAGCTCGATTGTCTGGGGTCTATCAGTGTGACAGTGGCCTGTCGCCTACATCTAGAGTATAGATAGAGAACATACTTCGTTTAGCTTTGAATGGAAACCAGACTTATAACTCGTTCGGATCGGTGAATTGTAGGACAATCGATGTGATTTCGATGAAGCGTAAATTGACAATTTATCGCGTCTCTTAGGTTCTGTAACGCAGATATGTATTCTTAATTGAACTAAAACACCGGCTATCAAAGACAATCGCTGCACCTATTAAAGCAAGGTCGTAGCACCGTCTATTTTGCATATTGTGTGAAAGGTACCCTTCTTATAAGTTGCCGTCTGTTCGTACAGTAACGTAGCGCTAAAGCAATCGGCTACAAATGAAGCACAATTTGATTTGACGTGCGCCACTTCATTTCCTCCCTATGGACGGCGTTACCGTGGCATCAGAGTAGTTTTGTGACTACAACGACTGCCGTTTCGTGGTTAACCCAGTTTATCGCCAGGCTATCGGCGGAACATCTCTAGTATGTTATTACACCAGCGGGTATCGCTCCTCGTCGACGAGTGGATCGCAGCGGAATTCCCTCTGAGTACCGACAGGCTCTGTCCTAAAGATATTCTGCGTTCGTACAAGCGTTTTTTCGTGCGTTTTTTTGCATTCTGTTGCTGAATAAAAACGCTACGAAGGCAAGAAACATCGATCTATCGATAAAAATTTCGCCGCTAATTGCATAGTCTCGCTTGCATATACGTATCGCACGAAATTTTGCCAACTCTGCTGATAATACATTCGAATGGTTTTATTGTGCTATTCTGTTCGTGCCTCCACACTGTCGAGAGATATGCCGCTATGACAGAGAAGGCCAACTAATCCTGGTATACTATAGAGATAATATGTTTACTATAATTGTGTTCGATCAGGACACAGTTGTGTAGTACGTACGTCCGATCTATGTAATAATAGCTTTGGTATACGTAGTTATCTCTGCAGTAGTTCGTCCTAGCTTTTCTAATGAGCATGCGCAAAATTATGATTCATTTCATGTGTACATTGTAACCGAGATGTAAAACGAATGAAAAAACAGCTTTAGCCATCTAATGGAGCGAACATTGGTCTGCTTTTAAAACAGAATATATCTGATATTGTTCTAGGAATCAAACCATTCATTACTTTAAATATGTGGTGTATATATATATAGTTGGTTCAGTGGTGCCAATCATATGTGTGATTAAATAAAGCAACATAAACATAATAGATAGGAGCAGGCTACCATATTAGTCAAGACATTGACGGTGTCAGCTGCAATTTTTAGCCAACGTGATGGGTTTGTTTACCTGTCGCAAAGTCGGAAGCGCCTAGCTTCATTGAAGTGTTTCGCTTAATCCCAGACGCTTGCGCTTCTTAAGCTCTGCATTGAGTCTAGGTATTTGATCTGCTGCGTTACATCAACAATATCGTTGTTGCATCCAACGCACGTAGAAACACGTGCGCAGACATGGAAACCTAAACTTGCTACATAAGTCAAATTACTGCCACATGGGTAACTTGCTAGAGCCAGGCGTTGTAATAACAAAGGATTTAGCTTGTCGGGGAAAGGAAAAAGAAATGAATCAGACGAACAGCATCAGAAAGCGGAAAATAATCGGTGGTTGACTGGTTGGCTACTTAAGTTCTAACTGCTCTCTCCTTTCCACATACAAGCGAAGGAAAATAAGCACGCTAATGGCAACACTATATTCGTATCGCTCTTATTCATATTCAGAGACAGCCATGCTAGATAGATACACAGACACAAAAAGGAGCACTTGCAATGGGGTAGTAGTGAACGTTGGAACGGTTTTCTGGGTCTCGATCTCTGCGTCCATTTTCTTTAAAAAAAGACAGCGAGGAAAGTCGTCGAACCGAACGTGGCGAGGCTAGCACTTCGATGCCCAAATACACAACGATGCACCGTTATCCCCTCCATCTTTTGCGTCCCCTTATATATCAGCCTTTAGCGTTACTCGTGCCGATGTCTAGGCGCACGCTGTGCAAAACGTTCTTACCCCTAGCAGCCGCCACATTCGCGTTAAAGACGGCAGCAGCCACCGCTGTAACTAGAGATCAATCTACCACAAACGAAAATAATCAAAATAAATGAGAAAAGATCGAAAAATAAAAACAAATGGAAAATAAGACAGCTAGGACAAAGGTTCGGAATTTGGTACGGCTCAGTTTGTTAGGTGACCATATAGACGTCAGCCTATTTATTGCTGAATAAATAATTTGAGCTTTGCCGAGTCGCATGATGGTACTACTTCAAGTGAGCAGTATTGCCTCACATCGTTGACGGCCGCTTTCAATATAATTAGATGAGCCATGATCCTGTGTACAGGCGATCTGGAACCTAGACTACCTTACCGGCAGACACGTTACCACTGTCCCAACACGGGGATTTGAAGGACAAATGCGGGCTATTTCTATTTTGACTGGTAACACGGTACAGCGCCTTCTACAACCAGCATTGTTTTGAATAGTTCCCACTGTTACGACTATCATTGCCGTCCCTACGACAGGATAGTATTATTGAGTGTTTTCTTCAAATTCGTCTAGAGTTAGGGCGATGCAGGTATGTTGATGCCAACCAAAGCCCTCTTTCGAACATACGCGAACATAAGTTTGGCTGTGAGTGTGCTCAGTGAATAGGGGAAGGATCTACAAATGAAAAATCTCATACGCCCGCTGAGACTTATCTGTCGGGATCCGTTTACGTTAGTTAGCGCCACTTATTCAGCGTGAATTGAATGCGAGCGATTGTTTCCCCAGTCGCTCCGCCGGACGATGAGTCAGGTTCTCGGACATACGGTCTGATAGCCCAAAGAATCGATGAAGTACAAAACGAACAAAAGGCTTTGCGGAAAAAAAGTAGGCGGAATTTTTCCTATGGACAATCCGATGGCTACGGCCAAGCTTGAAACAGCCGAACTCAGCTCTGCAGTCGCCTAACACCGCGTTTAACACCAGCTGTCAGGTCGTTTAAGACTTATGAGGGAACAGAAATTGACGATAGTGTGTTAATTCGATAGTAGTTAACAGTCTATTAATAGTGAAACGGTAGAAGTGCCTACGACAACGATAGTCATGGTTAAGGCAGTGATTATGGTTAGTTTTTTTTCGAAATTAGCTTACACACCCACGTCCCTCTCGACCCGCGATTTTTCAATAATGTCCCGATTCTCATTCCCGGTTTGACTAGGGTGATAGCTTGGGTGACTGGTCTGCTGAGACTTGATGCGCAGGGCATATTCTGTTTAACTAGGGCCCGCTAGGTGACTGGATAAAGCTAACCGACCCTGTTTTGTGATCTCTAACGGAGGATTTTCGGCTGAATTTTTCCGCTGGCCTACATTTAGCCATTATTAACGGTGCGGTAGTTGAAATAGTCAGTGGCTTTGGTAGAACCCGTAACACGGCATGAAGAAGAACAGACATTATGATTTCCTGATCATGTGTTTCTTGAGAAGAGAATAGACTGGCTAGGTTAATGTGTTTTCTCTTAGTATCAGCGACGTTTAGCGGAATTTCCGTTCGTTTGCTTTATAACCTAAAGTGAAAGATTCGAAAACTGGTTTAATTATGATTATCAATCAAATCTACCTAAGTTCATCAAATTCTAATTAAATAAAAATCTGCTGGCCTGTGCAAAAATCAAATCAGGTCAAAATCAGTTGAACTCATATCTGATGACTATCTATAAAACGTGCAGTGCACGTATACGTACTGGCTATTTGAATAAAGAACAGTGAGCGTCTCCTTTCATGCATAACTAGGTATTGCTGCGTTTTTACTTGTGTGGGCACGGTCACCACGTAAAGGGAAAGTTCCTTTTATAGGCTTAGCTAAGCAAACTAGAACTATTCGTATGGAATACCCACATTCAATGCTTCGCTCTACTTCGTTAAGCAAGTTCATCTTGATTTGCCAGCATCGTCTCGAAAGTGACAAACTCACCAAGAACAAAGCTTTGCGCCGAAGGTTTGAAATAGATCTCGAGTCCACGGCGATATCGGAGTTACGATGCGAGAATCTACGTTAGAAGGTGTTTTTATCATGTTCTTGTTCCAAAACGTCTTCTCATGTAGAGCTGTGCTTCCAGCTCGTATTGTTTTGTTGTCTGAACAGGCTATCAATAATATGCAAGTATACAGACTACTTCGTTTCGTGTGTATCCACTCTGACTTTTCAAACACTTCTGCAATAGCAGCTACCATTTCATTACGGAAGAGTTAATTTGTTTGTGACTGTGGCTATTTCGTTGCAGGAATATTGAGACTGATCGCCCCACTTACGACAACAGCAACAACTGAGATAAAAGCAAATTATGGCCGAATTGTCTATATTAAGAGAATAGATACGACGCTGAATAAATGAGTCGCGAACTTACAATAGGGATTACGCTACTATAGCTATTCCGATAGTACCAATTTCAGCTATAGCTCAGCCATTCAGACAAGAACTGTCCCGCTACGCTCATGCTTCAACGACATGTACTGAACAGTCACACTTAATAACTCTATTGCTTTATCAGAAAGATGGAAATCTCACAAGAGGAAGTTTTTTGAAAACATACGGCTGTGATTCCTTTAAAATTTGTGACTTTAAAAAACTTCCCTTCGGTTCAATCTCCTGGAAAGAAGGCTTAAATCCCTCAGAAGCATCTAAATTATTCAAAGAACAAGAATCTGATTGAGTAACGTCTTGTTTCTATACGCAACCCCTGTATCCGGTAAAAGTTGAACTTAATTTTCCATTTTAAAAATGG